AGGAGTCCAGGTACAGGCCAGAGAGATGGCATCAACTACCCTACCCATTCTGGTTTCCTAAGAGGTAAAGGATAATTCTGGGCAAAGCCTGGAATATAGCAAAGAATTGCCGCATACTCCTGCATTGTTTGGAAGACAGGCTAACAATCTATATTTGATTTTGGCTTGATCAGGCCAAAAAACGTCAACATGAGTCGATACCGATTGTTGTGAACTATAGAGGCCTTGCCCAGATTCAGTGATGGTTATCTGCATATTGGCAGAGGAAATGGAAGGAAAGCCTGATGGATGACGAGATAAATACATATACACAGAATTCTCATAGATTCTTTGTTAGGATTTCTCCTTTTCTGTCTTACTTATACTGGAGCTCTAAAATGAAAGTAAACCTGTAGTTGGGCTTTAACTTGGTGTCTGAGGACAACTCTTAGGAGTAGAAGGTAAGAGGCACCCTGAGGTCTACCCTGGTCACTACCTGAACTCATAACACGAGCTGTCCTCCAGCTCCTAAGTAACTATAACTGTATTAAACCGAGCCCCGTAGTTGTGTACAGGATTCTGTTTTGTGTTGCTGCACTCTGGAGACGGTTAAATCCTGGAACTCCCCAATGTCTTGCTGTTGGCTTCCTAGGCCCAGCATTGTGTGATTTGGGACATAGATGAGGTTTTGGAACTCCTTACTGAGGGTCCTTCAGCTTGGCTCCGCTGTTCAGGCCACTCTGTGCAGTTGCTGGATGACAATAGTAATAAATTAGGAGAGATTACGCATCACCTCATTACTGCATATCTCAGTTGTAATACTGCACCATGCAACAAAGCCCCTTCTGGCCCTCTGAACCCGCTCTGGTCACACAAAATGGAAATGGTCAACTATCCTATAAATTATTCTCAGTCTCTGTGGATAAAAGATGACCTGTCTAGTTCAGGTACATCCAGACATATACATAAAAAAATAGGAATCTCCCTTTTCCATGGGGTTATCCAGTTTATCAGGCAGTGGTCATAATGTCTGAAATAGTGTTTCTGGGTGCAATCACTCTCATCATCCTTGTGATCTTGTGACTTATCTTTCATAATTCTTTCCAGAATAGTGTCTGATAGGCCAGGATCGTCTTTAACAACAGCTCTGAGACTTCCATCCTGTGCCAGCAGGAGCGTGTAGTTAGTAAGTTCTACATCTGGAGGTACATACAGTTGTGTTCAAAATAATAGCAGTGTGTTAAAAAAAGTGAATGAAGCACAAAATCCTTCCAATAGCTTTTATTTCCATCCACAGAAATGCATTGGGAACACGACACATTCTATTCCAAATCAAAACATGAAGAAAAATACATCAAATTTGTGTTGTTCCTCTAAAACAAATTGAAGAAAAGTGAATATTACTGTTCAAAAAAATCGCAGTGTTTGTATTCTTCTTTACAAACTCAAACATTCACTATATAAACTGAGAAATGTTTGAAGATTTTGCTTTCCTTTGAATGACTTAATGAATATTTGGTTGTAGTCGCACTGTTTCTGAGAACTGCTGTACATCTGTGTTGCATGGAGTCACCCAACTTCTGGCCCCTGTGATCAGGTATTCCAGCCCAGGATGATTGGACGACATTCCACAGTTCTTCTCTATTTCTTGGTTTTGCCTCAGAAACTGCATTTTTGATGTCACCCCACAAGTTTTCTATTGGATTAAGATCTGGGGATTGGGCTGGCCACTCCATAACGTCCATCTTGTTGGTCTGGAACCAAGATGTTGCACGTTTACTGGTGTGTTTGGGGTCGTTGTCTTGTTGGAACACCCATTTCAAGGGCATTTCCTCTTCAGCATAAGGCAGCATGACCTCTTCAAGTATTCTGATGTATTCAAACTGATCCATGATCCCTGGTATGTGATAAATAGGCCCAACACCGTAGTATGAGAAACATCCCCATATCATGATGCTTGCACCACCATGCTTCACTGTCTTCACAGTGTACTGTGGCTTGAATTCAGTGTTTGGGGGTCGTCTGACAAACTGTCTCCGGCCACTAGACCCAAAAAGAACAATCTTACTTTCATCAGTCCACAAAATGTTGCGCCATTTCTCTTTAGGCCGGTCAATGTGCTCTTTGGCAGATTGTAACCTCTTCAGCACACGTCTTTTTTCCAACAGTGGGACTTTGCGGGGGCTTCTTGCAGATAGCTTGGCTTCACATAGGCGTCTTCTAATTGTAACAGTACTCACAGGGAACGTCACACCTTCTTTCATCTTCCTGGAGCTGATTGTTGGCTGAGTCCGCGCCATTTTGGCTATTCTTCTATCCATTCCAATGGTAGTTTTTTGCTTTCTTCCACGTCTTTCAGGTTTTGGTTGCCATTTTAAAGCATTTGCGATCATTTTAGCTGAGCAGCCTATCATTTTCTGCACTTCTTTATATGTTTTCCCCTCTCCAATCAACTTTTTAATCAAGGTACGCTGTTCTTCTGAACAATGTCTGGAACGACCCATTTTCCTCAGAATTTCAGAGAGAAATGCACTGTAACCAGCATGTACAACATTTGCTGCCTTCCTTCCTTAAATAAGGGCAATAATTGCCACCTGTTTTTCAAAGAATGAATGACCTCACTAATAGAACTCCACACTGCTATTATTTTGAACATGCCCCTTTCAATGAGTGATTCGATGACACAGAATCAGCAGCATGCATGTCATGACTGTTGGGTCTGTTGGATTTCTATTACTCTACTACACCTGCTAGTAAATTATTTGCCCATGTAGAAATATCATTTCTACCAAAAAACAGTGATTGATCCGGTTAGTGATGTCTGACTGCTATTATTTTGAACACAACTGTATAGAAAAGAATCAGCGCCCCTTTAAAGGAATCACATTTTGTTGCTTTGCAGCCTGAAATGAAGACACATATTTTTGGTTTTATCCAGCTGTATTGACTCAACTTATAACATCCAAGTGACAGATATAACACCTGCATGTCAGGGAAAAAAGAAAAATTCATAAACAGAATCACTTAGTCGGTAAAAGGATCACACCCTTGTCAGTATTTTGTTGAACCATCTTTTGCTTTAATTCTAGTCTTTAGTCTGTTGGGTTGTCTCTACTAATTTTGCATATCCAGACTGCAATATTTGCCCACTCTTCTTTTCAGAACTGATCAGGTTCAGTTACATTTGATGGTGACCGTTTGTGGACTGCAGTCTTTAAGTCATTCCACAGGTTTTCAATGGGGTTTAAGTCTGGGCTTTGACTAGGCCATGCAAAGACATTTACCCTTTTCTCCTCCAACCACTGTGTGCTCATTTGTGTCAGCCCATTTCTCTGGCCCCTCAGCATTAGATCTGTGTGATAGAAGATACTGACCAGGATGGAGCATGGAATGAGGCAACATTAAATATTAGATAAGTCTCAATCCCTGGGCTCCTCAACATTACATCTGTGTGATATATAGGATGAAGGCCAGAACTGAGCATAGAATAGGCTAACATTTGCTTCTGAAAGAAGCTCTGTCCCTGGATTTCTTCCTCTGAACCCTCTTAGCATTACATCTGTTGGTATTTGAGAAGACCGTGGCTCTGGGCCCCTTAGCATTACATCTGTTGGTATTCGAGAAGACCGTGGCTCTGGGCCCCTTAGCATTACATCTGTTGGTATTCGAGAAGACCGTGGCTCTGGGCCCCTTAGCATTACATCTGTGTGATGTAGAAGATGCCAGAATGGGGCATAGGACAAGGTAACATTGGTATTTCAGAAGACCATAGCTCTGGGCCCCTTAGCATTCGATGTTTGTGATATAAAGGATGCTGGCCAGCATGGAGCATATAACAGGGTAATATTGGCATTCGAGAAAGCCATGTCCTGGGGGCCTTTTCCTCTGGGCTCCTTAGCATTAGATCTATGTGATGTAGTAGATGCTGGCTAGAATGGAGCATAGACCAGGGTAATGTTGGTACGAAGGCCGTTCCCTTGGATTCCTTCCTCTGGTCCCCTCAGTATTCGATGTTGGTCAGGACCGAGCATAGAAGAGGTTTTGGTATTGAGAAGACCATGTCCTTGGCCTCCTCAGCATTAGATGTGATGTAGAAGATGCTGGCTAGAATGGAGCATAGACCAGGGTAACAATGGTATTCGAGAAAGCAGTATGCTTGGGGCCCCTTCTTCTGGGCTCCTCAGCATTAGATCTATGTGATGTAGTAGATGCTGGTCAGAATGGAGCATAGACCAGGGTAACAATGGTATTGGAGAAAGCGGTGTCCTTGGATTCCTTCCTCTGGTCCCCTCAGCATTAAATGCTGGCCAGGATCGAGCACAGAAGAGGTTCTGATATTGAGAAGACCATGTCCTTGGCCTCCTGAGCATTAGATCTGTGTGATGTAGAAGACATTGGCTAGCATGGAACATAGACCAGGGTAACAATGGTATAAGAGAAAGTTGTGTATTTGGGGCCCCTTCCTCTGGGCCCCTCAGCATTAGATCTATGTGATGTAGAAGATGCTGGCTAGAATAGAGCATAGACCAGGGTAACAATGGTATTAGAGAAAGCTGTGTCCTTGGGCCCCTTCCTCTGGGCCCCTCAGCATTAGATCTGTGCAATGGATCGGATACTGGTCTGGAATAGTGCCTTGTGTGGTCTAATGCTGTTAGCAGACACGTGGTGTGCATTCTGGGTGTTTTTCCTGAAGAGAGGAGACTGCATTGCGTCTCCCCTGGCCAGTCTTGGTATTGCAGTAGTTAGCTGTTCTGTAGACCACTGTGACAATTATTGCATTACCTTTTAGAGCCTTCTGTGTCCCATGTGTAGAGAGGGTGCCGTTCTCCTCCGTCTCATGAGGCTTTCCCGTATGCTGACAGCAGCACTTGATTTCATTCAGGAATGTTCCTGATGGGGTGGGTGCTCGGTCAGGCTCTGGCTGTGTGTTGAATGTTGTATACATTACTTTACGTTCTTATTAAGGCCAGTGATGGTGAGATTGGGGTGTGGATGTGTAATAACCCGGCTTCTCTTTCCAGTGGCTCCAGACACCATCAACAACCATGTCAAGACCTGCCGGGAGGAGCAGAAGAATCTACATTTCTTCGCCCCGGAGTATGGAGGTATGAGGGTCCATCTGGGTAATGCTGTGACCATGCATTGACTTCCATGTATAATGCTGTGTGGACAGACACGGTCTGCCATGTTTAATACTGTGTGACCACCCGTGGTCTGATGCACGTAATGTAATATCTGATGGCACAGCTCCTAATCCTATATGACTGCACATAATCCTCCATGTTTAATTCTCACCGTGTCCAGTTTTAGGCGAATATGTGAAATAAGAACTTTCTGTGCTGTCTCTTAGCATCCAATCATTCTTTCTCCCCTTCAGTTCTTCTATCAGGGCCGCAGTGAGTGACATCCCTGAGCTGTGCACACACTGCCTGTTGCTGTGTAATCTGGGTGAAGTGCTAACTATGTCTAATATCTCTTTTCTAGAAGTGACCAATGTGACCACGGCGGTGGACATCTACTCCTTTGGGATGTGTGCACTGGAGGTGAGGAGTTGTAGGGGCACTGAGACACAGCTCAGTCCTCACACGGGTCTACATTTGTAGGAAAAAAAAAGTCAAAACAGTAGAAGTGTATCTGACCTCCCACCCCTGACGTGTTGCGTCCATATTCAGGCGGTGAAGAGAACACTAAAAACCTTTATAAAATCGATGTCATTCTTTAAAATTAATCTTGGCCAATGATTGTCTAGTTGGAACAGAACAGCGGATCAGCATGACAATGTCTTCCTGCCTGCCATAGAGCAGCCTTCCCTCCCTTGTGTCTGTTGCAGTGTGTGGGTCTCCACCCCGGCATTCTTCTGCCTGGCATTGATGGTGCTCCTAAATTACAGGAGACGGCTTAAGCGCAGGAGAACCTAAATTGACCACACAGGTGCAAGGTATCCCCCCAATTTTCAATACCTATTGACCTGGAAATGGATGCAGTTTAGAATTAACTAAAATATCATTCCGGCTCAGTGTTCCAACAAGTAGTGAAGGAAAAATGCACCTTAAAATTGGCAGTGGGAGCTTGCATATGTCCATTGTGACTGGTTCTCTTTAGGTATATGCAATTCAATAAGTATTCTGCGTCGGAACATCTCCATGGCCTGACCGGTTTACCTGCCTTGGCCTGACCTTTACCCGTCTACGTTGCTGGAGCTGCCACTTGTGCTTGGAGGGTCTGTCTGACATCAGTTGATTGCTTTAATCTTGACTGTGTGTGTGTGTTTTCTACAGATGGCGGTCCTGGAGATCCAGGGAAATGGAGAGTCCTCGTATGTCCCTCAGGAAGCCATAAATAACGCTATCCAGTTTCTGGAGGATCCGCTGCAGAGGGTGAGTGCCTGGGGGGGGCTATATTAGGGAGCCTGCAGATTGGATAATGTGGGGGACCCCCTGTGAGATGGGACCATGCTCATGTTACCCTCCAGTTTTTCATTTTATCAAGGGTCTGGTTTCTTACATCTCTTGTGTTCTCCTCCACTATACTTCTGACACTGTCCCTGCCTTCCTTTGGGTGTTCATGCCCACCTTGGTGTGTTCCAACTCTTCCATTTCTCCATAATATAAAATAAATAAATCAAGGAGGGATAGTGGAAGCCCCTAATAATGGGCGTAGCAGGTGTACAGGCACAGAAACTCTGCAAAGGGATGGTGATAGTGGGTGTGCAGAACAGGGAACTTGGTGTAGGGATGGTGGGGGAGCAGGTGTGCAGAGCAGGGAACTCAGTACAGGGAAGATGATGGTGTGCAGAGCAGAGCAGAGAACAGAGTGCAGGGATGGTGGGAGCGGGTGTGCAGAGCAGAGCACTCGGCACAGGGATTTTGGGAGTGGGTGTGTGCAGAGCAGGGATCTTAGTGCAGAGATGGTGGGTGTGCAGAGCAGGGGGGAATCAGTGCAGAGATGGTGGGAATGAGTGTGCAGAGCAGGGGGGACTCAGTGCAGAGATGTGCAGAGATGGTGGGAGCGAGTGTGCAGAGCAGGGGGGACTCTGTGCAGGGATGGTGGGAGCGAATGTGCAGAGCAGGGGGGACTCAGTGCAGGGAGTGGGAGCTGGTGTGCAGAATGGGAGCAGTGGGGGACTCAGTGAAGGGACAGTGCAGAGCAGGGGGGACTCAGTGCAGGGATGGTGGGAGCGAATGTGCAGAGCAGGGGGGACTCAGTGTGCAGAGCAGGGGGGACTCGGGATGGTGGGAGCGAATGTGTGGGAGCAGTGGAGGGGACTCAGTGCAGAGATGGTGGGAGCGAATGTGCAGAGCAGGGGGGACTCAGTGCAGAGATGGTGGGAGCGGAATGTGATGGTGGGCAAGTGCAGAGCAGGGGGGACTCAGTGCAGAGATGGTGGGAGCGAGTGTGCAGAGCAGGGGGGACTCAGTGCAGAGATGGTGGGAGCGATGTGGAGAGCAATGCAGAGATGGTGGGAGCGATAATGTGCAGAGCAGGGGGACTCAGTGCAGGGATGGTGGGAGGCGGTGTGCAGAGCAGGGGGGGCAGAGTGGTGGGAGCGAGTGTGCAGAGCAGGGGGGACTCGGTGCAGGGATGGTGGGAGCGAGTGTGCAGAGCAGGGGGGGACAGAGATCGGTGTGCAGCAGGGGGGAGTGGATGGTGGGAGCGATGTGCAGAGCAGGGGGGACTCAGTGCAGAGATGGTGGGAGCGAGTGTGCAGAGCAGGGGGGACTCAGTGCAGAGATGGGGGAGCGAGTGTGCAGAGCAGGGGGGACTCAGTGCAGAGATGGTGGGAGCGAGTGTGCAGAGCAGGGGGGACTCGGTGCAGAGATGGTGGGAGCGAGTGTGCAGAGCAGGGGGGACTCAGTGCAGAGATGGTGGGAGCGGAGTGCAGAGCAGGGGGGACTCAGTGCAGAGTGGTGGGAGCGAGTGTGCAGAGCAGGGGGGACTCAGTGCAGAGATGGTGGGTGCGGATGTGCAGCGGGTGTGCAGAGCAGGGGGGTGTGACTCAGTGCAGAGAGATGGTGGGAGCAGGGGATGGTGGGAAGTGTGCAGAGCAGGGGGGACTCAGTGCAGAGATGGTGGGAGCGGGTGTGCAGAGCAGGGGGGACTCAGTGCAGAGATGGTGGGAGCGAGTGGCAGAGCAGGGGGGACTCAGTGCAGAGATGGTGGGAGCGGGTGTGCAGAGCAGGGGGGACTCAGTGCAGAGAGAGATGGTGGGAGCGGGTGTGCAGAGCAGGGGGGGACTCAGTGCAGAGATGGTGGGAGCGGGTGTGCAGAGCAGGGGGAACTCAGTGCAGAGCATGGGGGACTCAGTGCAGAGCAGGGGACTCAGTGCAGAGATGGGGGAGCGGATGTGCAGAGCAGTGGGGGACTCAGTGCAGATGGTGGGAGCGGGTGTGCAGAGCAGGGGGGACTCAGTGCAGAGATGGTGGGAGTGGTTGTGCAGCTGAAAGGCCACTTCTAACCCTGTTTCTGGTGCAGGAATTCATTCAGAAGTGTTTGGAAACGGACCCCAGTAAGCGCCCGACTGCCCCTGAGCTGCTCTTCCACCAGGCTCTGTTCGAGGTTCCGTCTCTGAAATTACTGGCCGCGCACTGCATTGTGGGACACCAGCGTAAGTCATACTTTGATGACATCTTGTATAACATGGAATGCCCCGTCCCTGGTAGTGTAGGTGGTACTCCTTTATTGCTGCTTATCCCTGTCTCAGTCTCTCCTTTCCACCGGCAGACATGATCCCAGAAAATGCTCTGGAAGAGATGACCAAGAACCGCGATATGAGTGCAGTCATGGCTGAGATAACGCACGCCGACCGTGAAGGTGTCCGGATGATGTGAGTGGTTGGAAGATATGTATGGGGGAGGGTTTATCACCCCTGGGAAGGGCTGGTGTTGTGAGAGTTCAGTGCCCCCCAGGAAGAGATGATGATTTGTATGGAGGAGAGCGCCCCCTAGGAAGTATAAAAACTGTCAAGTGCTTGGTAGGTAGGCGGGTGTCCTTTATGGGTTTATTTTTGCCTTTTTTGTAGTGTAATGTTTTGCTCATTTTCTTGATAAATATCCCCGATCTGGTTACACTAAAGTCACAATTTGCACATTTCTGTATAATGTGTTTGCACCGTCCTGACCGTGTCCTCTCTTCCTCAGATTCTCACAGTCTCCAGCGCTTGAATTAGACAAGTTCCTGGAGGATGTCCGGTAAGGAGGGGATACACCATCTGTGTGTGTGAATGTGTGGTGGGTAGGCTCCATGTACATACCAACGGGTCAGTGGGGGAGGGGATACATTCAGCTGTGTGGGAGCTGCATCTATATCTGCAGTATGTGTAATGCATGTTCTCTTTATGCATGTGTGTGGCATATATGCCGTGTTATGGGGGTGTTGCCGTGTTTGGTTCTCTGTCATGTGGTCACAGATTCTCTCTACAATCTCCTCGACCTCCAGGAATGGCATTTACCCCCCTCACTGCCTTCGGGATGCCACGTCCTCAACAGCCCCAGCAGGAGGTGGTAAAATCTCCAGTGGTTCCACCATCAGTGAAGACCCCAACACCAGAGCCCGCAGAGGTGGAAACCCGGAAGGTGTGTTCTTCAGAAGCCTTGTTCATGTGTCTATTGCCTTCTCTGTCTGCAGAGCTGACATTCTATTTCTCTGTACTGTAGGTGGTTCAGATGCAATGCAACATTGAGACAGTGGATGAGGGGGCAAAGCACCATGTAAGGGACCAGGATGTGCTGTGTGTAGCTAGATTCCAGAATTCTCCTCTGTGCTCTCTCCCCATCTACTGCAAAAACCTCTCAATTCACCTCTGTGGGCTCTTCATTTCATAGATAGCTTCTTGCCTATCCTGCTGCCTCAACCTAATCCCTCTGGATTCACTTCAGGCCCTCCTTATCCCACTCCATCAGTTTCACCCCTCTGGGTTTTTCCATACAGTTCCTCCCCCCTTTCCCTACCATAGAAAGCCTCACACCTTCCCCACCCCATGTCCTTGCACCTCCTGCCTTGCTAGTGTCCATGGCTTTCCTGTATTATACACTCAGAAATCATGTCTCTGAATGCCCCTGGATTCGTATTCCACTTTTCCCCATCACTTGGTATCTCACGTCCCATAATTCCAGTTTCTGTCTCACTAAAACCGAACCCAGGGCTCAGTCTCCACCTCAAATAAGCAGGATTCATCTCTTCACCCTTCCTCCTATTGGTTTGTGTCCTCCTTTCTTTTGTTGGTTTGTGTCCTCCTCCTTTCTTCTCTTGGTTTGTGTCCTCCTCCTTTCTTTTGTTTGGTTTGTGTCCTCCTCTCTTCTTCTGTTGGTTTGTGTCCTCCTCCTTTCTTTTGTTGGTTTGTGTCCTCCTCCTTTCTTTTGTTGGTTTGTGTCCTCCTCCTTTCTTTTGTTGGTTTGTGTCCTCCTCCTTTCTTTTGTTGGTTTGTGTCCTCCTCCTTTCTTTTGTTGGTTTGTGTCCTCCTCCTTTCTTTTGTTGGTTTGTGTCCTCCTCCTTTCTTTTGTTGGTTTGTGTCCTCCTCCTTTCTTTTGTTGGTTTGTGTCCTCCTCCTTTCTTTTGTTGGTTTGTGTCCTCCTCCTTTCTTTTGTTGGTTTGTGTCCTCCTTTCCTTTCTTTTGTTGGTTTGTGTCCTCCTCCTTTCTTTTGTTGGTTTGTGTCCTCCTCCTTTCTTTTGTTGGTTTGTGTCCTCCTCCTTTTTTTGTTGGTTTGTGTCCTCCTCCTTTCTTTTGTTGGTTTGTGTCCTCCTCCTTTCTTTTGTTGGTTTGTGTCCTCCTCCTTTCTTTTGTTGGTTTGTGTCCTCCTCCTCCTTTTTTTGTTGGTTTGTGTCCTCCTCCTTTCTTTTGTTGGTTTGTGTCCTCCTCCTCCTTTCTTTTGTTGTTTGTGTCCTCCTCCTTTCTTTTGTTGGTTTGTGTCCTCCTCCTTTCTTCTGTTGGTTTGTGTCCTCCTCTCTCTCTCCTCTATTGGTCTCTGTCCTCCTCCTCCTTTCTATTGTTGGTTTTTGTTGGTCCTCTCCTCTTTTGTTGGTTTGTGTCCTCCTCTCTCCTCTTGGTTTGGTCTCTGTCTTCTCCTTTTTTTTTGTTGGTTTGTGTCCTCCTCTCCTTCTTTTTGTTGGTTTGTGTCCTCCTCCTCTCTTCTTTTGTTGGTCTCCTCCTTCTTTTGATGGTTTGTGTCCTCCTCCCCTTTCTTCTCTTGGTTTGTGTCCTCCTCCCCTTTCTTCTCTTGGTTTGTGTCCTCCTCCCCTTTCTTCTCTTGGTTTGTGTCCTCCTCCCCTTTCTTCTCTTGGTTTGTGTCCTCCTCCCCTTTCTTCTCTTGGTTTGTGTCCTCCTCCCCTTTCTTCTCTTGGTTTGTGTCCTCCTCTCCTTTCTTCTCTTGGTTTGTGTGTCCTTCTCTCCTTTCTTCTCTTGGTTTGTGTCCTCCCCTCTCTTCTGTTTTCTCTCTTCTCCCTTATTGGTCTGAGTCAACCCCTCTCCTTTTTTTTGTGTCCTCCTTCCTTGTCTTTTATTGGTCTCTGTGCTCCTCCTCCTGTTGGTTTTTCACATCCTCCCTCTCTTCTATTGGTCTGTCCCTTCCTCGATTTTTAATCTGATGGTTGTCTGTTCACAGCTGACTTTGTTCCTGAAGCTGGAAGACAAACTGAACCGACATCTAAGCTGTGACTTGTTACCCAGTGAGTACAGAGAGGGATTTTAATGTGATTACAATTTGGGGGTGGGGTTTTGGAGAATAGGGGAGGGACTGTTATAACAGGTTAAGGTCCATTTTATTATAACGACTCTGGAGCACACTTGGGGGTGATTGTAGCATAATATATGTGGGTGATGAGGGTTATGAACTCCAGGAGAAGGAGTGTTTGGTCATACCAGGGCTTCGGGGGTCGGGACTCCTAAACTTCAGGGAGGGGTGATTGTAGCATGATGGTTGGGGTTCTGGAGCTTATCATAGGGAGAAAGTTGTATGATAGATTAGGAGGGGTGAGGTGCCTGTAGCATATAAGGGGAAGGCAAGGGGTAATTGTAGGCCGATGATTGGGGACTGGGTTTCTGGAGTGCAGGAGAAATGTGATTGTAGTATGATGGTTGGGTGGGGCAGGATTGGTGGTGATTGTATGATGGTTTGAAGGGGAGGGGTAATGCAGGGTTTTGTATGACTCCATACCAGGTGTTTGAGGTATGACTCTTCTCTTTTCTCTCCACAGATGAGAATATTCCGGAGTTGGCGGCGGAGTTGGTGCAGTTGGGGTTTGTCAGTGAGGTGCGACTCAGTTTAGAGAATCCCACTTTTGTCAAAAGCTGGGGGGATCCTACAATCGGGGACACCTTCCTGCAGATATTTGGGAGAGTAAATAATTTGGGAGGTGGCAAATAGTCTTCCTGATTATCACTTCTGGGGACGGAGTAGGTGGGGTTAGTGGATGTGGGAGGGTAGTAGATGAATTGGTAAAATTGGGTGGGGTCAGTGAATAGAAAGAAAAGTGGGCGGGGTCAGTTAATTTGAAAAGAATTGGCAGCCTTTGGGAAGGGTTAGGCGGGGTCAGTGAAGGTGGGAAGGAGGGGGTAGGCGGGGTCAGTGAAGGTGGGAAGGAGGGGGTAGGCGGGGTCAGTGAAGGTGGAAGGGGATGGGGGGGGTCAGTGAATGTGGGAAGGGGGGTAGGGGGTAGGCGGGGTCAGTGAATGTGGGAAGGGGGTAGGCGGGGTCAGTGAATGTGGGAAGGGGGTAAGATTAGGTGAGGTCAATTAGAATGGATAGAGAATCAATTAGAATGGAAAGAGCTCAGTGAATATGGGAAGGGAGTAGGTGTGGTCAGTGAATGAAGGAAGGAATATTAGGTGAGGTTATTAAGTATGGAAAGAGAATTGGAATCCATAGAGAAGAGAGTAGGCGTGGTCATTAAATTTGGGAAGAGTAGGTGGGGGTCAGAGAAGAGAGTAGTCAGTGAATGTGGGAAGGAAGTAGGTGGGGTCAGTAAATGTGGGAAGGCAACAAGAGGGGTCAGTGAATATGGGGAGTAGGTGGAGGCGGTGAACGTGGGAAGGGAATAAGCGGGGTCAATGAATATGAGAAGGGAGTAGGCGGGGTCAGTAATTACAGGAAGGGAGTAGGCGGGGTCAATGAATATGAGAAGGGAGTAGGCGGGGTCAGTAATTACGGGAAGGGAGTAGGCGGGGTCAATGAATATGAGAAGGGAGTAGGCGGGGTCAGTAATTACAGGAAGGGAGTAGGCGGGGTCAGTAATTACGGGAAGGGAGTAGGCGGGGTCAGTGAATGAAGGAAGGTTAGGTGAGGTCATTTAGTATGGAAAGAGAACTGGAATCCATAGAGAAGGGAGTAGGCGGGGTCATTGACTTTGGGAAGAGTTGTCAGTGGATTTGGGAAGGGAGTAGGGGTGGGGTCGGTGAATGTGGGAAGGGAGTAGGGGTGGGGTCGGTGAATGTGGGAAGGGAGTAGGGGTGGGGTCGGTGAATGTGGGAAGGGAGTAGGGGTGGGGTCGGTGAATGTGGGAAGGGAGTAGGGGTGGGGTCGGTGAATGTGGGAAGGGGAGTAGGGGTGGGGTCGGTGAAGGAAGATTAGGTGAGGCCATTTTGTATGGAAAGAAAATTGGAAGAGAAGGGAGTTAGTGGGGTCATTGACTTTGGGAAGAGTAGTCAGTGCATTTGGGAAGGGAGTAGGGGTGGGGTCGGTGAATGTGGGAAGGGTGTAGGGGTGGGGTCAATGAATGTGGGGAGTAGGGGTGGGGTCAGTGAATGTGAAAAGGCAGTAGGCGGGGTCAGTAATTACGGGAAGGGAGTAGGTTAGGTGAGGTAATTTAGTACGGAAAGAGAATTGGAATCCATAGAGAAGGGAGTTAGTGGGGTCATTGACTTTGGGAAGAGTAGTCAGTGGATTTGGGAAGGGAGTAGGGGTGGGGTCGGTGAATGTGGGAAGGGAGTAGGGGTGGGGTCGGTGAATGTGGGAAGGGAGTAGGTTAGGGGGTGGGGTCGGTGAATGTGGGAAGGGAGTAGGAGTGTGGTCGGTGAATGTGGGAAGGGAGTAGGGGTGGGGTCGGTGAATGTGGGAAGGGAGTAGGAGTGTGGTCGGTGAATGTGGGAGGTCAGTAAATTTGGAAGTGGGTGATATCTGACGTGGGTATTGTCCCTCCCCTAACGCCCGCCTTGTTTGTCCCTTTTAGAATGACCAGAGCCGACTCACCTGTTTACTCGAAGAAGCATTCAGTAAATTCTTCTTTGCTCGGAACGGAAACATGACGGCGGTGACAGTGTCCTCCTAGCAATCACAGAGTCCTGCTGTCACTGTGCTGCTGCCGAGCCTCCAACCCGCACTTTATGGAGGTCTTCCCAGCTGCTGGCAGATACCTCACCCTGTACATCCACCGCTAGGAACGCCGGACTCTGCCGGCAACGTGTCCGGGAATGGTGGCAGCCGCTCTGCCTTCTGTTTACACAAAGAAAACGTTAGGATACTGTCCGACACAATCAGCAGCGCCCCCTGGTGGAGGGGAGGGGTGATGCATGAGAATGAACCAGATGGAGAGGCGTCTTCACGCTGCAGCCCCTCCCACATATCTTCTCTGTTGTGTCATTGGGTGACGGGACATTGGTTTCTCTGTGGGCCCCGGTGGAGGCGTGTATTGCGTCATACATTTCACCTAGTAATGGTATAGCTCTGCCGATGTAGTAGCGCCTCCTTGTGCTCAAGCCTTAGCTTATCTGTGTAATGTTTACAGCTGAGTGGGGATCGGACGTTTTGGATCCAGCGGCCTCATCCGTTCTCTGCCAGTGTCCCGGCGGAGTCGGGAAGCCATGTTGCGTTAAGACGGTTGTTTTTTTGAATGTTACAAGCAGAAGACGGTTACAGACGTTTGAGTGTGTTTGGCGCAATTGCGCCGTAGGAGGAGACTTTTGTCACGTATGTGAAGTAGGTGATGATGGTATGGGTGGTGGCTCAGTGGGCGTGGCTCCATTTCTCACTAGAGGTTTGTCTGCACTCGGACACCTTGATGGCTTGTGGCGCGGGTCACGTGATGTGCGTGCTGGATCCTAGTTTCGCCATGCTGTGAGGGGGAGAACCCGACCTATACGATGCTCTTAGCTTTGCACACTATGAAGTAACCGAATTTCCTTATGTGATGTCATTTTTATTTGTAACTAATAACTTTTAGTTTTCTTTTTTTTTTTTTCTGTAAATAAACTTGAAGTTTGTTGTATTTAATTGCTGTGTGTGTGTCATTCTATCCATCGCGTCCCCCTCCCCTCCCATCCCATCTCCCCCCTTCTCATCACATCTCCTGCCTTCCCGTCTCCCCCCTTCCCATCCCAACTCCCGCCGTCCCGTCTCACGCGATCTCGTCTCCGGCCTTCCCGCCACGTCTCCGGCCTTCCCGCCACGTCTCCGGCCTTCCCGCCCCCGCCACGTCTCCGGCCTTCCCCCCCCCGCCACGTCTCCGGCCTTCCCGCCCCCGCCACGTCTCCGGCCTTCCCGCCCCGCCACGTCTCCGGCCTTCCCGCCCCCGCCACGTCTCCGGCCTTCCCGCCCCCCGCCACGTCTCCGGCCTTCCCGCCCCCGCCACGTCTCCGGCCTTCCCGCCCCCGCCACGTCTCCGGCCTTCCCGCCCCGCCACGTCTCCGGCCTTCCCGCCCCGCCACGTCTCCGGCCTTCCCGCCCCCGCCACGTCTCCGGCCTTCCGCCCCCGCCACGTCTCCGGCCTTCCCGCCCCCGCCACGTCTCCGGCCTTCCCGCCCCGCCACGTCTCCGGCCTTCCCGCCCCCGCCACGTCTCCGGCCTTCCCGCCCCGCCACGTCTCCGGCCTTCCCGCCCCCGCCACGTCTCCGGCCTTCCCGCCCCCCGCCACGTCTCCGGCCTTCCCGCCCCGCCACGTCTCCGGCCTTCCCGCCCCGCCACGTCTCCGGCCTTCCCGCCCCCGCCACGTCTCCGGCCTTCCCGCCCCCGCCACGTCTCCGGCCTTCCCGCCCCCGCCACGTCTCCGGCCTTCCCGCCCCGCCACGTCTCCGGCCTTCCCGCCCCGCCACGTCTCCGGCCTTCCCGCCCCGCCACGTCTCCGGCCTTCATCCCCTGTCACCCCTAACTGGGAATTCAATGCAGATTTCAGGTGCCAATCTATAGGTCCTTCTATACAGTTGTGTTCAAAATAATAGCAGTCCTAGGGGGCGGGGCTGGCTGCCAAGAAGATGGCTGCTGGAGGAAGATCCTGGAGCACACAGCAGTATACAGCCATACCCAGCAACGTGGGGAAGCACACCCCCACTCTCATCCAGGGGACTGTAAACACCCCATGTACACAATGGGTAAGAGGAAACCAGGGGGTCCCCCTGCAAACTAACAGAATTCTGTGCCCCTGATGTCCCAAGATGGCACTGGCTGCAGTAGACCACATACCTCCTCAGTCAGTGGCTCATCTATACCGGCTCTCACTGCAGAGGAAGCAGCCGCTCTTCACACAGAGGTACTTCAGTTAATCGTCCTGTAAAAGCTCCTGGATGTCTCCATCAGTATGCAGGTGAGAAAAACTAAAGGGGATACTTCAGGAGACTACTAGAGAATATATTGCTGGTATCTGACAAAACTTTTAGGACATGCTGGTGTCACTGCGGGGTTCCTTCCATCGAGATGTTATCCATAGTTACCCAGATCAGAAGTGGATGTACTTGGTGAGAGAATAAACCATACAGAAAACAAGATGGATTTGGGGGGGGAATTTGCAAGAGCACACAATGAATTCATAGATTCTCATAATGCAGCTGATGACATTACTGCCCTTACCCACTTGGTAACTGTGCTATAGTCATATGATGGGTATCCAGATCTAGGAAGGTGTCATATGACGTCCTTCCAGAACACGCATCCAGCAATTGCTGTGTCCTACGGCCACAGCTGATCATGTGATGTGGTAAAAGGCCAATCCCAGCTGCCTTTTAGCACATGATCAGCTGTGTCCAATGACAGAGCAGATCACGGAGTAAATACAGTTGCCGGTTATCGGCCTCAGCCTGAGGAAAGTACTGCCGATAACCAGCTACTGTCACAGACCAGATCGGCACTGATCGTCAGTACCCATCAATGCCCACCACTGCCACCTCATCTGCCTCAACGCCCACCACTGCCACCTCATCAGTACCACCTCAATGCCCACCACTGCCGCCTCAACACCCACAACTGCCACCTCATCTGCCTCAACGCCCACAACTGCCACCTCATCTGCCTCAACGCCCACAACTGCCACCTCATCTGCCTCAACGCCCACCACTGCCACCTCATCTGCCTCAACGCCCACCACTGCCACCTCATCAGTACCACCTCAATGCCCACCACTGCCACCTCATCTGCCTCAACACCCACAACTGCCACCTCATCTGCCTCAACGCCCACAACTGCCACCTCATCTGCCTCAACGCCCACAACTGCCACCTCATCTGCCTCAACGCCCACCACTGCCACCTCATCAGTACCGCCTCAATGCCCACCACTGCCACCTCATCAGTACCACCTCAATACCCACCACTGCCACCTCATCAGTACCTGCCTCAATGCCCACCACTGCCACCTCATCTGCCTCAACGCCCACCACTGCCACCTCATCAGTACCACCTCAATGCCCACCACTGCCACCTCATCTGCCTCAACGCCCACCACTGCCACCTCATCTACCACCTCAATGCCCACAACTGCCACCTCATCATCTGCCTCAATGCCCACCACTGCCACTCTCATCTGCCTCAACGCCCACCACTGCCAATGCCACCACTGGCACCTCATCCCCCTCAACGCCCACCACTGCCACCTCATCTGCGCCCACCTCACCTCATCAGTACCACCTCAATGCCCACCACTGCCACCTCATCTGCCTCAACACCCACAACTGCCACCTCATCTGCCTCAACGCCCACAACTGCCACCTCATCTGCCTCAACGCCCACAACTGCCACCTCATCTGCCTCAACGCCCACCACTGCCACCTCATCAGTACCACCTCAATGCCCACCACTGCCACCTCATCTGCCTCAACGCCCACCACTGCCACCTCATCAGTACCGCCTCAATGCCCACCACTGCCACCTCATCAGTACCACCTCAATACCCACCACTGCCACCTCATCAGTCCGCCTCAATACCACCACTGCCACCTCATCTGCCTCAACGCCCACCACTGCCACCTCATCAGTACCACCTCAATGCCCACCACTGCCTCAAGTACCGCCTCAATGCCCACCACTGCCACCTCATCTGCCTCAACACTCACCACTGCCACCTCAATGCCCACCACTGGCACCTCATCTCCCTCAACCCCCACCACTGCCACCTCATCTGCCTCAACACCCACCACTACCACCTCATCAGTGTCTCCTCAATGCCCACCACTGCCACCTCATCATCCACCGCTGCAGCCTTCATCAACACACATTAGTGAAGGAGAAAGATTGCAAACCTTTATAGAAACAATGAAAACATTTTTTTTTTTTTTTTTTTTTTTTTAATCTATTTTTTTGTTTATAATGCAAAAAAATAAAACACCCCAGCCGCGATTAAATACCACCAAAAGAAAGCTCTAGTGATACACAATAAACTGAGCATGTGCAGAGTGACTCCACGCTATATGTCTTCTTTTTTTTTTTTTTTGTTTAACAGTTTATTGGATGGCCACAAAGTTACAGCCAAACAAGTAGGCACACACCATATGTCTTATCAGTAGATAAGAGGGAGACACTGGAAGAAGGGGAGGATCAGAGAAGTCAGGATCAAACATCCTTTTTACACAATGCGGAGGTTTAACCCCTTAGGTCCCACAGGGATTATAACAAGCATGATTTACTGCATATACAGACTGATTGTACTGTTGTGGGTTTAGTAACACTTTAACCAGTTCCCTGCTGCCCTATAGCAGAAGTACTGCTACAGGGCGGCAGGGCTGCACAAAATCCCTAGCCGCCATTGGCAGCTAGAGATGTCAATCACCAGGTACTGGCCAGAGATTTCGAGTAATTTCATCCCCACCAATGGTTAGACAATACGCTAAAGCATTAAGATAAACCTTTTTTGTTAGGGGAAGTATCTAATGGCCTGTTGGTATATATTTGAATACAAATTTAGAAGCGGAAAGGGGACTGATTATTGAGCTGATTATTCTCCTTTCCTTTGAAAATAGTTGTATATTAATAAGTGGTTTAGGTATCTTTGGCAAAATAACCCTCAGAGGGATTCTTTAATTAATACCGCCATCTTGTGGTGGTTTTGTGGTAATTACTATTGTGACTTTAGATGCCTTTGACTTAACCACTTGCCTACCAGGCACTTATACCCCCTTCCTTACCAGGCCAATTTTCAGCTTTCAGCGCTGCCGCACTTTGATTGACAATTGCGCGGTCATGCAACATTGTACCCATATGAAATTTTGATCATTTTTTTCTCACAAATAGAGCTTTCTTTTGGTGGTATTTAATCGCCACTGGGCACTTTACTTTTTTGCGCTATAAATTTAAAAAAGTGCAAAAAAATTTGAAAAAAAAAAAAAAAAAGTTTATTTGTTTCTTTTATAAAATTTTTCAAACAGGTATTTTTTCTCCTTCACTAATTTACGTTGATGAGGCGGCACTGATGGGCACTGATAGGCACGGCACTGATAGGCAGAAAGGGCACTGATAGGCAGTACTAATGAGGTGGCACGGATAGGCGGCACTGATAGACAGCACTAATTAGGGGTCACGGATAGGCGGCACTGATATGCAGCACTGATAGGCGGCACTGATAGGTGACACTGATGATGGGTACTGATAGACGGCACTGACTGGCATCACTTCTGGGCACTGACTGGCACAACCCCTGGGCACTGACTGGCAGCACTGCTGGGCTGCACTGGTGGGTGGCACTGGTGGGCAGCACTGGTGGGGTGGGCACAGGTGGGTGGCACAGGTGGGTGGCACAGGTGGGTGGCACTGGTGGGCACAGGTGGGTGGGCACAGGTGGGTGGCACTGCTGGGCACATGTAGGTGGCACTTCTGGGCACAGGTAGGTGGCACAGGTGGGTGCACTGCTGGGCACAGGTGGGGGCACTGCTGGGAACGGGTGGGCGGGGCTAGTGGGCGCACTGCTGGGCGGAACTTGCGGGTGTCACTGCTGGGCACCGATCATCAGGGCACTGATCATCAGTGCCCTGATGATCGGTGCCGATCCCCGCTCTGAAAACTGCCGGTTCTCGGCAGTACTTTCCTCACGATCTGACAGCGTGAGGAAAGTGCAGCCGAGAACCGGCACTTGCATTTCCCTGTGATCAGCGTGTCATTGGACACCGCTGATCACGTGGTAAAAGGCCGGTGGGATCGGCCTTTCACCACATCACGTGATCAGCTGTGTCCGTAGGACACAGCGATCACGGAGATCGCCGGGTGCGCGCCCTGGGGCCGCCCAGGAGAGCGCGTTCTGGGAGGACGTCATATGACGTCCACTCAGAACTGGCCGGCCGCGGTGAAGCCGTCATTCGGCTATGCGCGGTCGGCAAGAGGTTAATGACCAGGTTTGGAGATTCTTCCATTAATATTGCCATCTTCTGGTGAATGTGTGGTAATGTGTGGTAATTTTTTATTTTTTATTTAATTATTTTTATTTCTTTTTGCATTGATGGAATTGTCAAGCCTTTCCTCTCTTTAGTATATCCAGTCACCTGTCCTTTTAATTTAATAATGACCAGCGGTTGTGCTAAGTATTTAGCTGTTTTTCTCCCATTGAGAATAACTGCAAGTTAATTATTTGCATAAGTGGGTGGGTCTTAACCCACTATAAATAGGAAGCTGAAATGCAGTAATCTCATTGGTCCTGACGAAGTGAGTGAGATACGCCCATCGGCGAAACGCGTTGACGTCATACGTCAGATACGTCACTTCCGGTCATGCGCACTAGGTGAAACGCACACCGACCTACAAGGAGGCAGCCATTTCCACATGCCATGAGTCATGCAAAGGCTGTACAGGTGCCATGGAGAGGTCGGAACCCGCGATATGTCGGCTGATGTAAGCGGTGGTTCCCTGGATCAACACGGCAGTACCTATGAAGGTTTTCCTTTTTCTACTACCCATGCACAGGTGGTGAGTGGACTGTTACAGGACATTAGATAAAAAGTCCCTTGCGACTTGCATGACAATATACGTCTACCATAGAGTGAAAGTTCTCACAAGTGACTACCTTTATATTGTTTGTCTTATCACAGGATGGGGACATTATGGTGCTTTACATAGAAACAAGGCACACCACATAGATGTCAACAGGCGGAAGATTCATTGGGCCTTACCTTGTTTCCAACAAAAAAGTGGTTTGCAGTCCACATGCTGTGGTGAAGAAACCATTTAAAGCAGATTTCTGCTACTGGCATCTATCTTTCCATCAAGGCAACAACAGGGGCTCTTTTCATTATAAGAATCCTCTCAATCAGTCACGTTTATCACAGATTAATGGGCCCCAACCACGTGTGCCGGTATAGGGTTGTACTGCATTATTTATGTTATACCCACCCATTGCCTATCATAGGCTTAGGGTCATGCCTCTCTTTTGACGATTACTGTGCTCGCTGTACTGCATGCATGTGATATGATATACCCTCGGTATAATTTTTGGAAATCCCCCCCTATATGGGGTATAACCTATATGGTTATGACATATGTCTATATATATAGCATGTGACATTGTATACCTATGGTATAATTTTTTGTATACACCTCCTATAGGAAGTGTTACCTATGTGCCAGTGCTGCAAGGACTTTTAGACTATAGCAGTCATAGTCTTTGTAGCACATTTATCCAGACCGGTCTTGGTGTGATTTTATATGGTTTTAGGTCTGTGTGTATTGTCTCATACTGAGGTGATGATAAACCAGGGCGATTGCCCATATGTCAAATATTCATGTTTAATAAAGCATTTTTTGGAAATTTTTCTGAGTATCACATTCTGTTCATAATGTAGCCGCTTTTCTGTGAATCTCTTTTCACAAACTTCTTTCTTACTGGCCAGAGATTCCCTACTGGTACCTGGCAATCGTCAGGAAAAGTCAACAGGGGCGAGACCTGTGTGTAAACAACACAGGTCTCTCTCCTGTTGGCAAGGGCATGCTGCTTTGTATTGCTCTGCACAGCATGTCTCAGTAGTAAAACACTCCCAGCACACAGTTAATCGTTTGATTGCCCAAAAGTTAACCCCTTCCTGCCCAGTGCCATTAGTACAGTGTCAGTGATTTTCATTAGCACTGATCACTGTATTGGTGTCACTGGGGATGTCAGTGACACCAAGTCAGTTCCACTGCAGTGTCAGAATGTCCGCCGCAGTCCTGCTATAAGTCACTGATTGCCACCATTACTAATAAATAAAAAAAATGAATATCCCGCCATTTGTAGACACCATAACTATCACGTAAACCAATTAAATTTACACTGATTGGGATTTTTGTTTTTAGCAAAGACATGGAGCATTGGTGTCACTGGGGATGTCAGTGACACCATGGGGATGTCAGTGACAGCATGGACATTGGTGCCACTGGGGATGTCAGTGACACCAAGTCAGTTCCCCTGCAGTGTCAGAATGTCCGCCGCAGTCCTGCTATAAGTCACTGATTGCCACCATTACTAATAAATAAAAAAAAATGAATATCCCGCCATTTGTAGACACCATAACTTTCACGTAAACCAATTAAATTTACACTGATTGGGATTTTTGTTTTTAGCAAAGACATGGAGCAGAATACATTTTGGCCTAAATTTGACGAAATTTTATTTTTTAAATTATTTTACTGGATATGTTTAAAAGTAAAAATTGTTTTTTTTTTTTCTCAAAATTGTCGGTCTTTTTTGTTCATAGCACAAAAAATAAAAAAAGACGACCAAATACCACTGAAAGAAAGCTCAATTTGTGGGGAAAAAAAGAGTACGTAAATTTAATTTACGTACAACGTTGTATGACTGCGCAATTGTCAGTTAAAATAACGCAGCGCTGTATCGCAAAAAAAAAAAAAAAGCCTGGACAAGAAGAGGGGGTAAATCCTCCGGAGGGTGAGGGGTTAAAGTGATTCTAAAGGTTTGTTTTATTTTTTTTAAGAAAAAATAACAAACATGTCTATACTTACCTTCTCTGTGTAATGGTTTTTCACAGAGCAGCCCTGATCCTCCTCTTCTCGGGTCCCTTCCCTCCTGTTGGGTGCCCCCACAGCAAGCAGCTTGCTATGGTGGCACCCGCTGCTCCGTGTGTCCATTAATACACAGAGTCGCGGCTCATCCCTGCCCCCTCTCTCTTCTCATTGGGTGAGACAGAAGCGGGAGCTATTGGCTTACACTGCTGTCAATCACAGAAGAGGGAATCCCAGGATAAGTGAGACTCCAGCAGGGGCGGACTGACAACTCATGGGGCCCCCGGGCAAGAGGGGATCATGGGGGCTCCTGTGTCCTTGCCCAAACTCAAAAAAAAGCCTATGAAAAAGGTACCAGGGGCATCTCATGGGGCCCCCTACTGACCCCGGGCCCTCAGTTTACAAATGGTCAGTCCGCCCCTGGACTCCAGTGAACATCGCTGGATCGAGAGGGGGTTAGGTGAGTATTGGGGGGGGAGAAGCACACAGAAGGAGGAACCACTTTAAAACGTGTAAAGGAGCTGAGAGCTCCACCTTCAGACTGAGAAAATTACATAACATTGAAATCAATATTAAATATTTTTATTTTCTTTAGTCGTGGCCATAATAACAAATATAAATATGTACAACCAATATATATATATTCCCTGTAAAAAAATTCCAGGCATTACTGTGCAAATCGGGAGCACTCCGCTCAGGGTTGGTCATTGGAAAGAAAAGCTGGTGTTTGGGAGACCTCCGCACCATTGACTGATAAACCGCAGGACATCCTGACACTCGGGGCTGTGGCTGGTCTGGTAGCAGAATTAAAAAAAAAAAAAAAGAAAATTTAAAAAAAAAAAAAAACGAAAAAAGGAAAAAAAGAAAATTAAAAAAAAAAAAGGAAAAACAAAGAAGGAGGAGAAAAAAGAAAAAAAAAGAAGAAGATAATTTGTTGGGGGTGGGGCAGATCTAAAGGGCAGGAGAGCAGGTAAATGAGAGGAAATTACCTTAATGGCCATGAGGAATTTATTCCAGTCTTCCTTGTTAGCAGCTTTTCCCGGCTGTTTAAATTCCACCTTATTCCTCAGGACTGGATACCCTGCAGACAGCCGACAAAGAAATGTCATCACACTCTGAAAGAATTACATAGTGACTCCTAGGAGGATGATTCCAGGGGCTTCCTGATCACCCGCGGTTATTCCCATAGTAAGAGGTCACCATATACAATGAGAGAGATCTCACCGGTGATCAGACACGGCAGGGAATGGATTCCACTGTTTGTGGCTACAAGTGACCCTTCAAAGGCGCCTCGTTCATCCTGAGGAAAAGTCTGCTCCACTCTCTGATCCATGGACACTGCCAACACCCACTCCTTCACCTCCTCCCGCTTATCCGCCTGGCAGAGGAGAGACACCAATAATACAGCTGTAAAGTGCACATGGAGGGGTGCAGCACAGAAAATAAGGGCAACAGGGTGATAGATCGCAGACATTGGGGAGGACACAATGGGAAAGAGGGAGTGGCAGATCGCAGACGGTGGGGAGGAGGGAGCGGTAGATCGGTACGGTGGGGAGGACGGGGAGCGGGGGAGGAGGGAGCGGTAGAGTACAGAAGGTGGGGAGGAGCGAGCAGTAGAGCACAACCACAGGGATCAGGGAGCAGTAGAGCACAGACAGTGGGGAGGAGGGAGGGAGGGGTAGAGCACAGATGGTGGGGAGGGGACAATGGGGAAGAGAGAGGGGATGAGAGAGCAGTAGGATGAAGCGCAGGGAGGAGGCGACAGTAGAGCACAGACAGTGAGGAGAAGGGAGGGGTAGAGAGCAGAAAGAAGAAGGTACACAGGGCAGCAGAGCAAAACGAGCAGACAGGGGAGAGAGAGCGCAAGAGGCGGGGAGGCGGGGAGGAGGGAGCGGCAGAACGCAGGCAGTGGGGGATAGAGCGCGCAGGCAGTGGGGAGGGAGAGAGAGCGCAGGCAGCGGGGGAGGAGAGAGCGGCAGAGCGCAGGCAGCGGGGAGGAGGGAGCGGCAGAGCGCAGGCAGCGGGGGGAGGAGGGAGCGGCAGAGCGCAGGCAGCGGGGAAGGAGAGCGCGCAGGCAGTGGGGAGGAGAGAGCGCAGGCAGTGGGGAGGAGAGAGTGGCAGAACGCAGCGGCAGAGCAGGCAGGAGGAGGGAGTGGCAGAACGCAGGCAGCGGGGAGGAGGAGAGCGGCAGCAGAGGGAGGGAGCGGCAAAGACGCAGGCAGCGGAGGAGGAGGGGAAGCAGGCAGCGGGGAGGAGGGAGCGGCAGAGCGCAGGCAGCTGGGGGAGGAGGGAGCGGGAGCGGCAGAGCGGAAGGGAGCAGTGCAGGCGCAGGCAGCGGGGAGGAGGGAGCGCAGGCAGCGGGGAGGAGGGAACGGCAGAGCAGAAAAGGCAGCAGGGAGAAAGGAGCGGCAGAGCGCAGGCAGCAGGGAGAAAGGAGCGGCAGAGCAGGCAGCAGGGAGAGGCAGCAGAGGAGAAAAGGAGAAAGGGAGCGGCAGAGCGCAGGCAGTAAGAAGCAGGGAGGGGAAAGGACGGGCATTGTAGCCTTTACTAATCATAGAATCATTAGTAAAAAGTTGTGATGAGAAGGGTTTCACAGGATATCCTCTGCTCACCGGAACATGCTGTTTGGCGGGGAGTGGAACCTCAAATGGAATGTCTGTGTTTTGAAAATCCGTGTTATCCAAGGCATCCAGATTTCCTTCTTCAATTGCCTGGAGATGATGAAAAGATTTAGGAAATCCAATAGTGGACATTTATCTGTTCATAGTTAAGAAAGACGTTCCCCAGCATATCACCTCGTCTTTCAGATACTCACATCTACCAGGTCAAGGAATCTGTTCAGGAAGATGAAGGCCGAGTTCTGCCAGCCCATTCCCTGGAAATAGAACACAGAGACAGCTCACAGCAAGCTCAGCCCCACTCAGTGTCAGACCCCAGCTACAAAAGCACCGAACATATCAGGATCCGAAAAAATGGAGATCAAACACAAGATCCTGGGATAGTATTCCTGCTGTAATAAATGGAACTTCACCAAAAGATGATCTATAGAGATCTAATTGCCTTTGCAGGTCAGAATAGACCCCCCCCCCCTCTACTTCCCCTTCTATGGCAGACCATTGGTGTTTTATGATTGTCCATGAAAGTATCATACAAACCAGCCCCATAGTATCTGTAGGAACCCAGAGATCTGGATTTGTGTTAAATGGCAGGACAGTTCCTAGGTATATTTGTAACATATCACTGGGGGGGGGGGGGGGATTGGTCTTATGCTGAATGTCGGGCCAGTTTCTCCTTGGTGGGGGATCCTACATATTCTCCACTACAGGTCACTAGGGAGTGGGGGAGGGAAGATCCAGTCTTATACTGAAAGGTGGGGGGTCCACATATTTTCTGTTATGGGTCACTGGGGAAGGATGAGGGGTTGGCAGAGATTATATAAATCAGAATTTCAAAACAGATTACATTTTGTCTAATGGGTAAACGCCCATCTGCAGCTAGACTGAGGCAAGACACAGAGCCATTGTAGTGCGCGGTATCGTTCCAACAGGCAGGCTACAGGGTTCCATGAATGTTTGTCATGTGATGTCCCCCCCCCCCCCCACCACCACTCTCAGCTGATATAGAACACATATTACCTTGGCAGCCGTTCCGGCCTCATAGAATGCTTTGTCTGCAGGGAGCAGCTCAGTGTGACGCAGGAGCGAGATGCAGAGTTTAGCAGCTATCACATCCTGTAAGAGATATTGTCATCAGTGTCATTGGTCCATGAGGAGGTAATGAAACAGAGCAGGTCTACAGAAAGGACCAAATGCAAAGGGTTAAAGGGAGAGACCACGAGACAGGAGAGGAGTAGAGGGAGAGAGTGATGGAAGAGGAGGAAAGGGAGAGAGATAAGGCAGCAGAGGAGTAGAGGGAGAGAGACAAGATGACAGAAGAGGAGGGGAGGAAGAGAGATGAGGCGGAAGACTAGGAGTAGAGGAAGAGATGATGAGGTGGAAGACTAGGAGTAGAGGAAGAGAGATGAGGTGGAGAGAGGAGTAGAGAGAGAGAAGAGGAGAGAAATGAGGCAGAAGAGAGAAGGAGGAGAGGAGAGAGAAGTGAAGAAGAGCAGGAGAGGGGGAGAACCAAAGTGATGGAAGAGGACAAAGAGGAACAAGATGTGGGAGAAAGACGAGAGGAAGAGACAGGTGGCAGAAGAAGAAGAAAGGGAGAGAAGACGAGGTGGAGAGAGAGAGGAGAAGAGGGAGAGAAACTAGAGGAGAGGAGAGAGACAAGGCTACGGAGAGAGACAAGGTGGGGAGGAGAGAGGCAGAGAGAGAGGGAGGAAGGCTACGGAAGAGGAGAGGGAGAGAGACAAGGCAGCAAGAGGAGGAGAGGGAGAGAGACAAGGCTACTATGGAAGAGGAGAGGGAAAGAAAAAGAAGACAGAAGAGAAAGGAAGAAAGGCAGAAAGACGAGGCGGCAGAGGAGGGAGAGGGGAGAAACAAAGTGATGGAAAAGGAAGAGAGGGAGAGCAATGAGGTGACGGAAGAGGAAAGGGAGAGAGATGAGGCGGCATAGGAGGATGAAAGGGAGAGAGAGAAACAAGGTTGCAGAGGAGAGGAAGAGAGACAAGGTAGCACAGAGGGAGGAGAGGAAGAGACGAGGCAATGGAAGAAGAGGCGAGGGAGAGAGATGAAGCAAGGCGATGTTAGGAAAGCAAAGGGAGAGAGATGAGGTGGCAGAGGAGAAAGAGAAAGACTAGGTGACAGGGGAGAAGCAGAGACAGGATGACAGTGTGAGGAGAGGAAGAAAAATAAAAAGACAGAGAGGGAGAGAGTTGGGGAGACAGAGGAGGAGAGGAAGAGAGATGGGAAAATACAGAAGTAGCAATGGGGTGACAGAGGAGGAGACGAGGGAGACAGAGAAGGAAGAGAGGGAAAAAAAACATGGCACCAGAGAAGGAAGACAGGGAGAGGGATGAGGCAACAGAGGAGGAAAAGGGAGAGAAAAATAGAAAAAAAAACAGTGAGGGCAACTAGGGAGGAGGAGAGATGAGGCAACAGAGGAGACAGATAGGCGAAAGATGATTGGGGGGGGGGGGGGGGGGGGAGAAGAGATGAGGTGACAAAGGAGGAGCGGAAAAAAAAATTGGCAGATAAGAGGAGCAGATATGAAGCAATAGAGGAAGCAAGGGAGAGGGATGGGGCAACAGAAGATGAGGAAGACAGAGACAAGATGACTGAAGAAGAAAGTGAATTTGTGCGATGTGAGAAAGAAGAGTAAATGGAACAGCAGAGAAAATGAGATGAGTGAACAAAGAAGGGCTTAGAGATCGTAGAATGGCAGAACTATACCAGGGAGGACAGAGATATTAGGATGGGTAAAGGATGCACACAGTAGTTGTACTCACCAGTGACTGCACCCCCTGTGATGCAGAACGCGTAGCGTAATAATGAGCAATCAGCATCATAAGCTCAAACTCTTGGTGTGCCGGAGAATTCACCTCGCTGGATTTCACTAGGTTCTCACACTGCCAAACACAGAATAATCACCATGATCACCCCAGATTAGATGTCCAGTTCCAGTACCACCCACCCTGTGGTCATTGGTCCTCCCCCAAGCCTGTGGTCACTGGTCCTCCCCCCCCCCCCCCGGCCTGAGGTCACTGGTCCTCCCCCCATGGCCTGAGGTCACTGGTCTTCCCCCCACGGCCTGAGGTCACTGGTCTTCCCCCCCACGGCCTGAGGTCACTGGTCTTCCCCCCACGGCCTGAGGTCACTGGTCCTCCCCCCCCACGGCCTGAGGTCACTGGTCCTCCCCCCACGGCCTGAGGTCACTGGTCCTCCCCCCCCACAGAGGTCACTGGTCCTCCCTCACCAGGCCAGAGGTCACTGGTCCTCCTCACCAGGCCAGAGGTCACTGGTCCTCCCACCAGGCCAGAGGTCACTGGTCCCTCCTCACCAGGCCAGAGGTCACTGGTCCTCCCCCCGGCCAGAGGTCACTGGTCCTCCCCCCGGCCAGAGGGTCACTGGTCCTCCCCCCGGCCAGAGGTCACTGGTCCTCCCCCAGGCCAGAGGTCACTGGTCCTCCCCCAGGCCAGAGGTCACTGGTCCTCCCCCCGGCCTGAGGTCACTGGTCCTCCCCCCGGCCTGAGGTCACTGGTCCTCCCCCCGGCCTGAGGTCCTGAGGTCACTGGTCCTCCCCCCGGCCTGAGGTCACTGGTCCTCCCCCCCGGCCTGAGGTCACTGGTCCTCCCCCCGGCCTGAGGTCACTGGTCCTGCCCCCCGGCCTGAGGTCACTGGTCCTCCCCCCGGCCTGAGGTCACTGGTCCTCCCCCCGGCCTGAGGTCACTCTCCCCCCAGCCTGAGGTCTATGAACTATGAGCATTGTACCACCATCCAGAGATACTGTTATCGCTACAGACAAAGGCTACAATGGAGCTCTCACCAGGGAGTAAAGCAGGTCCCGCAGGTTGGCCCAGGTATGGTAAACCTCAGCACAGTTCATTCCCTCCGCATTCACCATCTCCACAAAGATCCGCTTATAAATGTTGAAATTCTGTGAATGGAAGAGACAATCATGTAGACTATGTGCAAATTTATACTTCTGGCCCCCTCCTACCCAAGTGGGCAGTAATTATTATTATTATACAGTATTTATAAAGCGCCAATAGTTCGCTCAGCGCTGTACATTACAAAAGGGAGACAGAACATGTGACAGAACAATACCAATACAATGCAAAACATGAGGGGATCGAGGGCCCTGCTCTTTCGAGCTTACAATCTAGGAGATGAGTTGACATGATGAGAGGTCATTGACACAGAAGGGTAGGGTAGGGCCACTGGGGCCAAATAGGACCCACTGCCCCCCCGCTCTGCTAGCAGTTTGGTTCTAGGTGTCCAAGCAAACTAACTTGTACAATTATCATCAATATAAAACTCCACCCACAATGGTACACAAAGGGGGTTATTTACTTGGAGAGTGCAAAATCTGGTGCAGCTCTGCATAGAAAACCAATCAGCTTTCAGGTTTTATTGTCAAAGCTTAATTAAACAAGCTGAAGTTAGAAGCTGATTGGCTGCCATGCACAGCTGCACCAGATTCAGACTAGACCAGTTTTAGTAAATCTCCCCCAACGTATGCAAGGACAGCAGAGGACCCGTCTGGATGTCGAATGGTTGACTGACGTGTGGGTGGCTGTGGGTTGCCTCTGAATGTCTTGTCACAGCCTATGTTGTCCATACAGAAATCCAGCCCTGGATTTAATGGTTTTATATTATATACAGGAAGAAAAGATAAAATATTGAAATGATGAATTAAATGAACATGAAATGATGAAGAAAAAGTGAACAACACTGATGATCTGGCATCTGAAAGTGGGTGGGATATATTAGACAGCAAGTGAACATGTTGTCCCTCAAGTTGATGAACTGAATGAGGAACAAAATGGGCAAGAATAAGGATTTGAGTGACTGACAAGGGCCAAATTGTAATGGTTGGAGGAGTGGGTCAGACCAAATCTAAAGCTGCAGCTTTTGTGGGAGGTTCCCGGTCTGCAGTGGTCAGGATCTATCAAAGGTGGTTCAAGGAAGAAAAAAAAAACAGGTTCATGAGCAGCCAAGGTTCATTGATGCAAGCGGGGGAAGCAAAGGATGGCCTGTGTAGTACAATCCCACAAAAGAGCTACTGGAGCTCAAATTGCTGAAGAAGTGAATGCTGGTTCTGAAAGGTATGAGAACACTCAGTGCATCGCAGTTTGTTGTGTATGGGGGTGCATAACTGGTGACCGGTTAGGGTGCCCATGCCGAACCATGTCCACAGCCAAAAGTGCCGACAATGGGCACGTGAGCATTAGAACTGGACCACGGAGTAACAGAAGAAGGTGGACTGGTCTGATAAATTTGAGAATGGTTTGAGAAACCCTACGAGTTAGTAGGTGCTGACTTGGCCTCCAAATTCTCCAGATCAATCGAGCATCTGTAGAATATGCTGGAAGTCTAATCTTTTTAGGTCCCACCTTGCAACCTACAGGACCGTAAAAAGGTTCTGCTACTGACAGCTTGGTGCCAGATACCACAGCATACCTTCAGACATCAAGTGGGGTTCATGTCTCAGCGGTTTATGGTGGGTGGTCATAATGTTATGGCTGATCGGTGCATAAAAGAACAAACCCAGGTACGCCAAAAATCCACACAAAATACAACAAACGCAATGAAAGCAATCTGGAAGAGGTAAAGGTGGAATTACCTGATTGAAGGCCGGAGCTCCGTGTTGGACATACAGGGACAAGGCCTTCTCCCAGCTGCCTTCTTTGATGAGGTGAGTGGCGAACAGGGCCACGTACTTGTGCAGGACGTTATAATTCTGCAAGACAAAGACAGGAGGTCAGCAGATGTTCCTATACAGCAAACAGAGACCTCTGACAGGAACAACAGGGGATGGATCTCGTAGTAATTGTTCCATCAGAGGAACACCAGTCCGTAGCTGCAGCAAGTGCTGATACTCTTCACAGGAAGATGTGTAAAAAGGACTGGCAAAGCCTGCTAGGTGGACTGTACATCCGAATCTTCTATCAATGACTGACCTGTATGGACCCCCGCAACATGTACCCTCTACCCTAAGGGGCTGATGTGAACACACACAGATGCAGATCCATAAACAATCCCCAGTCCTCCCATCCATGCGCTTCCCAATGGGCCTTCCCATCCAGGCACTGCCCACGGGTCTTCACGACCATAGACAGACCCCGAGTCTTCACGAACATAGACAGACCCCGAGTCTTCACGTCCATAGACAGACCCCGAGTCTTCACGTCCATAGACAGACCCCGAGTCTTCACGTCCATAGACAGACCCCGAGTCTCCACGTCCATAGACAGACCCCGAGTCTCCACGACCATAGACAGACCCCGAGTCTTCACGACCATAGACAGACCCCGAGTCTTCACGACCATAGACAGACCCCGAGTCTTCACGACCATAGACAGACCCCGAGTCTTCACGTCCATAGACAGACCCCGAGTCTTCACGTCCATAGACAGACCCCGAGTCTTCACGTCCATAGACAGACCCCGAGTCTTCACGTCCATAGACAGACCCCGAGTCTTCACGTCCATAGACAGACCCCGAGTCTTCACGTCCATAGACAGACCCCGAGTCTTCACGTCCATAGACAGACCCCGAGTCTTCACGTCCATAGACAGACCCCGAGTCTTCACGTCCATAGACAGACCCCGAGTCTTCACGTCCATAGACAGACCCCGAGTCTTCACGTCCATAGACAGACCCCGAGTCTTCACGTCCATAGACAGACCCCGAGTCTTCACGTCCATAGACAGACCCCGAGTCTTCACGTCCATAGACAGACCCCGAGTCTTCACGTCCATAGACAGACCCCGAGTCTTCACACATAGACAGACCCCATCACGTCCATAGACAGACCCCGAGTCTTCACGTCCATAGACAGACCCCGAGTCTTCACGTCCATAGACAGACCCCGAGTCTTCACGTCCATAGACAGACCCCGAGTCTTCACGTCCATAGACAGACCCCGAGTCTTCACGTCCATAGACAGACCCCGAGTCTTCACGTCCATAGACAGACACCGAGTCTCCACGTCCATAGACAGACACCCGAGTCTTCACGTCCATAGACAGACCCCGAGTCTTCACGTCCATAGACAGACCCCGAGTCTTCACGACCATAGACAGACCCCGAAGACAGACCCCGAGTCTTCACGACCATAGACAGACCCCGAGTCTTCACGTCCATAGACAGACCCCGAGTCTTCACGTCCATAGACAGACCCCGAGTCTTCACGTCCATAGACAGACCCCGAGTCTCCACGTCCATAGACAGACACCGAGTCTTCACGTCCATAGACAGACACCGAGTCTTCACGTCCATAGACAGACACCGAGTCTTCCTGTCCTTAGACAGACCCAGAGTCTTCCTGTCCATAGACAACCCTTGAGTCTTCCCATCTATGCACAATCTCTGAGTCTTCCTGTCCATTCTTTTTCTTACCTGTTTCGCTGCTATTTCTATACACCTCTCCCATTGTCCACGGTCCGCATACATATCAAGAGCGGCCACAACATCCACTCCAACCAACTGTGGAATGACAAAGAGATCAGTATTAAAGGAGTACAAATGGTGGCTGTACAGCTTGGTCAGATGGAGGTGATAGTAAGGGAAGATGGGTAGATTGGTATAGGGGAGTAATATTAGGGGGTATGGGGATTTCTGATGTGGGTAGCACACCTCGGGGGCATGGAGGTGATGGGCAAATTGGAACAGAGGGGCATTATGAGGGGGTACAGGTAGTTCACATGAATACTGTACTTTATGGAGGGACAGAGGTGATAGTGACAGGAGGATGAGTAGACTGGGATAGGGGAGCATTAGCAGATAAAGTAAGGGAAGTACTTTTACAAATTGCTGCAATAGAGGCAGCCATATTGGCAATAATAAGGGGCACAGGCTGCCAGAGAAATAAGTGCTGGTGCCTAAATAGTAATCATATGATTAGTGGCAGAGACATTAATGACATCATCTCACCGAATCTACTTTTCCCTGATTCTTCAGATGGTCCTTGTATTTGTCATTCACATACTGCTCATACCTGGAATAATGAAAAGAGAGTGTGACACATTGACACCAAATCTCAGGCTGTCTGTAGAAGGGTGCCAAGTTATATGAGGTTCCCTCTAGGACCCCTGAGATGCGGACAGCGAAGGCAGTAATCACAGAACAGTGGGCACCCCGGACCGGAGTGCAGGAGGATAAAAAGGGCAAAAAAGAGGATCCTGAGATGACGATGGGGGCTGTTATCACAGCAAGACACCTGGGATAAATTTAAGGAGCTGTTATTACATGAAAAGCCCTGGTATGAAGATAGGGGGTGGTATTACATGGTTTTGGTGACCTATGACCTGAGGCCAACTTCCAGACAATGTAGGACAGAGGAACCCTGAATTACACAATGGTCGTTACCTCAGGTCATCCTCCATGAACATGTAAGGCTGCAGAGCCCTGGGATAAAGGTGTAGGGCTGGAATTACATGACCGTGGTAACCTTTGATCTGAGGGCATCTACTAGAGCCCTGGTACCAAATATGCGGCCCATTGGTATATGATGTGAGGCCCTTGGATCTCAGCAATTTGTAGTAGGAACGTTGATTAGGGCAACAGCATTGATCTCTACTAGCCTCGTGTAACATGTTTCCAGTTTCATATTGTCTTCTGCAGCATAACCCCAAGCAACAATGTACCTTGTTCTCACTCTCTGACCCTCGTTTCATCTATTAGGTCTGCAGTTTATGACAGTCCTCTCAAGCATTACATATATAGGACACTATGTGCAGCCCTTTGGTGATGTCAGGGGTTGCATTTGAGGCTCCCTTTAGCCCATAAGTTGACAACCACTGTACTAGAGAGATGAAGGGCTACAGAACTTTGGGATGTAGGTCTCTGCATGTTCCATGACAACGGTGACCTCAGGCCACCTACCAGAGCAGGGCTCGACAAATCCCATGCGCCATGTCACCACGGCAATTAGAAATCCTATGTGAACACTTATCTCCGTATGCCACTCTACCAGGGGCGGAATGACCATTTGGAAACTCGGGTGCTGCCCGAGGGCCCGGGGTCAGTAGGGGGCCCCATGAGATGCCCCTGGTACCTTTTTCATAGGCTTTTTTGAGTTTGGGCAAGGACACAGGGGCCCCATGATCCCCTATTGCCCGGGGGCCCCATGAGTTGTCAGTCCGCCCCTGCACTCTACTCCGATTTGTGAGTCTGGAATGCACTACTACAAACTCACACAAGACCCTTTTCGACATGGCACTCAAAACACAATGTGTGTGGATCACATCTGTGTGAACCACCTCAATACGAACACATAATATCTAGCCTGTCATGCAAATCTGTGAGTTTCAAAACAAATCCAGAATCGCATATGTGTGAACCAGGGGGGCTCCATTTACACCTGTGAGTTTTGGGATCGCAGCAAAGTCGCTGTGATCACAAAACACAGGTTCAGGTGCCATTATTTTCAATAGCGCCTAAAACGTGGTGTGGTTTTGCTGTGATTGTCCCGTAGCAAATCATATTGCATGAAGTCCCAGGCGCTGACAACCCACGCTACGATAAAAAAAAAAACATGGCTCCTAATTTTTTTAGCTGGCTCCTAGATTTAAAGCAAATTTTTCAAGCCCTGTACCAGAGTAATAGGAGAAAACTCTATATTACAGATGAACAGCTGTTATTACACAACAGTGTTCATGACCTCTGACATGAAGCCAACTACTAGAGACTTGTAAGGCAGGAGAATTCTAAAATGTGGTCCTGGGGGTGACATTATATGATATTTCTGACCTTTGACCTGGAAACCTCTACAGAGGGATGATCTGAGTAGTGTAGGTGACTCTTCTCTGGTAAGACAAATGGGCATATAAGGAATTACCTGGAATCCAGCTCCTTGGCCACCCTCTTGGCCTTGTTCCATTCCTCTCCATCTATAAAGGCATCGATGGCCTCCTTCACCAGGTCCAGGTTCAGATAGAGCTCAGCCGCCTGGGGACAAGAATCACACATCAACATAGAATGAGATTTCTTTCTTCACTTACACTCGAGCCAGTCAGACGCGATACGTGGAGGATGTCAGCTCTTGGGTTCAATGAACTCACTGAAGCAGGTTGGTCAGTGTGTTAAACGGATACTAGTGATACTATTCCACTGTAATTTTTTTTTCCAAGACCCTTACTCCTGTAGCACTGTTGTTTGGTCACATGGTCTTTTCCCGTTCTTTGACATCTGCAGGGAAAGATCCTTGGCAGGGGCTTCTACTACTCTGCTGATGTATGCTCTACAGTAGGAGTCTGTGTCTGGCCAGTCCTGATTGGTGCTGTGCCAGTCACATGACTAAAATAAACAGTTACAGACAGGGCGGACTGACAACTCATGGGGCCCCGGGCAATAGGGGACCATGGGGCCCCTGTGTCCTTGCCCACACTCAAACCACACCCAAAAAAGCCTATGAAAAAGGTACCAGGGGCATCTCATGGGGCCCCCTTCTGACCCCGGGCCCTCGGGCAGTGCCCGAGTTCCCAAATGGTCAGTCCGCCCCTGGTTACAGAACAGCAGTTCAAATTAGATTATAAACATCAAAAAACTTTTTTACAGCTCCCTATAAATCTTTATTGAACATTCAATGTGTATTTTTGTGCATCAATATGGTGTAGGCGGAGTTCAAGATAATGGACACTAGCTTTCATTCCATTCAGAGAGCATCTGCATCCAAGGCTCTTTTCCTTTACTTTAGCAATTACATTTGATATATTTAATATTGATTTATAGTAAAACTAAGCTTTTTTTTGTGAGTTTCTTAGTGAATGTAATCAATCAGCATACTCTATCTTGCCCCCATAGTGTTTAGTAATAGGAAGACATGGAAGAGAGGGGAGGGGAGTGTCATTTACGCCCATGTGTGACTCTATACTCATGTGGGCTGCAAAGATTAGAAAAAGGAGGAAAAGAAAGAACTTAGGAGGGCGCTAAAAATTTGAACATGCTCAGTAGAGGACACCAGCTGGTGTAGACAATCTCAGGCTGCAGTGGGGACACAGAGAAGATGGGAGGGACAGCTGAAGGCAAAGATCAACCAGGTATTTTTCACTCTACACAAAACAAATGCTTTAGTGGCTTTGTGAGTATAAACACTCTGTTATGTAACATGTAATCAGAGTATTATGACAGTTTATTGCCCACAAAGACAGCAGATCTAAGCATACTACCGATGGTCGAGAATCTGGCTCAGATCTAGCCACACCTAGAGATCTCTCATATAACACAATGCTCTCCGTGCCATTGGTGCTATACCTCTAACCAGCTCTGAGGTTTACCAAGATAATTGCTTTCCATATGGCAATGTTTACATGAATAAGGCTGGATACACACAGGCTGAATATCGGCCTGTATCGTTCGGTTCAACAGAAACCAGCTGACATTCAGTCAGTATGTACAGCAGCCTTTCTGACATAAGCCGGCCTTATGACCAGATTTTGTCAAAGGCACATGTTGGAAAACATCTGATCAGTGCTGGCAGCCAATGGCTGGGAGCACTGATCAGTGTGTTCTCACAGGGATAAGGCGGGCTAGCCTCCCTGTCAGAACACAATGGCACAGCGGTGGAGATTAGTGCACTAACATTGCTGGCGTTAGTATGGTGATCTCCCAGTTAAGCAGGATTAAGGATAAAAAAAAAAAATGTATAGTGTGTACCAGGCTTAAATGACAATACACAGAGCAATGTCCTTGGCTTCCCTTTACTGAATATAACAGATCATTCCCAATTAAAAAAAAACTGTGATTTCTTTTTATGAAAATTATGTGGAAAGTCTCTACAACGTAATGAAATCTACCTAAAAGTCAATTTTTTAATCTCCTGGGACATATACTAAATCCAGCGCAGTGAACCTGCCTGGACAATGGCAGCTCTCATCTGAAGTGTTTCGCAGAGGTGCTTACCCTTGTGGTACGTTGTAGGTTCTAATTAAAAATACAGAATAATCTGCAGTCATTAAACACATGGATGCCTGATATGTGTCATCCCTGTGTCCTCACCACGTTGTGTCTTCCAGCAGAGACCAGCTTGGGACCCACCAGACGGACAACCTCCAAACTTCTGCTAGGTACCAGGAACTTGATGGACAGTTCAGCTGCCTACAAAAACGATGGTGACACCATGAATATCAGAAGGCCAGAAGACAGAGTATTATTATTATTATACAGTATTTATAAAGCGCCAATAGTTCGCTCAGCGCTGTACATTACAAAGGGGGACAGAACATGTGACAGAACAATACCAATACAATGCAAAACATGAGGGGATTGAGGGCCCTGCTCTTTCAAGCTTACAATCTAGGAGGGAGGGGATAGGGGCACAGGAGGAGATAGCTGTGGGGGATGGAGTGGTAGGAAGAGTGGAGGAGGTCGGCAAGTTAGCAGGGGGTGGGGTAGGCTTCCCTGAAGAGATGGGTTTTCAGGGTGCGCCTAAAGGAGAGGAGAGTAGGTGATAATCTGATGGGTTGGGGCAGGGAGTTCCAGAGGATGGGTGACACCCTGGAGAAGTCCTGGAGGCGGGCATGGGAGGAGGAGACCAGGGAACTAGAGAGAAGGAGGTCTTGTGAGGAGCGGAGTGTGCGTGTTGGGCGGTACTTGGATATTAGGTCGGTGATGTAGTTCGGGGCAGTATGGTGGACAGCTTTGTACGTCAGTGTTAGGATTTTGAATTTGATCCGTTGTACAATCGGAAGCCAGTGGAGGGATTGGCAGAGGGGGGTGGTGGAGACGGAGTGGTTGAAAGGTGAATGAGTCTGGCAGCCGTATTCAGGATGGACTGAAGCGGGGATGGCCAGCGGCGAGGCAGGCCAGTGAGGAGGGAGTTGCAGTAGTCGAGTCGTGATATGATGAGGGAGTGGATGAGCTGTTTAGTGGTTTCTGGGGTTAGGAACGTGCGGATTTTGGCGATGTTGCACAGGTGGAGTCTGCATGAGTTTGTTAAAGATTGGACTTGGGGCTGGAAGGATAGGTTGGAGTCCAGAATAACGCCAAGTACTCTGGCCTGCTGGGCGGGTTTGATGGTGGCGTTGTTGGATGTGATGGAGAAGTCAATGGGGGGTGGTGTCTGGGCTGGGGGGGGAAGACAAGAAACTCGGTTTTGGAGAGGTTCAGTTTAAGGAAGTGGAGCGACATCTAGAGATGAGCGAATTTCTCAAAAATTCGATTCGGCTGATTCGGCGAATTCCAGTGTGAAATTCGATTCGATGCGAATTTCTTCGCTACGAAGTTAACTTATTAAAAGGGTTTCTAGGCTTCAGAGAGCCTTTAAATTAGTGCAGAACACTGTACCTTTAATTTAAATGCCCTTGGAGATGAGGAAGGAGAAGGAGAAGGAGAGGAGAAGGAGAAGGAGAAGGAGAAGGAGAAGGATGAGAAGAAGGAGAAGGATGAGAAGAAGGAGAAGGAGAAGGATGAGAAGAAGGAGAAGGAGAAGGATGAGAAGAAGGAGAAGGAGAAGGATGAGAAAGAAGGAGAAGGATGAGAAGAAGGAGAAGGATGAGAAGAAGGAGAAGGAGAAGGATGATGAAGGAGAAGGAGAAGGATGAGAAGAAGGAGAAGGAGAAGGATGAGAAGAAAGGAGAAGGATGAGAAGAAGGAGAAGGAGAAGGGAAGGATGAGAAGAAGGAGAAGGAGAAGGATGAGAGAAGAAGGAGAAGGATGAGAAGAAGGAGAAGGAGAAGGATGAGAAGAAGGAGAAGGATGAGAAGAAGGAGAAGGAGAAGGAGAAGGAGAAGAAGGATGAGAAGAAGGAGAAGGAGAAGGATGAGAGAAGAAGGAGAAGGAGAAGGAGAAGGATGAGAAGAAGGAGAAGGAGAAGGATGAGAAGAAGGAGAAGAAGAATGAGAATGAGAAGGAATGAGAAGAAGGAGAAGGATGAGAAGAAGGATGAGAAGAAGGAGAAGGAGAAGGATGAGAAGAAGGAGAAGGAGAAGGAGGAAGGATGAGAGAAGGATGAGAAGAAGGAGAAGAAGGATGAGAAGGAGAGGAGAAGGAGAAGGATGAGAAGGAGAAGGAGAAGGATGAGAAGAAGAAGGAAAGGAGAAGGATGAGAGAAGAAGGAGAAGGATGAGAAGAAGGAGAAGGAGAAGGAGAAGATGAGAGAAGGAGAAGGATGAGAAGGATGAGAAGAAGGAGAAGGATGAGAAAGAAGGAGAAGGAGAAGGATGAGAAGATGGAGAAGGAGAAGAAGGATGAGAAGATGGAGAAGGAGAAGGATGAGAAGGAGAAGGAGAAGGATGAGAAGAAGAAGGAGAGAAGGAGAAGGATGAGAAGGAGAAGGATGAGAAGAAGGAGAAGGATGAGAAGAAGGAGAAGGATGAGAAAGAAGGAGAAGGATGAGAAGAAGGAGGATGAGAAGAAGGATGAGAAGAAGGAAAAGGAGAAGGATGAGAAGATGGAGAAGGATGAGAAGAAGGAGAAGGAGAAGGATGAGAAGAAGGAGAAGGAGAAGGATGAGAAGAAGGATGAGAAGAAGGATGAGAAGAAGGAGAAGGATGAGGAGAAGGATGAGGAGAAGGAGAAGGATGAGAAGAAGGAGAAGGATGAGAAGGAAGAAGGAGAAGGATGAGAAGAAGGAGAAATGAGGATGAGAAAGAAAGGAGAAGGATGAGAAGAAGGAAGGATGAGAAGGAGAAGAAGGAAGAAGAAGAGAAGGATGAGAAGAAGGACAGTTCTGTGACAGTTTCTGTCTATTTCTGACAGTTCTGGGACATTCACTCCATACAGCGGTTTCAACCGCTGTATGGAGGGAATGTCATAGAACTGTCAGAAATAGACTATTAATGACAGTTCTGGGACATTCCTTCCATACAGCGGTTGAAACATTGTATCTATTAGTTTCCATTTAGGATACAGATGTTTCAACCGCTGTACATGTGAAGAAGCTGTCAGAGAACTGTCAGAAATAGAGGAACTCTGCACATACACTTTTTGCCGGCTTGGAATTATTCTTCTTTTCATCCTACTTCTTCTTCTTCTTCATCCTCATCCTCATCCTCTTCTTCTGAGGATGAGGATGAAGAAGAACAAGTAGGATGAAAATAAGAATAATTCCAAGCCGGCAAAAAGTGTATGTGCAGAGTTCCTCTATTTCTGACAGTTCTCTCACAGCTTCTTCACATGTACAGCGGTTGAAACATCTGTATCCTAAATGTAAACTAATAGATACAATGTTTCAACCGCTAAACATGTGTTCCTTCTGTCAGAGAACTGTCAGAAATAGCGGAGCTCACTGCAGGGACACTTTTGCCGGCTGATCGGGAAATGTTCGATTCGCACACCCGAAGTAGGCAAAATTTCGGATTCGACGCGAATCTAATATTTCCTGAAATTCGACTCGAATTCCGGTTCGCCTGGTTCGATTCGCTCATCTCTAGCGACATCCAATCTGATATGTCGCTCAATAGGTGTGTGATTCGGGCGGAGACTGAGGGGGGTGAGGTGGGGGGTTGAGAGATAGATTTGTGTGTCGTCGACATAGAGGTGGTAGTTGAAGCTGTGAGTAGAGAGAATGAATGCTGACCGCGTACCTTCATCCAACACTTCTCCAAAAGGCTCACATTATCCAGATCCTTCACTTTCAGGTAGCAGTCCACCGCTCGTGCGTATTCCCCGGCCTGCTCCCACTCCCGGGCCTGTTCTATCAAGGCCTCTGTCCCCCTGTCAACAGAAAGGATTTCCCATTACTGGTGCACAGGCTTCTTCTGGATGCAGATGAAGGCCAGTCTTGGCAGGTTATACATTAGATGTGCTTCTGCTGTGACCTGCACTGTGGACACTGTGCCCCCCCCTTCTCCTACAGTGATTGATGCAGGTAGAAACATTCAAAGGACAAACCAGCTCACCTGGCTCCCTTCTTTGCCACCTCCCTCTCGTACTCCAGCTGCAGCTGCTCCAACATGGCAGGGACATACTCCTTGCATATTCGGATGGCATCGCTCCACATGCCGGCCTCCTGAAGAGGAAAAAATAGTAAAAGATGACGACATCACACAGATGCTACCTACACGTCCCCTGAAACTGACAGCAATATGTCACACAGAAAGCAGTAATCACCGAACAGCGGCCACCCAAGACCTGAGGTGCATCCATAGGGAGGATAAAAAGGGAGGACAAGGAAACCATGGGATGAAGATGGGGACTGCTATCATATGAAGAACCCTGGGGGGGTTGTTATTACGTGAACAGCCTTGGGAAGAAGATAGAGGGCTGGTATTACATGGTTTGGTGACCTCTGACCTGAGACCAACTGCAGGATGAATACCAGGAAAACCCGAAATTAGATAATGGTGGTGACCTCTGAGCTCAGGCCATCTTCCATGAACATGTAAGACTGCAAAACCCTGGGATAAAGGTGTGGACAGTTATTACACGACTTCTGACCGCAGGCCATCTACTAGAGAGATGTCAGATCTCTGGTAGAAGTAGGTCTCTGGATGTTCCATGGCATTGGTGACCTCAGACTTTGAGCCATCTACCAGAGAGATTTAGTGTCTCTAATAGATGTAGGTCTCTGTATGTTCCATGGCAGTGGTCACCGCTGACTGCAGGTCACCTAACATAATTAGGATCTCTGGTAGATGTAGGTTTATGGATGTTCCATGGCACAGATGTCAAACACAAGGCCTGAGGGCCAAATCCGGCCCTCCAGGCCATTTCATGTGGCCCTTGTACCTCTCCTGCAGGTACCCCCTTGTCTCCACCCCTACCTTGTCTCAGCAGTCCCCAGCAGAGAGGAGAATAGAACAAATCTGCCAAATCCTCCTCATCCCTGTACCCCCTCATCTCTGCTTCCCCTGGTCTCAGCATTCAGCAGACTCTTGTAACTGACTCCACTCCTCTGGTCCTCCTCCAGACCCTGCACTTTCTGCTTTCCAGCTCTGCCCCCAAAGGGGGTGCATGATGATGTTAGGGGGGGTGTGGGATTCTTGGCATCTGATGTAATAGGGGGTGGGGTGCTCTGGACATCTAGTCTTACAGATACAGCCGGCCCGTGGAGGGCAATCAGAACGCAGATATGGCCCAAGGTGAAATGGAGTTTGACACCCCTGTTCCATGGCAATGGTGACCTCTGACCTCAGGTCATCTACCAGAGAAATGTAAGATCTCTGGCAGATGTAGGTCTCCGGATGTTTCATGGCCGTGGTGACCTCTGACCTCAGGTCATCTACCAGGGGCGTGTAAGATAGGTGAATCCTGGAACAGGAATGAGCAGCTGTTTTAACTTGGTAGTGGTCATGACCTCTAACGTGAAGTCACCTACCACAGGCTTTTAAGGAAGGAGAATCCTAGGACATGAGCACGGGATGACATTATTTGACAATTCTAACCTCTGCGATAGTGACATGATCTATATCACCCTCAGCCCACCAGCAGACCAGATCGTACACGTCCCTTGAAATGTCTGATAGTAATTAGTCATATAGACCTACACATTCCCTGAAAATGCATCACAAAGAAAAAAAATCCTAAAACTCCACCATCCCCATACTGCCATTAGTCACACATAATCCATAAACTGCTCCAACCCTAGTAGATACCTTGTAATGGCGCACAGCCAGCTCCGGTCTTTGGGCGCGCAGTAAGAATGCTTCTGCCTTCTGATAATCTTTCTGTTCAAAGGCGAAGCGAGCCTGTCCCTCCAGAACATCACCAACACTCCCGGGATCGTACAGCTCAGCCACTCTCTGCGCTGCATCCCAGTCCTGATTGTGGACATACCTGACAAGCACAGATAATATTTTATGAGGGGACAACGGTTTCCACATCAACAACTTCTTGGGGGATGACCTGAATATTATAGTGATCATCAAAAGAAAGGACAGAGAGGAATGATAGATAAGATGAGAATAGAGATAATAGAGAAGATAAAGGTGGAAAACGAAAACTGGAGATAGAGGAGACAGAGGAGATGGAAATAGAGAAAATAGAGCTAGATATAGTAAAATGGAGAAAAGAGAGAGCATGTAGACCACAATCAACAGAGAAGGGTGGAGATAAGAAAGACAGAACTGGGGATTAAGAAGACAGGATATGGGGATAGGGATGGTGATGGGTATTAAAAAATGATGGAGACAGAGACAGAGAAGTTGTTGACCACGATAGAGATGGAAATGGAGACAGAGATGGATATGCAGAAGATATATGTAGAGATGGAGATAAAAGAGACAGAGAAGAGATGGGAGAGACAGAGAGAAATGAAGGAGATATAGAAGGGATGGAGACATAGAAGTGATGAACAGAGGAAATGAAAACAGAGAAGATTTAGATAGGAATGACATTGGACATGAAGATCCAGTTGAGATGGAGAAGATGAAGATAAAAAAAAATAAGGGATGGAGATAGGAACGTTTATGGAGATAGAGAAAGTAATGACAAGGACAGAGATGGAGATAGAGATGTTGATGAAGACAGAGACAATGATTGAGAGGATGGAGATGAAGAAAGAGACAGAGATGGTGATGAGGACGGCGAGGACAGAGATGGAGACAGAGATTGTGATGAAGATGCGGAGGACAGAGATGGAGATAGAGACTGTGTTGAAGATGGGGAGGACAGAGATGGAGATAGAGACTGTGTTGAAGATGGGGAGGACAGAGATGAGGACAGAAATGGTGATGGAGATGGGGAGGACAGAAATGGTGATGGAGATGGGGAGAACAGATACGGTGATGAAGATGGGGAGAACAGAGATGGAGACAGAGATGGTGATGAAGATGGGGAGAACAGAGATGGAGACAGAGATGGTGATGAAGATGGGAAAGACAGACATTGAGACAGAAATGGTGATGAAGATGGGGAGGACAGAAATGGAGAAAGAGATGGTGATGAATATGGACAGGACAAAGATGGAGACAGAGATGGTGATGAAGATGGAGAGGACCGAGATGGAGAGGACAGAGATGGAGACATAGATGGTGATGAAGATGGACAGGGCAGACATGGAGACAGATATGGTGATGTAGATGCAGAGGACAGAGATGGTGATGAAGATGGAGAGGACAGGGATGGAGACAGAGATGGTGATAAAGATGGAGAGGACAGGGATGGAGACAGAGATGGTGATGAAGATGGAGAGGACAGAGATGATGATGAAGATGGATAGGAGGGAGATGGAGACAGAGATGATGATGAAGATGGGGAGGACAGAAATAGAGACAGAGATGGTGATGCAGATGGGGAGGACAGAGATGGAGACAGAGATGGTGATGGTGATGAAGATAAAGAGGACAGAGATGGTGATAAAGATGGACAGGACAGAGATGGTGATAAAGATGGACAGGACAGAGATGGAGATGAAGATGCAGAGGACAGAGATGGTGATGAAGATGGGGAGGACAGAGATGGAGACAGAGATAATGATGAAGATGGAGAGGACAGAGATGATGGTGAAGATGGATAGGAGGGAGATGGAGACAGAGATGATGATGAAGATGGGGAGGACAGAGATGGAGACAGAAATGGTGATGAAGTTGGGAAGGACAGAAATGGAGAAAGATGGTGATGCAGATGGAGAGTACAGAGATGGAGACAGAGATGCTGATGAATATGGGAAGGACAGAGATGGAGAAAGATAGTGATGAAGATGGACAGGACAGAGATGGAGACAGAGATGCTGATGAAGATGGGGAGGACAGATATGGAGACAGAGATACTGATGAAGATGGGGAGGACAGATATGGAGACAGAGATGCTGATGAAGATGGGGAGGACAGATATGGAGACAGAGATGCTGATGAAGATGGGGAGGACAGAGATGGAGACCGAGATGGTGATGAAGATGGGGAGGACAGAGATGGAGACCGAGATGGTGATGAAGATGGGGAGGACAGAAATGGAGACAGATGCTGATGAAGATGGGGAGGACAGAGATGGAGACTGAGATGGTGATGAAGATGGGGAGGACAGATAATGGAGACAGAGATGGTGATGAAGATGGGGAGGACAGATATGGAGACAGAGATGCTGATGAAGATGGGGAGGACAGAGATGGAGACAGAGATAATGATGAAGATGGAGACAGAGATGGTGATGAAGATGGGGAGGACAGAAATGGAGACCGAGATGGTGATGAAGATGGGGAGGACAGAGATGGAGACAGAGATGGTGATGGCGATGAAGATAAAGAGGACAGAGATGGCGATGAAGATAAAGAGGACAGAGATGGTGATGAAGACGGAGAGGACGGAGATGGAGACAGAGATGATGATGAAGATGGAGACAGAGATGGTGATGAAGACGGAGAGGACAGATATGGAGATAGTGAAGGCAGAAATGAAGATTGAGGAGATGGAGATGAAGAGAACAAAGGTGAAGATAGAGAAGACAGATGGAGAGTGCAGAAAAGAAGAGGGAACTAACGGATGAGAGGCTGTGTTAAAGGGTATTGGTCATATAAAGACAGATAAGACACTCACATAAGAACGGCTTCCTTAGGTTTTCCGGCTTTAACAAACTCAGCCTCAGCTTCATTAAACTTTCCCTGTGAAATCCCAATAAAAAGAAATTCCAGAAAATCAGGCCCATAAAATACAGAGGTAATACTAAAATGAGTGTGGGGACAGCAAGCTTTAGCTAAGGAAAATGTCTGCAAAATAACCTGTCTGTGCTACCCATAACATTCTTTTGATGAAATTTTCTTCAGTGATCTTGGAAGACCAGACTCTTGTAGATTGTGGAGCTTGCACTGATGTCCTGTGTTACTTCATAATAAAAAGGGAATGTTGCAGTGCATCCCTTTGTAGTATTATAGATCAGGATACCTGCTGCTGGAGGCTCCAAGCTGAAGGAACACTAGACCTGGAGGCTCCCACTGGAAGACTACTAACCTGGAGGCTCCCAGCTGGAGGATCACTAGACCTTCAAGACCCCGATGCAATAAACCATGAGGAGCCCTTACCCCTCTGCCCAGGGCCCTTCCCACAGATCCTGGGGTCGTTTACCCTTTATTGCAGTCCCACAGCAGGACCCTTTCCTGCCATCTTGGATGCCCCCTCTACGGTGATGGAACACCAGGGTCCAGTCACATATGTGACCCTTACATTTCCACCACTGGAGTCAGTAGTTTTTTTTATTATTCTATTTATTTTTTACAATTTTATTTTTTTCACCTTTGTTCACCTTTGAGACAGAGAAAGAAGTTTGAAAAGACAGCCCTCAATCTCCATGTCTGCAGCCTCAGCTACACAGAATGAATGGACAGGAATAGTTCTGTACAAAGCTTCCAGCTCATCTCAAACTTAAGCATAGTAAACACAGTTTATTACGCTTCAGTTATGAATAGACAAACGCAGTGATCAGTACCAATCACTGACTCTGTCCATTTAGAAAAGGAAGGGGCCGGTAAATTACATATTTACCAGCCCCTTCCCTGCTCTCTATCCTGATACTTCCCCTGCAGCAGATAGCGGGAGAATGGTGCGGGGAATCCAGAAGCACTGTGGGGTGGACGAGGGGTGGTCAGGGGGCAGCAAAACACAAGTGACCTGGATAGGAGAGGTGGCGGGGGCTGCATAGAGAGGAAACAATCCCCACCATTTTCCTCCTGCAGCCGCCAAATGCCTGCAGTAGGGAGAGGAGGAGAAGCTGGCTTTCAGTGGATCTATATGCCCTCCCCACTGTCCCTCCTATTCAGGTGTATAGGGGAGCTACACGAGCCCCCTGAAGCATGGGGTCGGGGTATTAACTGCGACCCCTGCAGTGACATTCCATCCTGGAAGTTTCAAGCTAGAGGACCAATAGATCTGGCGTCTCCCCAGCTGGCGAACCACTAGACCTGAAGTCTCCCAGCTGAAAGACCACTAGATCTGGAGTCTCCCAGCTGAAAGACCACTAGACCTTGATAGACCTGGAGTCTCCCAGCTGGAAGTCCACTAGACCTGAAATCTCGCAGCTGAAAGACCACTAGACCTGGAGTCTCCCAGCTGAAAGACCACTAGACCTGACCTGGAGTCTCCCAGCTGAAAGACCACTAGACCTGGAGTCTCCCAGCTGAAAGACCACTAGACCTGGAGTCTCCCAGCTGAAAGACCACTAGACCTGGAGTCTTCCAGCTGAAAGACCACTAGACCTGGAGTCTCCCAGCTGAAAGACCACTAGACCTGGAGTCTCCCAGCTGAAAGACCACTAGACCTGGAGTCTCCCAGCTGAAAGACTACTAGACCTGGAGTCTTCCAGATGGAAGACCACTAGACCTTGATAGACCTGGAGTCTCCCTGCTGGAAGACAACTAGACCTGGAGTCTCCCAGATGGAAGACCACTAGACCTTGACAGACCTGGAGTCTCCCAGCTGGAAGACCACTAGACCTGGAGTCTTCCAGCTGAAAGACCACTAGACCTGGAGTCTCCCAGCTGAAAGACTACAAGACCTGGAGTCTTCCAGATGGAAGACCACTAGACCTTGACAAACCTGGGGTCTCCCAGCTGGAAGACAACTAGACTTGGGAGTCTTCCAGCTGAAAGACTTTTAGACCTGGAGGTTCCTTGCTGGAGGACTACAAGATCTAGAGTCTCCTAGCTGAAAGACCACTAGATCTAGAAATCTGCACAGGGTCTACAAAATCTGCAAATTCTTTGCTGGAGTACCCCTGACAACCTCTACACAACTTTGTACTGCTTAGATACTTTTGCTCCGAACCAAAGCCAAGCACTAACCTTTCTGTAGAACTGAGAAGCAGCTTTTTCTAAATATTAAACCTCCTATGAAAGGAGTTCACACCTCAGAGTAGGCCTGTGCCATACAAAGAACTCTGAAACAGGGATTGTACCCTCTTATAACAGCGACCCACACTCCTGTGTGCAGGTTATATAATATGAAGACATACACACTCCTTGTTACATTTGATTAACAGTTACCTCGTCCTCCAGTAACATGGCGTATTTCAGATGAATCTCTGGAAGTTTTTCTTTCATTGCCAGACGGCCCAGTTCAAATGCAAAGTCAAATGTGCTAAAATAAATGCAAGAATAGAATCAGAAACAGACAGAACACGTTAGTTTAGGACTGGGTATCTAGGAAATTTAGGACTGAGAAACCCAGCAGTGTCTATCAGGTCAGATTTAGCCCTAGAGAGCCAACCAAGCAAGGTGACGATGACCAGACTTGTTACCAGCAGGACCTAGATAATGCCTGTCTGTCCCATCTTAGATATCCTAAATATATACTGTATATGACGAGGCGGGAAGAGTGACCCTTTAGCACAGAACCCACAAAGGGTCACCTGATACTCAGGATAAACACAAGGAACCTTTTGAAGGTCCTGGCTGACTTACTATTTCTCTGCAGCTTGATCAATGGCCATTTCCAGCAAGTTAAATTTGGTCAGGAGTTTTACAGCTGCCTCTCCCCCCAGGCTCTTTGCCCACAGATAGGCCACCTGTTTGTAGGCATTGGGTCCACCGTGTGTCTTGGCCACCTAGTTCAATATCAAGAAGCACAATGTCAGTGGAGTGACTGGATACTAGAAAGATGACAGGGAGGGCAGACTGGGGAGGGAAGAGGGCAACAGAGGGACCCAGCAAAGAGGTGGGAAAAGGACAGAGCAGTATGACAGGATCAGTATAAGGTGAGAAGAGGGGGAAGCAGTATCACAAACAGGACACAGTAATGTAATGCAGCTGAGCAGAATGGGGTGAGAACAGGGGGAGCAGTAAGGTAAAGCAATGGATATGAAAGTGGGAGGGTTAAGGTTGGTGATACCCTGTGTGCCTCCTCCCACATATCAGCTGTTCGGTACATATTGATGGTGGCTTTCCAGTCCTTCCCCTTCAGGTAGTGATACTCAGCCTCCTGAAGGCGCCCCGCAGCCTCCAACTCCTACAAGTAAACAAAGAACAGGTGAGTGACATGAGGATAATCCCCAGCTGTGTCAGGTCCATGTTGAAGAGGACTTACCTTGCCAAGGTGCATGTGGGTGTCTGTTAGGAGGTCTGGGTGGTGTTTGGCCACCAGACGGATCATGTCTTCATACTGGTTGTGTCTCTTATACATTGCGATGGCGAGATCTGGCTCATCTACGGTGATGTATAGTCTGTGGAGGTGGATGGGATAATGAGCAATGTATCCAGGAATGACAGCACAAGTTATCTGCATTCCCTCAGCTGCCAGAAGACTCTACACCAGAAGGATGACTGACACTTTCATCAATGATGGGAGAAACTATGAACTAACCCACCACAAAAGATACAAGATTTTGGTCTGTAAAGAACACAGACCCAGGTTTATATCCCTTCTCCTCCTGATCCTCTGATTTGGCCCATCTCTTACAGCTATTAGCTTTCTCTGCCATCGATCATTTTTTTAAGGGCTGGCTTCAGTCAGTGTATTGCTGTTCCTGAGAGTTACATTAAAAAAAAAAAAAACACACAAAAAAAAACATATCTCTGGCATCCCTTTAGACATGCATACTCCTCCCTGTTGGCCTATGGGTACTGCTGACTAACTGCTTGATCACACTCTTTTGGAGTGATCAGCAGATTGAACAATCATCAGAAGATTGCTCAACTAAATTCTGCAGCACCCTGTGGCCAGCAGGGAGGAGTATGCATGTCTAAATGGATGCCAGGTATATGTTTTTTGGATAAAGCTCCAGGCAGAGTTTTGTGGCTATTACAGCTTGCTAGTCCCTCCTACCAATCTTGATCTTACTAGAAAAGACCAGCAGACTAACTCAGTGATGACGTACATTACAATTCAGCATTAAAAATCAGTCCATCAAAAATGGGTATTTAATTTATTAAAAAGGACATCAACCCTTAAGAGACTCTTCCATCTCTGAACTCTAGTGGTGAAATGAGTAGGCTTACATTTCCAGGTCTGCACTCCTTACATTAGCATGCAGCATTTTTTGATCAATTATAAGTGAAATGAGCCTATGGCTACATAAAAAGTGCTCAAACAATTAAGCTACATAGTTAGTCTGGCTGAAAAAAGACAAAAGTCCATCCAGTTCAACCATAGAAAAAGCTAGGAAAATGTTTTTTTATTCCCGGATATCAGAGTAGCTTTTAGCTATCCAGTAGAAGCAAGCTATTCTGCATCACCAGACCAATCTAAAGATCAGGAAGCCACAGGAATCCTGGAATTTGGTACTGGGACCCAAAAATGTCCTTGACACCTCTTATTTAGTGACAGGCTGAACACACGTTCGGTTCGCGGTTGAACATTCGAACCTACCGAAAGATCAGCCGCAAACTTCAAACAGGGACAACTTACTGAGCGGTATCTTCCTGCATCTGAGTATGCAGTTACTAATATACCGCATGAGTTATATTACTTGGTTATGTGGTATTTTAGTAGTGAAAATGGTGTGGGGTTCCCCCTTCCAAGCCCTTTTGGTAAGGTATGGATTTTTAGGGGAACCCCCCACACCAAAAAGAAAAAAAAAAAAAGTGTGGCGGTCCCCCCAAAATCCATACCAGATCCTTATCGGAGTATGCAGCCCTGCAGGTCAGGAAAGGGGGGGGGCTTGAACCATACCAGGCCACATGCCCTCAACATGGGGGGGTGCTTTGGAGTCCCCCTCCCAAAGCACCTTGTCCCCATATTGGTGGGGACAAGATCCTCTTCCCCACAACCCTGGCTGATGGTTGTGGGGGGTCTGCGGGCAGGGGGCTTATCGGAATCTGGAAGCCCTCAGATCCCGCCCCCCCAATGTGAATGAGTATGCAGTACTGCTACCCACTCACAAAAAAAAAAAAAATCACAGGAGTCTTTGACAAGTCCTTTATTAAAAACAAAAAATGATCCAACGTCAATCGCGATGCCCGCCACCACTGCTGACCCGAAAAATGAAAGAAAAAAAAAAAACCCGCTCCGTCCTCAACGCTGGCTCCCGTCATCTGACAGCTGCGCCATGATGACAGTTCTTAAATAGGGTGATGATGTCACAAGGGGGGCGGGATTGCCCCCTTGTGATGTCATCATGCCCTGCGAGTGGCCAAAGCATTGCACATGACCTGTGGTCAGGTGCAATGTTTTGGCTAACCACAATGCGTTGTCAGGGCTGTCAGTCCACCGAACAACCTGTACCGCTTGTGTGTTCAACGGAAACACAAACGGCCCATGTTCGAACATGCAGCCCATCACTACTCTTATTCCCCCTGGTTCCCAAGAAACCCAGGGACATTTCACCTCTAGGCCTCCTTGCAGTGGCCTTGCTTCTCCTGCTTTTTGGCCCCTAGTGAACCCTCACCAGATTTGTGTGACATCTCCCCTCTCAACCTCCTTGCAGCAGCTCTGTCTATCTTCTTGACCGAAGGTAAACTTACCTGAGATTTATGTAATATCTCACTTCTCGGCCTCCTTGTAGAGTACTTGTTTCTCTTGCTCCTAGGCCCCCAGTGAACTCTCCCCAGACGTATGTACCATCTTACTTCAGACCACCTCCTTGTAGTAGTCCCTGCTTCTCTTGCTCCTAGGCCCCCAGGGAACTCACCCTAGACTTATGTACCATCTTACTTCAGACCACCTCCTTGTAGTAGTCCCTGCTTCTCTTGCTCCTACGCCCCCAGGGAACTCACCCCAGACCTATGTACCATCTTACTTCAGACCACCTCCTTGTAGAAACCCTGCTTCTCTTGCTCCTAGGCCCCCAGAGAACTCACCCCAGATTTATGTACCATCTTACTTCAGACCACCTCTTTGTAGTAGTCCCTGCTTCTCTTGCTCCTAGGCCCCCAGAGAACTCACCCCAGACTTACGTACCATCTTACTTCAGACCACCTCCTTGTATTAGACCCTGCTTCTCTTGCTCCTAGGCCCCCAGTGAACTCACCCCAGAGGTATGTACCATCTTACTTCAGACCACCTCCTTGTAGTGGTCCCTGCTTCCCTTGCTCCTTGGCCCCCAGTGAACTCATTCCATACTTATGTACCATCTTATTTCAGACCATCTCCTTGTAGTAGTCCGCTTCTTTTGCTCCTGAACCAAAAGTAAACTCAGCCAAGATTTATGTGACATTTTCCCTCTCAGCCTCTTTGTAGCAGCCCTGAATCGCCATCTCCTTGACCGAAAGTAAGTTCGCCTGAGATTTATGTGACATATCACCCCCTGGACTCCTTGTAGTAGCCCTGGTTCTCCTGTATCTTGGCCCCCAGTGAACTCATGTCAGGCTTATGCACTTACTTCTTACCACCTTCCCTTTTAGTGGAGCTGCACCTCCATCTCCTTGATGGAATGTAAAAGCATGTCCGATTGATACAACATCTCACCTCTCGGCCTCCCTGTAGCGGCCCTGCTTCTCCTGCTCCTTGGCCTGGGTGACGTACAAAACGGACACATCCTCTGGGTTCATACACTTCACTGCCAGCTATAAAATAAGAACAGAAATGTGACCAGTCTCCCTCTCACCATCTGCAATTTGTAGCACTGACCCCCCCTTCCGCCATATACAGCCGATAGGTAAATGGACATACCGCGTGTGCCTGTTCCCATCGGCCAGCTTGTGTGTACATGTCAATGGCGTCCTTACTCCTCCCAGCTTTAATATAGAGCTGCTCAGCCATCTAAAAACACAAGAGCCAGAAAAAAAAGATGAAGAAAGGTGGGGACAGATGGGGATAAACCTTGCAGATACAAGCTTGCAGAACCCAATAACCCTCAGCAATTTAATTCCTCTTTTCACAAGTACGACACAGTCAGTTCAAAGGTCAGATAAGAGATGGGTTATATTTGATTTGTGAGGTCAGATCAGAAGAGGTAGGTTGAATCAGAGCTGTGGGGACAGATCAGAGTGGATAGTTTAGATGAAGGCTATTGGGTCAGATCAGAGTTGATGGGTCAGAGGTCAGATCATAAGAGATAGGTTAGATCAGAGCTGTAGGGTCAGAGTCCAGATCAAAGGAGATGGGTTAGATCAGAGCTGTAGGGTCAGGGTCCAGATCAGAGGAGATGGGTTAGATCAGAGCTGTAGGGTCAGGGTCCAGATCAGAGGAGATGAGTTAGATCAGAGCTGTAGGGTCAGGGTCCAGATCAGAGGAGATGGGTTACATCAGAGCTGTGGGGTCAGGGTCCAGATCAAAGGAGATGGGTTAGATCAGAGCTGTAGGGTCAGGGTCCAGATCAGAGGAGATGGGTTAGATCAGAGCTGTAGGGTCAGGGTCCAGATCAGAGGAGATGGGTTAGATCAGAGCTGTAGGGTCAGGGTCCAGATCAGAGGAGATGGGTTAGATCAGAGCTGTGGGGTCAGGGTCCAGATCAGAGGAGATGGGTTAGATCAGAGCTGTAGGGTCAGGGTCCAGATCAGAGAAGATGGGTTAGATCAGAGTTGATGGGTCAGAGGTCAGATCATAAGAGATAGGTTAGATCAGAGCTGTAGGGTCAGGGTCCAGATCAGAGGAGATGGCTTAGATCAGAGCTGTAGGGTCAGGGTCCAGATCAGAAGAGAAAGGTTAGATCAGAGCTGTAGGGTCAGGGTCCAGATCAGAGGAGATGGGTTAGATCAGAGCTGTAAAGTCGGGGTCCAGATCAGAGGAGATGGGTTAGATCAGAGCTGTAAAGTCAGGGTCCAGATCAGAGGAGATGGGTTAGATCAGAGTTGTAGGGTGAGGGGTCAGATCAGAGCTCTGGGGTCAAATTAGAGATGAAGGGTTAGATCAGAGCTATTGGGTCAAAGGGCAGATCAGAGTGGACGTTATATCAAGGGTTGGGTCAGAGATCAGATTGGAAGGGATGGGCTGGATCAGAGCTGTGGGGTCAGGGACCAGATCACAAGAGATGGGTTATATCAAGGCTGTTGGGTCAGAGGTCAGATCACAACTGTTGGGTCAGGTACCAGATACAAGGTGTAATCGAAAAGTTTCAAGACTAGTTTTGTAACACGCCAACAGATGGCAGCACAGGGCTGCAGGCACAGTTGCAGTGAGCATCAACCTTTATAAGTCAGTGTGCCAAAAGACTTCAACCTGTGTACATTGGGAGCTGTGCAACTGGTGCTAGTCTGACCATGTGTGTTACCAAGTCTGCTATTTCATTATGGACAGCAAGTTAGAACAAAGAGGAAACGTGAAATTCTGCGTGAAACTGAGCAAATCTGCCACAGAGATGTCTGACATGATTCGGCACATTTACAGCGGTGAAACGTATGTCACCGCATACAGTCTGAATAGGCCCTTAGGCAAACTAAGCGACCTCTGATTAGAGACAGATGAGTTCTGCATTCTCTGACCAATGACATAAGCCCAATATTGGCTCCACGGCTACAAGTCATGTCACTGAGTGGTCACCTGACCTCATACTCCTGCATGGAGTTGTAATGTTGCGCTATCTTCAGGTAATATTCGCTGGCGGTCTTGGGCTCCTGAATCTCTAGGATGTGGATGGCTTTCTTCCACTGGCGAGCACCAATTGCAGCTTCTATGGCTTTCGCTGAACACCTGGTCAAAGACAATCACACATTTTTTTTTCCAACCAAACTAAAGCATATTTTTATACTTAGTATTAATTATAAAAAGAACATTTTTGATCGTCAGTACCATTAGAAAAGAAAGCCTTTCCTAATTCACTCATAATAATGAATCACATAATGTGAGCCATGTTCTGTGCTGCAGTACTGTTGGCCCAGGAGTCATGACAACTTTCTCCAAGAGGGCAGAAGTCATGACACCCTAGGCCAGGGGTCTCCAATCTATTTCAGCAAAGGGCCAGCTTACTATCCTTCAAACTTAAAGGGGGCCGGACTGTGGCCGATGGTAGTAGAAAATTATCCAGCGTCAGTGGGAAAAAAATGCCCCATCGTTGGCTTCAGTGGGAGGAATCGTGCCCCATGGCTGGTGTCAGTGGGAGGGGTTGTGCCCCATCTTTGGTGTCATTTGGCACCATTGTTAGAAATAGTGCCCCATCGTTGGTGTCATTGTCTATTTAGTACTATTAACACGGATATTCATTTTCCCTTTTTATAAGGGGCCACGTTTTGCAAAATCACCATTCATTACCTGTTTATGGGCAGAAGGGGGATATTTATTTCTATTTTTATTTGTTGATATCACGGTAAATTACCACAAGTATTCATTGTGGTTACCACCAGATTGCACTTTATTGATCCATAGAGATCAGAGCACAGTGTGTTCATATCTGATTTTCATCACTTTAAATACAAATATTATTATTATCATTCATTTATACATATATATTTTTATAGGCACTGTTTAGTATGAGTTTATTTTAGCGCTTCACTAAGTTTATATCTATATCGATTCTCACTTATTGGGAGGAGTAGTGACCCATCTTTGGTGTCATTGGGAGGAGTAGTGCTCCATTGTTGGTGTCAATGGGAGAAATTGTGCCCCATAGCTGGTGTCACTAGGGGAGCTTCTGCCCGATCTTTGATATCACTGGGCCCCATTGTTGGTGTCAATGGGAGAAGTTGTGCCCCATTGCTGGTGTCACTAGGGGAACTTCTGCCTGATCTTTGATATCACTGGGCCCCATTGTTGGAGTCAATGGGAGAAGTTGTGCCCCTTAGTTGGTGTCACTAGGGGAACTTCTGCCAGATCTTTGATATCACTGGGCCCCATTGTTGGTGTCAATGGGAGAAGTTGTGCCCCATAGTTGGTGTCACTAGGGAACTTCTGCCAGATCTTTGATATCACTGGGCCCCATTGTTGGTGTCAATGGGAGAAGTTGTGCCCCATAGTTGGTGTCACTAGGGGAACTTCTGCCCGATCTTTGATATCACTGGGCCCCATTGTTGGTGTCAATGGGAGAAGTTGTGCCCATAGTTGGTGTCAGTGGATCTAATAGTGCATCCAAGGACCAGATCAAAGCCAGCAAAAGGGCCTCATCTTGCCCCTGGGTGGCAGTTTAGAGACCACTGGCCTAGACTCAAAGGAATTTGAATAACCAGAAGAGGAGCTCCATCTAGCGAAGGGCAGGATTTTCTGTTCGGGATAGTTCCGGAATAAAGTGAATGCTGCCCAAATGATTTATTGATGGCTAGAGTTCAGATATAATAGTGGAATCATTAGATTGCTGACTTCGTCACGTTTCTAGAGTTTTGTTACTTGGGTTTTAATATTTCCTGGTAGAGCAGAAGATGTATAGTACATCTACATCCCACTCCTTTTCTCAAAGCTCCACCCTCTACCTGAATAAGTTGGCCCTGCTGATATACAAATAGGAAACCAGAAATGCTAGTGAGAAAAGAACAAATCAATGATATGATGGACGGGGTAATATATAGATATGGCTATTTTTCAGCGGGAACTCGGGGGAATGCAGTTCCGGCACCTTCAGTACTGAATGTATATAATGGCAAGAGGTGCTCTGTTGTGCTTGAAGGTTTATTGATGCTGCCCGCTGGGACATCTATTGTCACTGGAGGGAATTACATAGTTACATAATTAGTCTGGCTGAAAAAATACAAAGGTCAGTTCAACCATTAAAAAAAAAAAAAAAAGTTATAATCCCATACCCACAGTTGATCCAGAGGAAGGTAAAAAAACCCCCAGCAAAGCACGATCCAATTTGCTCCTGCAGGGAAAAAAATTCCTTCCTGATCCCCCAAGAGGCAATCAGATATTCCCTGGATCAACGTTACCTATAAATGTTATATCCAGTTATATTCTGTGTATCCAAGAAACAATCCAGGACTTTCCTACAGCAATCCACTGAGCTGGCCACAACCAACTCTTGAAGGAGTCTATTCCACATTTTCACAGCTCTTACTGTGAAGAAAGCTTTCCGTATTTGGAGATTACATTTCTTTTCCTCCAGATGTAAAGAGCGCCCCCTTGTCCTCTGTGATGACCTCAGGGGGAATAACTCTACACCGAGTTCACTATATGAACCATTGATGTATTTATACATGGAGATCATATCCCCCCCTTATGTATTATACATGGAGATCATATCCCCCTTATGTATTATACATGGTGATCATATCCCCCCCCTTATGTATTATACATGGTGATCATATCCCCCCTTATGTATTATACATGGTGATCATATCCCCCTTTATGTATTTATACATGGTGATCATATCCCCCCTTATGTATTATACATGGTGATCATATCCCCCCTTATGTATTATACATGGTAATCATATCCCCCCCTTATGTATTATACATGGTGATCATATCCCCCTTATGTATTATACATGGAGATCATATCCCCCTTATGTATTATACATGGAGATCATATCCCCCTTATGTATTATACATGGAGATCATATCCCCCTTATGTATTATACATGGTGATCATATCCCCCTTATGTATTATACATGGAGATCATATCCCCCCTTATGTATTATACATGGAGATCATATCCCCCTTATGTATTATACATGGAGATCATATCCCCCCTTATGTATTATACATGGAGATCATATCCCCCCTTATGTATTATACATGGAGATCATACCCCCCCCCTTATGTATTATACATGGTGATCATATCCCCCTTATGTATTATACATGGAGATCATATCCCCCCCTTATGTATTATACATGGAGATCATATCCCCCTTATGTATTATACATGGAGATCATATCCCCCCTTATGTATTATACATGGAGATCATATCCCCCTTATGTATTATACATGGAGATCATATCCCCCCCCCTTATGTATTATACATGGTGATCATATCCCCCTTATGTATTATACATGGAGATCATATCCCCCTTATGTATTATACATGGAGATCATATCCCCCCCCCTTATGTATTATACATGGTGATCATATCCCCCTTATGTATTATACATGGTGATCATATCCCTAGATCCTAGATTGTAAGCTCGAAAGAGCAGGGCCCTTGATCCCCTCATGTTTTGCATTGTATTGGTATTGTTCTGTCACATGTTCTGTCTCCCTTTGTAATGTACAGCGCTGAGCGAACTATTGGCGCTTTATAAATACTGTATAATAATAATAATAATAATATCCCCCCTTATGTATTATACACGGTGATCATATCCCCCTTATGTATTATACATGGTGATCATATCCCCCCTTATGTATTATACATGGAGATCATATCCCCCCCTTATGTATTATACATGGAGATCATATCCCCCTTATGTATTATACATGGTGATCATACCCCCCTTATGTATTATACATGGTGATCATACCCCCCTTATGTATTATACATGGAGATCATATCCCCCCTTATGTATTATACATGGAGATCATATCCCTCCTTATGTATTATACATGGAGATCATATCCCCCCTTATGTATTATACATGGGAGATCATATCCCCCCCCTTATGTATTATACATGGAGATCATATCCCCCCTTATGTATTATACATGGAGATCATATCCCCCCTTATTATTATACATGGAGATCATATCCCCCCTTATGTATTATACATGGTGATCATATCCCCCCTTATGTATTATACATGGAGATCATATCCCCCTTATGTATTATACATGGTGATCATATCCCCCCTTATGTATTATACATGGAGATCATATCCCCCCCTTATGTATTATACATGGAGATCATATCCCCCCCTTATGTATTATACATGGAGATCATACAGCTTCTTGTTGCTGGTGGCGGATCCATTGCTGCTGGGGGGGTCAATTGTTGCTGGAAGGGATCCACTGTTGAGGGAGGGGTCTATTGGCTGCTGGGAGATCTGTTGTTACTGCTGGGGTGGTATTTTCTTGCTGGGAAATCTATTGTTGCTGCAGGGGATCTATTTTACTGTTTTTCTTGTTATCATTAACAAATTCCATGAAAATAACTTAGCACCACAAAATGATACTTGGCTCTGTACTCTATAAAAGTAGCAGTACTGGAAGGTGGGTAAGGGGTGGAACCAAGGGACAGTGCTCAGAGATGCGGAGACAAGAAGTGACTCAGATCGTGGGAGCTCCTACACCTATTCTCTGAGAAAAGAAGCCCTGTATGTATGTATATCACACACATACATACAGATCACACACAATATCTTACCCAGCCTCGATGTAGTGATTGATGGCTGCATCCAGCTGTTTCTGCTGCACCAGGAAATCCCCCCAGGACTGCTCCAGTTTTAGTACTTCTGTAGGAAATGCCACTCGAGCCAACTCCACCGCTGGGGACACATACAGGAGACAGAAACCACCAATAATTGGTTCCATAGTCCAATACTGAGATCACTAGGCCCACCAAAAGCCGGTAACAGCCATGGCAGCCAAATCAGTGGTTGTAAACATGAAATATGAACAAAGCCTATCCCTCTATAGTGTGTACTTGTCTCAGTCCAGAGCACTAAGTGTCATTTCTGAGCTCTGCAGACTTTCCTTAGGGCTCCTGGAATGGATCAGAGGGATTCTAAAATGTGACCACTTTGACCAACTGGAATTGCTTTCATCCGTCCCGGAAGCCAGAAGAAAAGCGGGGATTTCAAATCCCCAGACTGATTTGTGGGCTGTGACAGCTAATCACCCAAAGAGGTAAGTACAGCGGGGACCAGGGGGTGGGGAGAGTGTAGGAAAAAGGTGAACAAACCCTTTAATTTGTTAAATGGTGATGCTAGGACAGCGAGTGTCAAGGTGTACTATAAGCACTGCCTCCCTAAGAAGAGTTGTAGGAGAAAGGAAGAACAGCCATTGGCTTTGGTCAAATGAATCCCCTTTTCCTATCACTCCTGAGAGTACTTTACGACACATGTTGGGCAATAATCCTTGATGGTATCAAAGGTGAACCCACAAAGTAAAAGCAATGCTGAAAGGAGCCACCCCACACCTTTATCTTCCTGACAACCTGATAAGTGGGATCATAATTCCTTGTCTTTGATGGCCTTTCACATTCCTGATTCTATACCTTCACTATTATATATCTATGATCGTATTCATTGTTCCTTTTATCTGGACTAGTGGGACCCCGGGACAATAACGTGCCCCATGGATGCAGGATTAGGATACTAGTACCATACATGGAATGTACGAGTATTATTGGGTCTCCGTAAGATTGGGTCCCCCAATGTCTGGTCATCATCAGTCTGGCACCCCCTACTGTCAGGTCACTATCAGTCTAGGATCCCCATTGTCAGGCCACCATCATTCTGGGAACCCCATTGTCAGGTCACCATCATTCTGGGAACCCCATTGTCAGGTCACCATCATTCTGGGACCACCACTGTCAAGTCACCATCAGTTTGGAACCCCAAAAAATAGGTCACCATCAGACTGGGAGCCCACTGTCAAGTCACCTTCAGTCTGGGACCCTCAGTGTCAGGTCACCATCAGTCTGGAACCCCCAGTGTCAGGTTGCCATCAGTCTGGAACCCCCAGTGTCAGGTCGCCATCAGTCTGGAACCCCCAGTGTCAGGTCGCCATCAGTCTGGAACCCCCAGTGTCAGGTCGCCATCAGTCTGGAACCCCCAGTGTCAGGTCGCCATCAGTCTGGAACCCCCAGTGTCAGGTCGCCATCAGTCTGGAACCCCCAGTGTCAGGTCGCCATCAGTCTGGAACCCCCAAAGTAAGGTCACCATCAGTCTGGGAGCCCCAATGTCAAGTCATCATCAGTCTGGGGCCCCAAAAGTCAGGCCACTCCTAGTCTGGGAGCTCCAAAGTAAGTCTCCATCAGTCTTGGACCCCCACAATAAGGTCACCATCAGTCTGGAAGCCCCAAAATAAGGGTACCATCAGTCTGGGAGCCCCAAAGTAAGGTCACCATCATCTGGGAGTCCCAATGTCAAGTCTCCATCACTTTGGGACAACCAATGTCAGGGACCCCAAATTTAAGATTTCCATCAGTCTGGAAACCCCAGTGCCAGGTCATTATTATTCTGAGATCTCCATGTCAGATTACAAACATTCTGGGACCCACAATGTTAGGTCACTATGGTTCTGGGTCCTCCAATGTCAGGTCACCATTCTTCTGCTCACCTTTCCTGAAGGCGTTGGCCTTGCAGTAACATTCCAATGCCCGACGGCTGTTATTAATTTTTTCTAATAAGTCCCCTGCCTGGAAAAAAAAAACACCAGTATATAATATCAGGCAAACATCTAGAAACAAAATCCAGCAAGAGTTTACAGAGGAGATCCAGAAGAGTCTACAGAGAAAGTATGAGAAAAACCTAAACGGTCCACAGATAAAGAGAGACAAGATCTAAAACGTTCTACAGAGAAACTAACAGAAGATTTAGAAGGGTCTATAAAAGTGAGAGATTTAGAAAAATCTATGGAGAAAGTCAAAAGTCCTGAAAGGTCTACAGACAGGTGAGACAGGTAATGGTGAACAGTTTGCAGACATCTAGAAAGATGAAACAGTAAGACTCACCCTCTCGTAGAAGTCTCCTTTAATCAGGGCAGCAGTGACCCTCCCCATGAGATCGGAATTGGCCAGAAGCTGTTCTTGGCTCATACACAAACGGGCTGCTTTTGCTGGGAGCCCGGCATGCAGGTACATGTTGACAGCCGAGATATAGTCACCTTCTTGTTCTCGCACCTCACCCGCTTTCTCCTCCTGCTGACTGTCTGACAAGTATCGCAGGTAGTTGCGCTTCAAACTTTCCAGCTCAGGGTGACCCTGCGAGGGGGACAAGAAAATTCTGTTCAAGATTAAAGTATGCCCCCCCAGCTTCCATTGACCCTTGTGCGTTCCTGTGTCTCCAGTGACCCGTGCGAGCTCCCGTGTCTCCAGTGACCCGTGCGAGCTCCCGTGTCTCCAGTGACCCGTGCGAGCTCCCGTGTCTCCAGTGACCCGTGCGAGCTCCCGTGTCTCCAATGACCCATGCAAGCTCCCGTGTCTCCAGTGACCCGTGCGAGCTCCCGTGTCTCCAGTGACCCGTGCGAGCTCCCCTGTCTCCAGTGACCCGTGCGAACTCCCGTGTCTCCAATGACCCGTGCGAACTCCCGTGTCTTGACCCATGCGAGCTCCCGTCTCCAGTGACCCCTGAGCATTTCCGTGTCTCCAGTGACCCCTGAGCGTTTCCACTACAGTGACCCGTGCGAGCCCCGTGTCTCCAGTGACCCGTGCGAGCTCCCGTGTCTCCAGTGACCCGTGCGAGCGTTTCCAGTGACCCGTGCGAGCTCCCGTGTCTCCAGTGACCCGTGCGAGCTCCCGTGTCTTGACCCGTGCGAGCTCCCGTGTCTCCAGTGACCCCTGCGAGCTCCCGTGTCTCCAGTGACCCCTGCGAGCGTTTCCACGTGTCTCCAGTGACCCGTGCGAGCTCCCTGTCTCCAGTGACCCGTGCGAGCTCCCGTGTCTCCAGTGACCCGTGCGAGCTCCCGTGTCTCCAGTGACCCGTGCGAGCTCCCGTGTCTCCAGTGACCCGTGCGAGCTCCCACGTCTCCAGTGACCCGTGCGAGCTCCCTGTCTCCAGTGACCCGTGCGAGCTCCCCTGTCTCCAGTGACCCCTGTGCGTTTCCGTGTCTCCAGTGACCCCTGAGAGTTTCCGCGTCTCCAGTGACCCCTGAGCGTTTCCGCGTCTCCAGTGACCCCTGAGCGTTTCCGCGTCTCCAGTGACCCCTGAGCGTTTCCACGTCTCCAGTGACCCCTGAGCGTTTCCACGTCTCCAGTGACCCCTGAGCGTTTCCACGTCTCCAGTGACCCCTGAGCGTTTCCACGTCTCCAGTGACCCCTGAGCGTTTCCACGTCTCCAGTGACCCCTGAGCGCTTCCACGTCTCCAGTGACCCCTGAGCGTTTCCACGTCTCCAGTGACCCCTGAGCGTTTCCCGTGTCTCCAGTGACCCCTGAGCGTTTCCCGTCTCCAGTGACCCCTGTGCATTCCCGTGTCTCCAGTGACCCTGTGCATTTCCGTGTCTCCAGTGACCCTTATGCGTTTCCGTGTCTCCAGTGACCCTTATGCGTTTCCGTGTCTCCAGTGACCCCTGTGCGTTTCCACGTCTCCAATGACCCCTGTGCGTTTCCATGTCTCCAGTGACCCCTGCAAGTTCCTGTGTCTCCAGTGACCCCTGTACGTTCCTTTGTCTCCAGTGACCCCTGTATGCTCCGGTGTCTCCAGTGTGGTGCCCTATATGTGCTGTCTGGGTGGGGAGATTATATTATATTGCTGACACACAGCATACCTTGGTCTCTGCTACAGCGATACATTCATCCCACATGTGTAATTCCTGGTACATGACCATTGCCTCTGTCACCGCATTCTATAGGTGGAAATCGAAAAAGGTACAAGAACAAGAAAAAATAGAAAAAAGGATAGCAACTTAAAGTAATAATAAATGCACTGCATGTTTAATGTAATTTTTGAAGTAAATAATGTGCCAACGTTCCTTAGCTTCTGTTCTCTTTAATTTAGTGAAACGGCTTTCAAGTATCGCTCCAGGTAGTTCTAGCATGCATAGAGTCTCACCTTCCCTAGGCAGATACGCTCATCTCAGGCCTAGTATGCATAGAGTCTCACCTGCTCCAGGTATATATCCCATTCTCAGTCCTAGTATGCACAGAGTCTAACCTGCTCCAGGTAGATCATCCCATCTCAGTCCTAGCATTCAGAGTCTAACCTGCTCCAGGTAGATCATCCCATCTCAGTCCTAGCATGCACAGTCTAACCTGCTCCAGGTAGATCATCCCATCTCAGTCCTAGCATGCACAGTCTAACCTGCTCCAGGTAGGTCATCCCATCTCAGTCCTAGCATGCAGAGTCTAACCTGCTCCAGGTAGATCATCCCATCTCAGTCCTAGCATTCAGAGTCTAACCTGCTCCAGGTAGATCATCCCATCTCAGTCCTAGCATGCACAGAGTCTAACCTGCTCCAGGTAGGTCATCCCATCTCAGTCCTAGCATGCACAGAGTCTAACCTGCTCCAGGTAGGTCATCCCATCTCAGTCCTAGCATGCACAGAGTCTAACCTGCTCCAGGTAGATCATCCCATCTCAGTCCTAGCATGCAGAGTCTAACCTGCTCCAGGTAGATCATCCCATCTCAGTCCTAGCATGCACAGTCTAACCTGCTCCAGGTAGGTCATCCCATCTCAGTCCTAGCATGCAGAGTCTAACCTGCTCCAGGTAGATCATCCCATCTCAGTCCTAGCATTCAGAGTCTAACCTGCTCCAGGTAGATCATCCCATCTCAGTCCTAGCATGCACAGAGTCTAACCTGCTCCAGGTAGGTCATCCCATCTCAGTCCTAGCATGCACAGAGTCTAACCTGCTCCAGGTAGGTCATCCCATCTCAGTCCTAGCATGCAGAGTCTAACCTGCTCCAGGTAGATCATCCCATCTCAGTCCTAGCATGCACAGAGTCTAACCTGCTCCAGGTAGATCATCCCATCTCAGTCCTAGCATGCACAGAGTCTAACCTGCTCCAGGTAGATCATCCCATCTCAGTCCTAGCATGCAGAGTCTAACCTGCTCCAGGTAGATCATCCCATCTCAGTCCTAGCATGCACAGAGTCTAACCTGCTCCAGGTAGATCATCCCATCTCAGTCCTAGCATGCACAGAGTCTAACCTGCTCCAGGTAGATCATCCCATCTCAGTCCTAGCATGCAGAGTCTAACCTGCTCCAGGTAGGTCATCCCATCTCAGTCCTAGCATGCAGAGTCTAACCTGCTCCAGGTAGATCATCCCATCTCAGTCCTAGCATGCACAGAGTCTAACCTGCTCCAGGTAGATCATCCCATCTCAGTCCTAGCATGCACAGAGTCTAACCTGCTCCAGGTAGATCATCCCATCTCAGTCCTAGCATGCAGAGTCTAACCTGCTCCAGGTAGGTCATCCCATCTCAGTCCTAGCATGCACAGAGTCTAACCTGCTCCAGGTAGGTCATCCCATCTCAGTCCTAGCATGCAGAGTCTAACCTGCTCCAGGTAGATCATCCCATCTCAGTCCTAGCATGCACAGAGTCTAACCTGCTCCAGGTAGATCATCCCATCTCAGTCCTAGCATGCACAGAGTCTAACCTGCTCCAGGTAGATCATCCCATCTCAGTCCTAGCATGCAGAGTCTAACCTGCTCCAGGTAGATCATCCCATCTCAGTCCTAGCATGCAGAGTCTAACCTGCTCCAGGTAGATCATCTCAGCCAGTTTAAAGTTGTGCTGCAGCATGGCCAGTCGGGCTTGAACCTTGTAGCTCCTGGTGCCATCTCCACCCTGGAAGCAGAGAACTGGGGTTAGTGCATTATATAAATATATATATCTGGATTTCACTGCTGGGACGTGCACTGGCTGCCATTCGCTAAATGACTGGAAGGAAGCTTTTAGTGTTACATGTTCCCTGTATGGATTCCAACATCCTCTCCTAATTATAAAGCTGCTCCACTTACTTACTTATAAGGACAATACCCCAGTTTTCTGCTGTACATGGGGTCTATTCTCAGTTGTATTTTTTTCTATTTTCTCCTCCGATCCTTATGCCTTTCACCATTTTATAGCGTCCTAACAACATCAAAATTTTCACTTTGTGCTTTAAACTGGGGAAAGATTTGGCAGACACATGGTGCAGTGCTGTGAAAGGAATGTATTTTGTTTATAAAGAAGCCACTGAGATATACCAATGACATTACCAGCCAGCAGCTGCACCAATCACAGATCGGGGTCTGGTAGACAGCTATACCAATGACATAACCAGCCAGGATCTGCACCAATCACAGATCGGGGCCTGGTAGACAGTTATACCAATGACCTAACCAGCCAGGATCTGCACCAGAGACAGAGACCCCAACGACACGTAAGATTTAATCAGTGGATGAGACCTCCAATGAGAATAACTCCGGAATCTCCATGTGTTCTCATTGGATGGAGGATGGAAAAGGGGCCCATTACAAAAACCCAATCCCAGACCTTCACATGACCCTCCTAGTCCAAAATCCTGTCACCCATCTTAGCAGATACTCACATACTCAGCTGCCGCCTGCTCTACAATCTCATTGGTCTCCCGCAGGAATTTGACTTTGGCAACGTCCCCCAGGGCAGCAAAACACCTGAAAGAGGGACAGTTGTGGTATATTTCTATGACTGTTCTATAGTATATGGGCATTCATTACCACTTTCATCACAAATCTTATATAGAACATATCCAGGTACAGGCCTCCCACAGTTCTTATATATACAGCATATCCCAATAAAGACCTCCAACCCAGATCATACACACACACACACACACACACACACACACACACACACACACACACACACACCCCATATCCCAGAACACGCCACCATCACAGATCATACACACACACACACACACACACACACACACCATATCCCATACAGGCCACCATCACAGATCATACACACACCATATCCCATACAGGCCACCATCACATCACAGATCATACACACACACACCCCATATCCCAGAACACGCCACCATCACAGATCATACACACACACACACACACACCATATCCCATACAGGCCACCATCACAGATCATACACACACACACACACACAAACACACACCATATCCCAGAACACGCCACCATCACAGATCATACACAAACACAAACACGCACCATATCCCATACAGGCCACCATCACAGATCATACATACCCACACTATATTCCAGTACAGGCTTCCATCACAGATCATATATACACACACCACCATATCCCATACAGGCCCCCATCACAGCTCATACATACACACACTATATCCCAGTACAGGCTTCCATCACAGATCATACATACACACACCATATCCCAGTACAGGCTTCCATCACTGATCATACATACACACACCATATCCCAGTACAGGCTTCCATCACAGATCATACATACACACACTATATCCCAGTACAGGCTTCCATCACAGATCATACATACACACACTATATCCCAGTACAGGCTTCCATCACAGATCATACATACACACACTAAATCCCAGTACAGGCCACCATCACAGATCATACAGACACACACTAAATCCCAGTACAGGCCACCATCACAGATCATACATACACACACTAAATCCCAGTACAGGCCACCATCAAGATCATACATACACACACCATATCCCAGTACAGGCTTCCATCACAGATCATACATACACACACCATATCCCAGTACAGGCTTCCATCACAGATCATACATACACACACCATATCCCAGTACAGGCTTCCATCACAGATCATACATACACACACCATATCCCAGTACAGGCTTCCATCACAGATCATACATACACACACCATATCCCAGTACAGGCTTCCATCACTGATCATACATACACACACTATATCCCAGTACAGGCTTCCATCACTGATCATACATACACACACCATATCCCAGTACAGGCTTCCATCACAGATCATACATACACACACACCATATCCCAGTACAGGCTTCCATCACAGATCACACATACACACACTATATCCCAGTACAGGCTCCCATCACAGATCATACATACACACACTATATCCAAGTACAGTCATCCATCACAGATCATACATACACACACTATATCCCAGTACAGGCTCCCATCACAGATCATACATACACACACTATATCCCAGTACAGGCTTCCATCACAGATCATACATACACACACTATATCCCAGTACAGGCTCCCATCACAGATCATACATACACACACATATCCCAGTACAGGCTACCATCACAGATCATACATACACACACCATATCCCAGTACAGGCTCCATCACAGATCACACATACACACACTATATCCCAGTACAGGCTTCCATCACAGATCATATATACACACACTATATCCCAGTACAGGCTCCCATCACAGATCATACATACACACACCATATCCCAGTACAGGCTTCCTTCACAGATCATACATACACACACTATATCCCAGTACAGGCTTCCATCACAGATCATACATACACACACTATATCCCAGTACAGTCTTCCATCACAGATCATATATACACTGGGAAAATAATGATTGGATCCCCTGCAGATTTTGTAATTTGCCCACTTACAGAGAAATGAAGGGTCTATAATTTTTATCATAGGTGTTTTTTAAATTATAGAGACAGAACATCAACCAAAAATCCAGAAACAACACACGATACAAATGTTATAAATGGAGTTGCACTTCAGTGAGTAAAATAAGTATTTGATCCCCGAGCAAAACATGACTTAATAGTTGGTGAAGAACCCTTGTTGGGAAGCACAGAGGTAAGATGTTCCTTGTAGTTGGTGGAGGAACCCTTGTTGGGAAGCACAGAGGTAAGACGTTCCTTGTAGTTGGTGGAGAACCCTTGTTGGGAAGCACAGAGGTAAGATGTTCCTTGTAGTTGTGGAGAACCCTTGTTGGGAAGCACAGAGGTAAGACGTTCCTTGTTGGTGGGGAACCCTTGTTGGAGCACAGAGGTAAGACGTTCCTTGTAGTTGGTGGAGAACCCTTGTTGGGAAGCACAGAGGTAAGACGTTCCTTGTAGTTGGTGGAGAACCCTTGTTGGGAAGCACAGAGGTAAGACGTTCCTTGTAGTTGGGGAGAACCCTTGTTGGGAAGCACAGAGGTAAGACTTTCCTTGTAGTTGGTTCCCAGGTTTTCAGACATCTCAGGAGGGATTTTGGTCCACTCTTCTTTACAGATCTTCTCTAAATCCTTAAGGTCTCTTGGCTGTCACTTGACAATTCGAAGTTTCAGCTCCCTCCATAAATTTTCTACAGGATTAAGGTCTGGAGACTGGCTAGACCACTCCATGACCTTCATGTGCTTCTTCTTGAGCCATTTCTTTGTTGTCTTGGTCGTACGTTTTGGGTCACTCTTATGCTGGAAGACCCATCCACGACCCATCTTCAGTATTCTGGATGAGGGAAGAAGGCTGTCATCTAAGGTTATACAATACATGGCTCCGTCCGTTGGTCCCTCAATGTGACAAAAATGGCCTGTACAATTAGCAGAGAAAAAGCCCCAAAGCATAATGCTTCCACCTCCATGCTTGACTGTAGGGATGGTGTTCTTAGGGTCATAGTCAGCATTTTTCTTCCTCCAGACATGGCGAGTCGAGTTAATTTAAAAAAAACTCAACTTTGGTCTCATCTGACCACAGCACTTTCTTCTAATCCTTCTCTGAATCATTTAGATGTTCATTGACAAACTTCGGACAGGCCTGTACATGTGTGTTCTTGAGGAGGGGGGCCTTGCAGGCGCTGCAGGATTTGAGTCCATGGCGGCATAATGTGTCACCAATGGTTTGTTTGGTGGCTGTATTCCCAACTGCTTTGAGTTCCTTCACAAGCTCCTCCTGTGTAGTTCTGGGCTGATGCCTCACTTTTCTCATGATCATCCTTACCCCATGAGGCAAAATCTTGCATGGAGCTCCAGACTGAGGGCAATTGATGGTTATTTTGTATTTCTTCCACTTGCCCAACAGTTGTCTCCTTCTCAGCAAGTTTCTTGCTGATGGTCTTGTAGCCCATTCCAGCCTTTTACATGTCTACAATCTTGTCCCTGATATCCTTTGACAGCGCTTTGGTCTTGCTCATGATGGAATAGGCATTTGAATGGAAGAAAGATATTCTGTGGACAGGTGTCTTTTATACACATAACAAGTTGTCATTAGAAGAACCTTCTTAAAATTGACAGGAGTAACCTGTGTACCACATGAGCACAGAGCCAGTCTGTGGGAGCCAGAATTATTGTTGGTTGGTGGGGGTTCAAATACGTATTTTACTCACTGAAATGCAACTCAACTTATAACATTTGTTATATTTTTTTCTGGATTTTTTCTTGATATTCTGTCTCTATCATTTAAAATACAACTGTGATAAAACTTATAGACCGTTCATTTCTTTGTAAATTGACAAACTTACAAAATCTGCAGGGGATCAAATAATTATTTTCCCCACTACCTACCTCTGGGCGACATGCAGGTGGCGGCCCTCCAGAGACAGTTTGCTGAGGGTCTTCCACATTGCTTCAGTCTCTGTGGACATCTCCAGAGTCTCCAAGAAAGCGACAGCTCTGTGTACAGTGGAGAGGAATGTTATAGGTCATATTTATAAGAACTACTACTTCTATTTACTATACTTATTACATTGTACTTAGAGCCCTATGGATGCTAGAATCTCCCCGGCAGCCAAGACAGAGTGGACATCATACCTGTAGTAGTCTCCGTCATCAATGGCCGTCCCAAACTCTATAAGGCCTTCATCCAAGGCGTAGGATATTGTATTAACCCCTTCGGAGACAACCACTTCAGTCTTTCCCTCATTCCTCTCCAGCTCCACAATGTCACCCTATTAGAGTGAGAAGAAGACATAATTTACACAAAGAAGGTCATCGCTAGAGGCTGCAAATGAAAAGGTTCAATTCATACAGGACAGGATGATTAGTAGAACATTACATGACACCTAACATCCTCAGATTCTCCAGCTGATCTAGAGCAAGGCAAAACAGTAATGACTAAGGTTGTGTGGGCTGAAACACGTCAAGTTTGTGTATATGCAATTTGTATTCTGTGATCTTCTAATAAATACAGGAATTTAAAGAACATCCAGGGTCGTACGGATCCTTCCTTACCCAAGTACTTATGAAGGGCCTGGACTGTGTCAGCAGACTTTGATTAAGATAGAAGTCTATAAGAATGCAAAACTCGCTTGAAGTAGGTCGAATGCAGGTAAGAATGAGGTCAACAGAAGGTCAGAAGGAGCTCAACCACTGGTCAAATGTAGGTCAGAAAAAGTTCAACTGCAGGTCAAATGCACCTATAGGTGAATTCTATATGATCTACGAAGAGTCTCCATGTGATCTCATGATGAAGCTGTCAACAGCAGCTCAAAGCCCTTTGACATGGAGGTCAGCAGGAGGAACCAGTGAGAGCTGTGGGGAACCCAGGGGACGGACACTCCTGGAAGTGTTGGTTTTTCCCAGAGGACTTTAGTGGACGACTCTTTGGAATTGAAGCAGCGTTTGATGGTGCAGGCAGCTAAAAAAAAGGTATTTATAGTATTTGTAGCTGCCAACTTAATTTTTTGCAGGGGGAAACTGGAGCTCCTCCATGTATCTCAACAGGGTTGCTTTATATTTTTATCCTTTTAGGAAAGCCTCCACTTAAATAAATCTTTTGTATTTGCCAGAAAAAATCCTGTGGAAGAATATACCATGTTTTCACAGCTTTGCTATTGGAAAGGTTCTGCAGAAAGACATTCACTTTCAAGCTCATTTTTTACAGTTTTTCATATGGACCCTCTTCATTTGGTAATCAAATCCCCCTAACCATCTCCCCCCATGAAGAAGACCTCCAGACGTGTGCTATACCTACGTAGACTGCCTGCAGCGAGGTTGTAGTGTGCGTTGTCTGTCGACAATTCAAGGGAACTTCTAAGGATGTTAATTGTTCCTATTTTTTTTGTCCATTTTTGTCTGGAATAACTCCTGAAAACTAACAGTGCACTTCCTAACATCAGCTCACTTTCTGAGCCTAGGCACTCTTGTCCTGTATCTTCATAGCTGTTTATCTGCAGTGTAAGATCATCTAGGGAAACTGAAAATATCAATCAAGTGTCGCGTTTCACTTCTGATTTAAACCAAAACAACCAACATAAATGTCTTTTAATAAGTGTCCATGTGCTGATATTTCATATGGCTGTACATCTTCACAGATGCTTAAATTGCAAATAACCTCTTGAAACCCCTTGTGCAATTATACACTGCAAACCGATGTGTGTACACCTCCACTGGATGTACGCTCACCTGGTGTAGATGACCAACTGCTACGTGAGGTTATACAGTTGCAAGAAAAGTATGTGAACCCCTTGGGATTACGTGGAGTTTTGCATGAATTGGGCATAAAATGTGCTCTGAACGTCATCTAAGTCACAACAATAGACGAACACAGTCTGCTGAACATAATACTACACAAACATTAGATGTTGCCATGGTTTAATTGCACATAACATGTAAACATTCACAGTGCAGGGAGGAAAAAGTATGTGAGGCCCTAGCTTAATGACTTCTCCCAGAGCTAATTGGAAGCCAGGAGTGAGCCAACCTTGACTCCAATCAGTGTGATGATATTGGATGTGTTGCTGACAGCTGTTCTGCCCTTAAAAAACACACACCTGTTTTGGGTTTACTGGTTTCAAGAAGCACTGTCTGATGTGAACCATGCCTCGCAGAAAAGAGCTCTCAGAAGACCTACGATCAAGAATTGTTGACTTGCATGAAGCTGGAAAGGGTTACAAAAGTATCTCCAAAAGCCTTGATGTTCATGTGTCCACGGTAAGACAGACTGTCTACAAATGGAGAAAGTTTAGCACTGTTGCTACTCTCCCTAGGCATGGTCGTCCTGTAAAAATGACTGCAAGAGCACAGCGCAGAATGCTGCATGAGGTAAAGAAGAATCCCAGAGTGTCAACTAAAGACCTACAGAAATCTCTGGCACATGCTAACATTTTTGTTGACACATCTACAATAAGGGAAAACATTAAACAAGAATGGAGTACATGGGAGGACACCACGGAGGAAGCCATTGCTGTCCAAAAAGAATATTGCAGCACGTTTGAAGTTTGCAAAAGAGCACCTGGATGTTCCACAGCACTACTGGCAAAATATACTGTGGACAGATGAAACCAAGATTGAGTTGTTTGGGAAGAACACACAACACTATGTGTGGAGAAAAAAAGGCACAGCACACCAACATCAAAACCTCATCCCCACTGTAAAACATGGCGGAGGGAGCATCATGGTTTGGGGCTGCTTTGCTGCCTCAGGGCCTGGACAGATTGTTGTCATTGATGGGAAAATGAATTCCAGAGTTTATCAAGACATTTTGCAGGAAAACTTACGACCGTCTGTCCGCCAACTGAAGCTCCGCAGAGGATGGGTGATGCAACAGGACAATGACCCAAAGCATACAAGAAATTCAACAAAACAATGGCTGCAACAGCACAGAATACGCCTTCTGGAGTGGCCCAGTCAGAGTCCTGACCTCAACCCGATTGAAATGCTGTGGCATGACCTTAAGAGAGCGATTCACACCAGACATCCCAAGAATATTGCTACACTGAAACAGTTTTGTGAAGAGGAGTGGTCCAAAATTACTCCAGATCGTTGTGCAGGTCTGATCTGCAACTACAGGAAACGTTTGGTTGAGGTTATTGCTGCCAAAGGAGGGTCAACCAGTTATTAAGTCCAAAGGTTCACATACTTTTTCCTCCCTACACTGTGAATGTTTACATGTTATGTGCAATTAAACCATGGCAAAATCTAATGTTTTGTGTAGTATTATGTTCAGCAGACTGTGTTCTTCTATTGTTGTGACTTAGATGACGTTCAGAGCACATTTTATGCCCAATTCATGCAAACATCCACGTAATCCCAAGGGGTTCACATACTTTTTCTTGCAACTGTATATAGCATGTGTCCCCCTTATATGGACTGATATATGATGTCCGATGAGCATGAGTCTGCTCCACTCTCCTAGCTGTCCTCCTCCATCAGATAAATACTGAAAAAAGATGACCAAAACATAGTGCTTTATCCTTACAAAAGATTAATTGGCAAAGCAATAGCCAGTATTCCCTCTTTGACGTCACGGCGCTCGTAGGAGTGCGGTACAGCTGGCTGCAGATTAGCGGTTGGAGGATCCATATCAGTAGCAGTGCCTTGTTGGAGTTACTTTACAAGACACGATATTACACATCATACATGTAAGTGGACTACTGGATATTGTTTTATCAATAAATCTTTTGTAAGGATAAAGCACTACGTTTTGGTCATCTCTTTTCAGTATTTATCTGATGGAGGAGGACAGCTAGGAGAGTGGAGGAGACTCGTGCTCATTGGACATCATATCAGCCCACATAAGGGACACATGCTGTATATGACCTCACTTAGAGGTTTGGTCATATACACCAGGTGAGAGCACATCCAGTGGAGGTGTACACACATCGGTTTGCAGTGTATAAACGCACGAGGGGGGTTTCAAGAGGTTATTTGCAATTTAAGCATCTGTGAAGATATACAACCATATAGAATATTGGTCTCCAAACTGCGGCCCTTTGCTTGCCTCTATCCGGCCCTCGGGGGACTATTCCTCCCACTGACACCAACAAGGAGGCACAATTTCTTCCACTAGCACCAGCTATGGGGCATTTTGGCCTTCCACTGATATAAACAATTAGGTACTATTCCTCCAACTAATACCAAGGATGGAGCACTATTCCTTCTTCTTTTACCAATGATGGGGCACTATTCTTCCACCTGACACCAATGATGGGGCATTATACATCTCACTGACACCAATAATGGGGCACTATTCCTCCCACTGATACCAATGATGGAGAATTATTCCTCTCACTGATACCAATGATGGTGCACTGCTCCTCCCACTGACACCAATGACGGGACACTATTCCTTCCACTGATACCAATGATGGGACACTATTCCTCTCACTGATACCAATGATGGGGCACTATTCCTCCCACTGACACCAATGATGGGGCACTATTCCTCCCACTGATACCAATGATGGGGCACTATTCCTCCCACTGACACCAATGATGGGGCACTCTTCCTCCCACTGATACCAATGATGGTGCACTATTCCCCCCCACTGATACCAATGATGGGACACTATTCCTCCCACTGACACCAATGATGGGGCACTATTCCTCCCACTGACACCAATCATGGGGCACTATTCCTCCCACTGATACCAATGATGGGGCACTATTCCTCCCACTGATACCAATGATGAGGCACTATTCCTCCCACTGACACCAATGATGGGGTACTATTCCTCCCACTGATACCAATGATGGGGCACTATTCCTCCCACTGACACCAATGATGGGGCACTATTCCTCCCAGTGATACCAATGATGGGACACTATTCCTCCCACTGATACCAATGATGGGACACTATTCCTCCCACTGACACCACCAATGATGGGGCACTATTCCTCCCTCTAAAACCAATGATGGGGCACTATTCCTCCCACTGATACCAATCATGGGGCACTATTCCTCCCACTGATACCAATGATGGGACACTATTCTTCCCACTGATACCAATGATGGGGCACTATTCCTCCCACTGATACCAATGATGGGACACTATTCCTCCCACTGATACCAATGATGGGGCACTATTCCTGCCACTGATACCAATGATGGGGCACTATTCCTCCCACTGATACCAATGACGGGGCACTATTCCTCCCACTGATACCAATGACGGGGCACTATTCCTCCCACTGATACCAATGATGGGGCACTATTCCCTCCACTGATACCAATGATGGGGAACACTATTCCTCCCACTGATACCAATGATGGAACACTATTCCTCCCACTGATACCAATGATGGGACACTATTCCTCCCACTGATACCAATGATGGAACACTATTCCTCCCACTGATACCAATGATGGAACACTATTCCTCCCACTGATACCAATGATGGGGCACTATTCCTCCCACTGATACCAATGATGGAACACTATTCCTCCCACTGATACCAATGATGGAACACTATTCCTCCCACTGATACCAATGATGGACACTATTCCTCCCACTGATACCAATGATGGGGACACTATTCCTGCCACTGATACCAATGATGGGGACACTATTCCTCCCACTGATACCAATGACGGGGCACTATTCCTCCCACTGATACCAATGAGGGGCACTATTCCTCCCACTGATACCAATGATGGGGAACTATTCCTCCCACTGATACCAATGATGGGGCACTATTCCTCCCACTGATACCAATGATGGGGACATATTCCTCCCACTGATACCAATGATGGGGCACTATTCCTCCCACTGACACCAATGATGGGCACTATTCCTCCCACTGATACCAATGATGGGGCACTATTCCTCCCACTGATACCAATGATGGGGCACTATTCCTCCCACTGATACCAATGATGGGGAACACTATTCCTCCCACTGATACCAATGATGGGGACACTATTCCTCCCACTGATATCAATGATGGGACACTATTCCTCCCACTGATACCAATGATGGCACTATTCCTCCCACTGATACCAATGATGGGGCACTATTCCTCCACTGATACCAATGATGGGGCACTATTCCTCCCACTGATACCAATGATGGGGCACTATTCCTCCCACTGACACCAATGATGGGGCACTATTCCTCCCACTGATACCAATGATGGGAACTATTCCTCCCACTGACACCAATGATGGGGCACTATTCCTCCCACTGATACCAATGATGGAGCACTATTCCTCCCATTGGATACCAATGATGGGGCACTATTCCTCCCCACTGATACCAATGATGGGGCACTATTCCTCCCAATAATACCAATGGGCCACTATTCCTCCCTCTAATACCAATGATGGGGCACTATTTCTCCCTCTAATACCAATCATGGGGCGCTGTTCCTCCCTCTAATACCAATGATGGGGCACTGTTCCTCCAACTAATACCAATAGCTGGACACTATTCCTCCTTCCACTGACTACAAGCACTATGTCATTTTTTTTTTACTCCTACTGGCGCTGTGACATTTTCTACTCCCACTGGCCACTCTGGCCCTCCTAAAGTACGAAGGTCAGTAAAACTGGCAAATTGTTTCGAAAGTTTGGAGACCCCTGATATAGAATATCAACACATGGACACTTATTAAAAGACGTTTATGTTGGTTGTTTTGATTTAAATCAGAAGTGAAGCGTGGCACTTGATTGATATTTTCTGTTACATAACACATTTTGTATGGGTATGTGAATAGTGTGAGCGATTCACAATTTTATTAATATTTATAAATATTATTTTGTATCACTAATTCGACATTGCAGTTCACAAGATTCTGTATTTTATACATTGTGTCATCCAAGGCACTACTGCCTCTGACTGATCACATGTCAATCACACTAGATATGGAGTGAGATTTGATGCCACTACTGTACAGCTCACCGTTCTCTTTGCTGGAGAAGAAGCTGTGGACCTGCAGTGCAAGGATCTCTCTGCTTCTGCTTCATTCTTTCTATGGATCTGTTCCTCCTCCACCTCTATCATCTCACCAGTCATCAGGGGGTAACTCTGACATGAGAAAGCAAAGCCTTGCTTTGCTACCAATATGGCCCGCCTCCGCTAAGACATTACTGATGACTAGTCTTTTTTGAACACAGCTTCAACAGAACAGGTACTCAGAGTGTCACATATATCTGGCCTTCTACAAAGAACAATGTTATATAAAAATGCTCTCTAACCCCAAAGTTACCTTGATTGGGAACATTGAGACCCGCTCTGGAGAATCAATATTGTACCAGACACAGAGATTACTGCGGTTCTGTGCTACCACTACGTCACTTCCCGGTACCCACTGCACATATGAGCAGTAATTCAAAATGGTTGTCTTCTGGCCATCTGAGACATCAAAAATGTTCAACTGTATGGACACAAGGAAAGGGAAGAATTGTAGCATTAATAGGAAACCTCAACAAATGGAGGGGAAGGTAGAAATAGGACAGGTGCATTAGATAGGGGAAGGCAACAGAGCCACAAATGAAGAGGCAAATGTTGAATAGGATAAAAGAGAAAAGCATGTAAAAGGTAAGTGAAGAGAAGAGCTGGGGCAGTGAGGAGCCAAGAACAGGTAAGGACAGTATGAGGAGGTAGAGTACACATTAGGGCTGGAAGAGCGACAAGCACAGGATAGGAGAGGACAATATGTAGAGGTGGATTACACATCAGGGCTGGAACAGTGAAGAGCACATGACAGGAGAGGACAATATGCAGAGTACACATCAGAGCTGGAACAGTGAAAAACACAGGACAGGAGAAGACAATATGAAGAGGTAGAGTACACATCAGGGCTGGAACAGTGAAAAGCACAGGACAGGAGAAGACAATATGTAGAGGTAGAGTACACATCAGGGCTGGAACAGTGAAGAGCACAGGACAGGAAAGGACAATATGTAGAGTACACTTCAGGGCTGGAACAGTGAAAGAGCACGGATAGGAAAGAACAGTATGTAGATTACACATCAGGGCTGGAACATTGAAGAGCACAGGACAGGGAGAGGACAATATGTAGAAGTAGATTACACATCAGGGCTGGAACATTGAAGAGCACAGGACAGGAGAAGACAATATGTAGAGGTAGAGAACACATCAGGGCTGGAACAGTGAAGAGGACAGGAAAGGAAAATATGTAGAGTGCACTTCAGGGCTGGAACAGTGAAGAGCACAGGACAGGAAAGGACAATATGTAGAGTACACATCAGTGCTGGAACATTGAAGAGCACAGGGCAGGCGAGGACAATATGTAGAGTACACATCAGGGCTGGAACAGTTAAGAGCAAAGAGCAGGTGAGGATAATATGGGGAGTCAAGTGCATATCAGACTAGAATAATTAGGAATACAAGAGAAGAGAGGAGAAGAGAATGGAGAGGTGAGGAGAGTCCATATGGATGGGGTAGAAGATCACAGAAGGTCCATCTCTCTCACTCGAAGTTTTTTGTCCCTGAAGAGCAGCTTGCGGCCAGTTTCATTCAGCTCCAGCCAGTCGATCTTAGTGTCATGGGTGACCATCCCAATATTATACCCAGTGAGGAGATCCACTGCCAGAAACAGTAAGAAAATAGTCAATTGGTAAACATAGATAGAAAGCCAGGTACCTGTTGTTAGTCTATCATATATGTGAAGATGAGGAGAAACACAGTCAGTATGCATGTAGGATGGGTCATTGTATGTGAGAAGATGGGACAAAAACCTATGGATGGGTCTGTGTATGTGGACCCAAAGACCTTAAGATGGGTCACTCTATGTGGGCAAGGCGGAGAAGACACCTACTGGTGGGCCATTGTTTCTGGAAAGTGCAATAGTCACTTATAGTTGTACCAGCATGTGGAAGGTAAAGCAAACACCTATAGATGGGTCAGAATGTGGATAAGGTAAAGGAGAGGTCTATAGATGGGTCATTGTTTGTGGAAGGTGGAATAGAGAACTATAGATGGGTCAGTATGCAGCTAACGTGGAGCAGACATGTACAGATGAGTCAATGTATATGGGCAAAATACAGCAGAAACCTGCAGATGAATCATTATCTGTGGAAGGTGTACTAGAGACATATAGATGGTCATTGTATCTTGAAGGTGGAGCAGACACCTACAAATGGGTCACTGTATGTTAAAGGTAGAGAAGACACCTATCGATGGGTCACTGTATGTTGAAGGTAGAGAAGACACCCACAAATGGGTCACTGTATGTGGAAGGTGAGCAGAAATCTACAGATGGGTCATTGTATGTGGACGGTATGCAGACACCTTTGGATGAGTCACTGTATGTTGAAGGTGGAGCAGATACTTATAGATAGGTCATTGCATGTGGAAGGTGGAGTAGACACATATAGATGGGTCACTGTAGGTGGAAGGTGGAGTAGACACCAAAAGATGGGTCATTGTATGTGGAAGGTGGATCAAACACCTATAGATGGGACAATGTATGTGGGCAAAGTAGACAAGACAGCTATTGATGGGTTAGAGTATGTTGGAATATTGAACAGACCCTTATAGATGGACTTTGTATATGGCAGGTCCAGAAAACACCTATAGATTGGACAATGTATGTGGAAGTGGAGCAAACACCAAAAGATGAGTCAATGTATGTGTTCAAAGTAGAGCCGCCACCTATAGATGGATCGTTGTATGTTGGAATATGGAACAGACATCTATAGATCGGTCAGCATGAGGTCAAGGTGGGGCGGTTGGAAGTAGGAAGGTGGAGTAGAAACTTATAGATGGATCAGTGTATGTTGGAAAATGGAACAGACACCTATAGATGGGTTAGCATGAGGTCAAGGTGGAGCAGGTAGGAAGGTGGAGTAGACACTTATAGATGGGACATTGTAATTAGAAGGTGGGGTTGACACCTCCAGATGGGTCAGTATGTGTTCAAGGTGTAGAAGACACCTAGAGATGGATCAGGATATGTGGGGAAAGTGGAACAGATAACTATAAATTGGTCACTATGTGGCCAACATGAAGCAGACATATGAATAGTTGACCCTGAGTAGATAGGTGGTATATGTGCCATGTGGAGATGCCACTCTGGACCTTCTGAAGCCTGGATTTGATATAACAGCGAGGACAGCTGAACATGGCATGTGAATGTTTGGCTTCTCCTGGTAATTTACCTATAGCGATGGTCTTCATGTCAATCAGATAGGCCAGCTTTTTGTTGTCCTCTATACCGCGCTGCTTCCTCTCATTCAGACGGACGCTGCACACAGACAAAGCAGTGGATCAAATTTGCTGTGATAATCTTTGCTTCAGCATCGATTTCTTGGTGTGTTAAATCTCTACATCAAAACAAAGTGGTTTCTTGCCCCAAAACCCAAGTAGCTACTGTGCGGACGCCCACTGGATCTTACTGTAATGTTTTATGGGTATGGACTTCCCAGGATCATATTAATTACTAACTTTTACTCACTTATGGCCTTTATGGTAATTAACTTGCTTGATGGCTCCACCATATCATGTCAATGGACATTCACAGTAAATTCTGGTAATTAGGAGGTCAGTGTAGATTTCTATAAAATATACTGTGGCCAGTTATTTTTTGTAGTTGTTGCTTGGGATTAAAACCTTTATCCATCGAATACTGGGGCCCAAACTGGCTTTCCACATGGAATTTTTGGTAAGTGATGGGATTATGGCTATTCTATGGTTGAGGGTTTGGATTACAGTAAAATTACTCAGCACACAAGAGTGATAAAAATGTATAATTTACCACGGTCAAAATTCAATGTATCATTGAGGTGCAGATAGGAAGTGCTGTACCCCCCCCCCCCCCTTTTCCCCACCCTGAAGATCCATGCCATGGTAGTCAGACTTACCTGATGAGATGGGGGTTCATGAACTCCGTGCGGACGGTCCCCAGTACCTCACTACGACCGTACTCCACCAGCGTCAGCTCCCCAGCATTGAAGATCATACAGACCTGACAGATAAACAGATGTTATGACCGACGAGGGACCCCTTACCCCCAGATCACTAGCAATGGTCTGGGATACGTGAGGGGGAAATGCAAAGATATTAATAGAGAGACAACATGGGCCTCCAATCAATCCCAGACAGAGAATGACCGGGGAGGGGTGCAGGGGATGCGGAAAAAGGTAGAATATTGGAGTGTACAGGGAATACACACAGAGCTTTGGGGGGCAGGGGAAGAGGCAGGCAGAATATTGGGGCAGCAGGGTGGAGGCGGGTAGATCTTTTTGGTGTGGTGGCCTAGACACATGGAATTCTAGGGCAGCAGCAGCTAGAATTTTGGATGCAACAGTGGAGGCAGGCAGAATTCTGGGGCATCTGCAGATAAAATTCTGGGGTACAGTGGCAGAGGCAGGCAGAATTTCAGGGCAGTGGATAGAAGCAGGCAGAATTCTGGGGCAGCAGGGTGGAGACAGGCAGAATTTGAGGTGCGGGGCAGGCAGAATTTTGGGGTAGAGGGATGGAAGCAGGCAGAATCTGAGGTACAAGGGCAGAAGCGGGCAGACTTTTTGGGTAGCAGGATAGAGGCAGGCAGAATTTGAGGTGTAGGGGCAGACACAATTTTTGGGGCAGCACGGTGGAGGCAGGTATACTATTTGGTTCAGTGGCCTAGACATCTGGAATTCTAGGGCAGTGGCAGGTAGAATTTTGGATGTAGCAGTGAAGGCAGGCAGAATCTGGGTGCAGGGGCAGTGGCAGGCAAAATTTGGGGTAGCAGGATGGAAGCAGGCAGAATCTGGGTGCAGGGGCAGTAGCAGGCAACATTTGGGGTAGCAGGATGGAAGCAGGCAGAATTTGAGGTGCAGGGGCAGAGGCAGGCAGAATTTTGGGGCAGCAGGGTGGAGGCAGGCAGAATTTGAAGTGCAGGGGTAGAGGTGGTCTGAATTTTGGAGCAGCAGGATGGAGGCAGGCAGAACCTAAGGTGCAAGGCAGAATTCTGAGGCGCAGGTGCAGAGGCAGTATCAGGCAGAATTTGAAGTGAAGAGGCAGAGGCAGGAAGAATCTGAGGTGCAGGGGCAGTCACAGGTTTAATTTTGGGGTAGCAGGATGGAGGCAGGCAGAACCTGAGGTGCAAGGCAGAATTCTGAGGCAGCAAGACGGAGGCAGGCAGAATTTGAAGTGCAAGGGGCAGTAGCAGGCAGAATTTTGAGGCATCAAGGTGGAGGCAGGCAGAATCTGAGGTGCAAGGCAGAATTTTGGGGCAGCAGGCAGAATCTGAGGTGCAAGGGACAGTAGCAGGCAGACTTCTGAGGCAGCAGGGTGGAAGCAGGTGGATTCTGAGGTGCAAGGGGCAGTAGCAGGCAGAATTTTGAGGCAGCAGGGTGGAGGCAAGCCGAATGTGAAGTGCAAGGTGCAGTAGCAGGCAGAATTTTGAGGCAGCAAGGTGCAGGCAGGTGGAATTTGAGGTGCAAGGGGCAGTAGCAGGCAGAATTTTGGGGTAGCAGGGTAGAGTCAGGCAGAATGTGAAGTGCAAGGGGGCAGTAGCAGGCAGACTTTTGAGGCAGCAGGGTGGAGGCACGTGAAATCTGAGGTGCAAGGGACAGTAGCAGGCAGAATTTTGAGGCAGCAGGGTGGAGGCAGGCCGAATGTGAAGTGCAAGGTGCAGTAGCAGGCAGACTTCTGAGGCAGCAGGGTGGAGGCAGGTGGATTCTGAGGTGCAAGGGGCAGTAGCAGGCAGAATTTTGAGGCAGCAGGGTGGAGGCAGGCAGAATGTGAAGTGCAAGGTGCAGTAGCAGGCAGACTTCTGAGGCAGCAGGGTGGAGGCAGGTGGATTCTGAGGTGCAAGGGGCAGAAGCAGGCAGAAGTTTGAGGCAGCAGGGTGCAGGCAGGTGGAATCTGAGGTGCAAGGGGCAGTAGCAGGCAGAATTTTGAGGCAGCAGGCTGGAGGCAGGCAGAATCTGAGGTGCAAGGCAGAATTTTGGGACAGCAGGGTGGAGGCAGGCAGAATTTGCAATGCAGGAGCAAGCAGAATTTTGGAGCAGCAGGGTAAGGGATGAACACAGCTCAGTCCAATGCATGAATTTTCTGCTTCTCACATTCTCATTTTCAAAGAAGAATTTCTCATTTCCTCCAGAAGCTGGCCAGGCCACCTATAGGAAAGAGAAAGCAAGGTCACATGACAATCTGTCCCTACACGTGAAAGCTGTTCATACAGAGGCCCATTCAAACCCAGGCACCCACACTGCCCAACTCACGATCACCCAAGATGATTTCCCACTAGTTGCTATGGGTGACCACCCTAATCCCATCATCCTTAAGTGGGATCACCGTACCTCGTTCAGACGGTTGGTGGCCAGATCTGCAAGCAGTAAGGTGTCTGAAGTGTGCGCCACCAGGTACCGGTCCTTGCCCATGACTTTCACCTCATCCACTTCATAGCCGTAATGGGATTTTAGGACCACACGGGTCCCGGTGGAAAGATTCTTTACAATCACCTGCAGAACAGATTGGAAGGACATTACTATGGCACGGTCTGTGCGATGTATATTCATTGTAGGTGGTCAGTGCGCACAGCTGGGTGTGCACCTCCGTACTCCTTATCTCCAACATCCCAGCCCCCCTTTGTCATCAAGAAGAATTCTGTTTAATGTACGAACATAAAACCTTCCCCTTTTCACCCCTCTCCCTGATCAACGTGCAATTAAAGATTTTCATTCAAATCATTTTGGCCTCTTCTGAGACCCAGTAAAATCATCACTTGGTCTGTCTGCTGGTCTGTTCCCCAAGCTTAGTAGTAGTTGCCGACAGGCCCCTGTAAACACAGCACTCTGCCTCGAGCCTTATATGAAAGAACACATCCCTGGCATCCCTTTAGAAATGTATGCACCTCCCCCTTGGACATTGGATGCTGCAGACTTTAGCTGTTCTATCTTCTGATCAGTTGCTTGATTATACTATATTAGAGTGATCATCAGATTGCACAGCTAACTTCTGAAGAAATTCCATGGCCAACAGCGAGGAATATGCATGCCTAAATGGGTGCCGGGGATGTGTTCTTTCTGCTGAGGAACAGCAGTACAGTGACAGAGGCAACAGATCACACCCAAATATGGCAGAGAACATATATAATTGATGGCAAAGAAAACTAATAACCGTTAGAGGTGGGCCAATGATAGTATGGATCAGGAGAAAAGTGAATTGATGATGGATTGAAGTAATTCAGACAGGAAATGATGGTGGGCTCAAGATAGCTGCTACAGGATTATAAAGTAGAGATAAAATTATGTAGGGAATTGAGAGTAATTTGTTTCATAGAGGAGAAGACTTGCTACAAGTGAGAGAAAAAAAACAAAAAGGTAAGGCTGGAGTTCAGCTTTAGAGATCATTGTAATTTTAAAAGATCAATGGACTCACCTGAAAATAACTGTCACTTTTTGTAAACAAAGATCTTTCCCTTGGTTTGCGAGCTTTGTGAATTGAGCCTTATTAAGTGTTCTTGCATGGCGACCACTTATTGTTATCTCACATATATATTCTTATTATAGCCAAATTTACCACCCTAACTCCTCCCACAGATTTTACACTACATAGACAGTAATATACTGAAACGTGCGGATTGTTCCCGATTGGTGTGCTATGACTTTGTGGAACGTTTCGCTGAATGGTTCACGAAATATCCGCGTTTTTGTGCTGAAATTGGTCCCATAGGAATGAATGGTGGAATGTTCAAAACTAGAGTGGGAGCTGACAAAAGCTAAAGTGTGAGCTGAAAAATCAGGATATGATTTCTAAACTGCCACCACTCCCTCATTTTCAAGCCCACCTACACAAATCTTATATCAAAACGTTCAGCTATCCCTGCTGCCACTAAGAATGTCCACAGCTAAGCCATAGTCCTGATAGTTTTCACAATATGACCATTTGTTTGCAACTCACGCCGCCCTTCTCAAGCCACTCCACCCAGTTACTCCGCCCACTCCAGTTGTAGACTACTGGTGGAGGCAAGAACACTTCACACAATTTCCCCAAAAATTGTAGCTTTTCTAGTATGTTTATGTTGTGTTTGTCCCCAGGTGTACCACCTTCATTAATAATGCATCAAGGCCAATATCTAACACACACACTATCCAGACTCATCTGTCTGGGGCCCACGCAGGTCATCCTATATCTAATATACACTGTCCAAGCTCACTTGGCTGGGGCCCACTTAGGTCTTCCTATATCTAACACACACTGTGGACTCACCTGGCTGGGGAACTCATAGGTCACCCTATATCTAACACACACACACTGTGGACATACCTGGCTGGGGCCTGCATAGGTCACCCTATATCTAACACACACACACTGTGGACTCACCTGGCTGGGGCACTCACAGGTTTCCCTATATCTAACACACACACACACACACACTGTAGACTCAACTGGCTGGGGTCCACATAGGTCACCCTATATCTAACACGCACACTGGACTCACCTGGCTGGGGCACTCACAGGTTTCCCTATATCTAACACACACACACTGTGGACTCACCTGGCTGGGGCCCACACAGGTCATCATATATCTAACACACACAGTATGGACTCACTTGGCTGGGGTCCACATAGGTCATTTTATATTGATTACACACAGTATGGACTCACCTGGCTGGGCCCACATAGGTCATCCTATATCTAACACACACAGTATGGACTCACCTGGCCGGGGCCCACAGGTAGGTCATTCCTATATCTAACACACACAGTATGGACTCACCTGGCTGGGGCCCACATAGGTCATCCTATATCCAACACACACAGTATGGACTCACCTGGCCGGGGCCCACATAGGTCATCCTATATCTAACACACACAGTATGGACTCACCTGGCTGGGGCCCACATAGATCATCCTATATCTAACACACACAGTATGGACTCACTTGGCTGGGGCCCACATAGGTCATTTTATATCGAACACACACAGTATGGACTCACTTGGCTGGGGCCCACATAGGTCATTTTATATCTAACACACACAGTATGGACTCACTTGGCTGGGGTCCACATAGGTCACCCTATATTTAACACACACAGTATGGACTCACCTGGCTGGGGCCCACATAGGTAATTTTATATCGAACACACACACAGTATGAACTCACTTGGCTGGGGCCCACATAGGTCATTTTATATCGAAACACACACACAGTATGGACCTACCTGGCTGGGGCCCCACATAGGTCATCTCAAACTTTATTCTTATATAACGAGCGCCGTAAACAACAGTCAAACTGTTCTACCCCTCCGCACAGCGTCCCCTGGAGGGAGAGAAGGAGAAAACATCACTACACCTTCTGTGTAGAGCTGTATAACAATGCAATGACACACCAGTTTAGAGTAAAGAGAATGTAATTCCATGTCATAGGCTACAAAAGTGAGAAAAATTAGATCAGTTATGTCCGGAGCTGGGATCTGACTCAACTCTACCTTCATAAAGTATATTAGTTATATAAGTAAAACAGTACAACCTAAGCCACCAATAAGGAGTCACCCCACTGCATTGTGGGATACAGGGCATGTGTCAGAGTATATCCATAGGCATAAGATAGGACTTTCAAATCAGCTGATCGGGAGGGAAGTGTTCTCACCGCGCACAGCCGAGAACCGTCCCTCTTCCAGGCCAACGCGGTGATGCTGTACAGGTTGGGGATGTCCTTAGGTTTGGCCTCTTCCCATAATCCTCTGCGGGGGCTCCAGTTCAGGACTCGTAGCCTGGGGAGAAGAGTAATCGGTAACTGTCGGGACATTATACATGCTGACCATAACATCACCAGCTTCCTACCTATCATGGCTGCCGACCACCACGGACTGACCGCTGGGACTGGCGACAGCCACGGTCAGCTCTTTTTCTGTAGGGTCCCGGCTGTAGTCAAAGGTCTGAATGATCTTCCCTTCTTTTTCGTAGGCCACCAGCTTCTTATCACATCCTCCTGCCACAATGCTGTTGGATCCCCATGCCAGAGCGTAAGGTGGGCACGGGTGGGTGACCAGTTTCCCCTGGAACACAACCAAAAACATACTAAAAACCCAGGAGATGGACAAGTTGCAGAAATCTGTAACAATCACTTACTGGAGATCAGTCCTGTATGTGTTCGGTATCTACAGGTCATATCATCCAGGAAAGGTCAGGGTGGGCAAAGTCCCACCGCAGACCCCACCAACCATCCTTACCTGCTGCATGCTGCCTAAGTCAGTACTACTCACTTACTGGAGATCAGTCCTGTATGTGTTCAGTATCCACAGGTCATATCATCCACGAAAAGTCAGGGTGGGCAAAGTTCCACCGCAGACCCCCCAACCATCCTTACCTATTGCATGCTGCCTAAGTCGGTACCACTCACTCACTGGAGATCAGTCCTGTTTGTGTTCAGTATCCACAGGTCATATCATCCAGGAAAGGTCAGGGTGGGCAAAGTCCCACCGCAGACCCCACTAACCATCCTTACCTGCTGCATGCTGCCTAAGTCTCTACCACTCACTTACTGATCAGTCCTGTATGTGTTCGGTTTCAACAGGTCATATCATCCAGGAAAGGTCAGGGTAGGCAAAGTCCACCATTGCAGACCCCACCAACCATCCTTACCTGCTGCCTAAGTCTCTGCCACTCACTCACTGGAGATCAGTCCTCTTTGTGTTCAGTATCCACAGGTCATATCATCAAGGAAAGGTCAGGGTGGGCAAAGTCCCACCGCAGACCCCACTAACCATCCTACCTGCTGCATGCTGCCTAAGTCTCTACCACTCACTTACTGATCAGTCCTGTATGTGTTCGGTTTCAACAGGTCATATCATCCAGGAAAGGTCACGGTGGGCAAAGTTCCACCGCAGACCCCCCAACCATCCTTACCTGCTGCATGCTGCCTAAGTCTCGGTACCACTCACTTAGTGGAGATCAGTCCTGTATGTGTTCAGTATCCACAGGTCATATCATCCGGAAAGGTCAGGGTGGGCAAAGTCCCACCGCAGACCCCACCAACCATCCTTACCTGCTGCATGCTGCCTAGTCTCTGCCACTCACTTACTGGAGATCAGTCCTGTATGTGTTCGGTATCCACAGGTCAAATCATCCAGGAAAGATCAAGGTGGGTAAAGCCCCACTGCAGACCCCACCAACCATCCTTACCTGCTGCATGCTGCCTACCCAATGTAAACAGTGCACCAGCCATAGGCAGGCAGTCACAAGCCAGTACAGCTTTCTACTGTCGGCTGATGTTATTGAAAGTAGAGATCCAGCAAGTGAGCTTCAAAATACACAAACTCTTCAAAGAAACTCCCAAGCTTCTCCCCTGCACTCAAGGGGTCTGAGGTCCACTGACAACATCAAGACCAATGTTGAGCTCATAGCCATGCACTGGCCATGAGGATGTTGAGGGCCAGTCCACTACCAGCATGGAGAGCAGCAGAGGACTGAGTAAGTTAAAGTGCTTTTCCAGTCTAAAGTCTCCTCTTAGCTCCCCGGTCGGTGCTCCTGGCTCCTCCTCTTCCTCGAGTGCCCCCATAAGAAGCCTCTGCCCACGAGGGCACTTGTGCAGGTTCGAATCTGAGCTGCCCTGTCTGAATCTATAGTCACAGACAGCGTGGCTACCGTCCCCCACCCCACTCCCTCGTTACAGAACTTGATTGACAGCAGTGGGAGCCAATAAACCCTTGAGGCTTTAGCACCACTTCAATGATGGGGTTTTCATCTACTTTAAACCTTTTCATATTCTTCTGTGGTCGTATACTGTGCTGTGTTTTACTGGTTGTTATCTGATGCAAGCAATAATCATCAGGAATGAATGTGAAAACTCACCTGAGACTCCCCAGATCCCTCATCATCGAAGAAGTAGCGAACAATTGTGCCGTCTGCTTGTCCGGACAGTATTCCCTTCCCTGAAACACTGCAGCCCAAGAAGAGAGGCCCCCAGAGAGAAGACAAGGTTACAGCACTGATATTTCAGAAGCACAGCCTCTAGTATTTTCACAGCTATTATCAATGCAATTAATATTATCAGCCATCTCTAACCATCCAGTTTCGGTGGTCTCCAATCTACGGCCCTGGGCAGGATGTGACCCTTTGTTTGCCTCTATCTGGCCTTTGAGGCATTATTCCTGTCACTGACACCAACCTGGGGCAGAATTCCTGCCACTGATACCAACAATAGGGTATAATTCCTGCCACTGACAACAGTGGGACAGAAATTCCTGCCACTGACACCAACAATGGGACATAGATCCTTCAACTGACACCAAAAATGGGGCACAATTCCTACTATTCCACCCACTGACACCAACAATGGGGCACAATTCCTGCCACTGACACCACTGAAAAATGGGGCATAATTCCCACCACTGACACCAACAATAGGACATAGCTCCTCCCACTAACCCCAACAATGGGGCACAATTCCCACCCTGCCACTGACACCAACAATGGGGCACAATTCCTGCCACTGACACCAACAATGGGGCACAATTCCTGCCACTGACACCAACAATGGGGCACAATTCCTGCCACTGACACCAACAATGGGGCACAATTCCTGCCACTGACACCAACAATGGGGCACAATTCCTGCCACTGACACCAACAATGGGGCATAATTCCCACCACTGACACCAACAATGGGACATAGCTCCTTCAACTGACAACAAAAATAGGGCACTATTCCACCCACTGACACCAACAATGGGGCACAATTCCTGCCACTGACACTAACAATGGGGCATAATTCCCACCACTGACACCAACAATGGGACATAGCTCCTTCAACTGACACCAACAATGGGCACACAATTCCTGCCACTACAGTGGGGATCGAAAGTTTGGGCACCCCAGCTAAAAATTTGTATTAATGTGCATAAAGAAGCCAAGGAAAGATGGAAAAAATCTCCAAAAGGCATCAAATTACAGATTAGACATTCTTATAATATGTCAACAAAAGTTAGATTTTATTTCCATCATTTACACTTTCAAAATAACAGAAAACAAAAAAATGGCGTCTGCAAAAGTTTGGGCACCCTGCAGAGTTAATATCTTGTACTGCCCCTTGGCAAGTATCACAGCTTGTAAACGCTTTTTGTAGCCAGCCAAGAGTCTTTCAGTTCTTGTTTGAGGTATCTTTGCCCATTCTTCCTTACAAAAGTCTTCCAGTTCTTTGAGATTTCTGGGCTGTCTGTCACGCACTGCTCTTTTAAGGTCTATCCATAGATTTTCAATTATGTTGAGGTCAGGAGATTGTGAAGGCCATGGCAAAACCTTCAGTTTACGCCTCTTGATGTAATCCCCCGTGGATTTCGAGGTGTATTTAGGATCATTATCCATTTGTAGAAGCCATCCTCTCTTTAACTTCAGCTTTTTCACAGATGGCATCAAGTTACCATCCAAAATTTGCTGAAATTTTATTGAATCCATTGTTCCTTCTACTCGTGAGATGTTTTCCCTGTGCCACTGGCTGCAACACAACCCCCAAAGCATGATTGATCCAACCCCATGCTTAACAGTTGGACAGACGATCTTTTCATTAAATTCTGTGCCCCTTCTTCTCCAAACGTATCTTTGCTCATTCCGGCCAAAAAGTTCAATTTTAACCTCATCGGTCCACAGAACTTGTTTCCAAAATGCATCAGGCTTGTCTATATGTTTCATTTGCAAAGTTCAAAACGATGATTTTTGTGGTGAGGACGTAGAAGAGGTTTTCTTCTGATGACTCTTCCATGAAGACCATATTTGTACAAGTATCTCTTTATAGTGGAATAGTGTACCACAACTCCAGTGTCTGCCAGATCTTTCTGGAGGATCGTGCAGTCAAACGTGGGTTTTTTTTGAATTGTTTTTCTCACAATCCTGCGAGCTGTTCTGTCTGATATATTTTTCTTGGTCTTCCAGATCTTGCTTTAACTTCCACTGTTCCTGATGACTGCCATTTCTTAATTACATTCCGAACAGAGGATATTGACATCTGAAAACACTTTGCTATCTTCTTATAGCCTTCTCCAGCTTTGTGAGCGTCAACTATTTTCAGTTTCAGTTTTCTAGACAACTGCTTAGAAGAACCCATGGTGCTGATTGTTGGGGCAAGGTCAGATGAGTCTGGGCATTTAAAACCTTTGAGATTGACATCACCTGGTCTTCCCAGACGATGATTGAGAACAATCCATGACACTGGCAGGTCTCAGCTTTGCAAAGGGGGCAGTGCATGCTATAAATTCTGCAGGGTGCCCAAACTTTTGCAGATGCCATTTTTTTGTTTTCTGTTATTTTGAAAGTGTAAATGATGGAAATAAAATCTAACTTTTGTTGACATATTATAAGAATGTCTAATCTGTAATTTGATGCCTTTTGGAGATTTTTCCATCTTTCCTTGGCTTCTTTATGCACATTAATACAAATTTTTAGCTGGGGTGCCCAAACGGTCGATCCCCACTGTAACACCAACAATGGTGCATAATCCCCACCACTGACACTAACAATGGGACATAACTCCTTCCACTGGCACCAAAAATGGGGCAGTATTCCTCCCAAATGACACCAACAATGGGGCATAATTCCTGCTACTGACACCAACAATGGGGCATAATTCCTGCCACCGACAAAGAAAAATAGGGCACTATTCCTCCCACTGACACCAACTATTTCTCCCTCTATTACCGAAGATCAGGCATTGTTTACACCCACTGGGCAAAGTCCAGCCCCTAAAGTCTAAAGGACAGTAAACTCTCCCTTTCTTTAGAAGATTCGGAGACCCTGTCCTGTGTTATTACACACGGTAAGGAGAACACAGTCCATCCTGAGGAGGAATCCACTCACTTGGAGGTCAGGGAGACGACGTAGGGACTCCGTGTTGTATATGGTGGTAGACTTGTTGGTTTTGGTGTTTTGCCATTCGCCACCTGGAGAGCAGAGAAAACATCTATAAACACAGGATCTTATACTCTATTACACGAGAAGAGTAAGGATAAACATCCGGTCAGCTTGGGCAGCACAGAGGCTTAGGCCCCTTTTCCATTCCAATCTGCAGGGGACCAGCTCATAGATCCTCGCCACTGGACACTGATTGGCTGGTTCGAGAAGAAGTGGGCGGATGACACATCCAAGAGACATAAATAACTGGACACAGACAGAGCCGGATCTGCTCTAAAAAAAAATTAATGAGCAGCCTGGAGTAAACCGCCTCTGCTGTCTATTTACACCCCACTATCCCCCGATCTGCCTAAACTAAAGAGGATGGTGTGACGGAACGATCCTGTCTACCTGCAATCGTCGGACTCCGATTGGGTGACTCCATCAGGAGAGCCGCTTCCTCGCCACTGGGACCAGGACCAAGGGGTAGGCTTGTATTGTGGTTCGTTGTTCATTCTGAATTGAAATTTTGACAAAATTTCTTCAGGTCATATGGAGAATCTGGATGTATACCGAATTTTCTTTTTTCCTAGTGAACTGGAACATTTAAACAGGAAAATCCGCTCTAACGGTCAAATCCACAACAAAACATAAAAGCCTGAATCTTTTAGCCCAAAGTAACGAATTATCCAATCGAGTGTTCAAAAAAAAACTGTATTTACAAAATGTAAAATATTTTGTTGAATAAAATCAAATTTCATCATAAATTTAGGGCCAAAATGTATTATGCTCCATAGCAAAAACGTCTTTTTTTTCATACTATAGAAAAATGGCGGCGCAGCATCACGAATTATGGCGGGACTGCGCGGCAGACATTCTGACAATACTGGGGACGGGGGGGCACTAACTCAAATTATGAACTTGGTGTACTAGAACAATCCCCAGTGACACCAATACAGTGCTAAAAAAAGCATTTGGTTTGACACTGTACTAATGGGACTGGGGAGGAAGGGGTTAACATTTGGGAGGGCAATCAAAGGGGTATTTTTAACTGTGTGATGCCTTATGACGTGTTTTACTAGGGGGGCAGGGGGTGTGTGCACTGCACTGTTCACAAGCACACTGATCAGGAGGATGGCTGTGTGCAGCAATCCCGAGCAGTGAGCCCAAACTGACAGGGAGGAGGGCTGCATTGTAAAGGAAAGTGTTTGGCAGCCCTCCTCCCTGATGTGGTGATCACCAGTAAATCACTGGGTTCCGGTGGATAATCACCGGCTGGGACCCGGTGAATTCGACACCTACGTAGGGGCCACGATCGGTTCAGTGGCGCCAAACGTCCTCGTATGGCTACCTGGAAATGCAGGCTACACATATATATACTGCCTAGTGATCCTGCGAGCGCATCCTCAACAGGGGTCCGCACTGCAGCTCTTATTGATTGTGTAAAAGTATTGTGGGCAACTCGCATACCCTAAATCTATTCGGTTAAAATTAAACAGTTTGTTTTTTTTGTCCAACAGGTATAGCATTAAAAAAATTTTTGTCATAAATTTAGGCCAAAAATGTATTCTGCTCCATGTCTTTACCAAAAAATAAAATCCTTTACAATTCGTGTAAATTACATTTGGTTTACATGAAAGTTATAGCATCTACAAATGGCGGTATATATATAGTGGGATTTATTTTTTGAGCTAAACTTTTTTGATATGTCATACTAGTAATGGCAGCGATCAGCGACTAGAGGCGATTAAGCGGGAATGGCATGACTCTGACAGCATAGCAGTCTGATACGGGGGGGGGGGCTAACTGTCACTTGACAATCCCACTAGTAACGCCAATACAGTGATCAATAAAAAGCACTGATTTTCCACTGTACTAAACTTTGGCACTGGGGCAGAAAAACCTTGGGGTTAATATCTGGAGTGATCAAAGGGTTAGACTGTGTAAAACATGCTGTGCTTTACAGTGTCAGCAGCATATTGCTCTGCATAAAGCAAGTGAGTGCTGGTGCTGACAGGGGGGAGATCAGACTGTATTAGTGATACAATACAGTTTTGTCACCATTCCAAGAGTGCACCACAATTGTAAGGTTTGACACTTGTGTATCAAGGTACTCAGGCTACGCACAAACCTCATCTTTGGCTTTTAAATGTTTTACCATAATATTTGCCACTTGTTGCCCTACTGACCAATTAAACTTTAGTGTATTTTTTACTGAATCCTTTTGCTAAACTGCTGCTTATTAACACATCGTATAACACAAAAAAAAGGAACTACCTTGCTCGGACTTTATTCCTCTATGTGTCGCTGGACAATAGACTAGACCAACAACCGCTTTCCCAGTAAAAAACATCCATACTGCTTGGGGGGTAGCACGTGTTTCATACAATCTTCACAGCCTGTGCAGAAAACGGCTGTGGTCTAAGTGCAGCGCACACAAGGATGACATAGCATTGGATAGGACAGTGTGCCTCAGGGGCGGACTGACAACTCATGGAGGGTCCCTGGGCAATAGGGGATCATGGGGCCTGCCTGTGTCCTTTGCTCAAACTCAAAAAAAGGCCTATGAAAAAGGTATCCCCAGGGACATCTCATGGGGCCCTCCTACTGACCCCGGCCCTCGGGCGGTGGCCCGAGATTCCAAATGGTCAGTCCGCCCCCTGGTGTGCCTTATTCCTCTCTGTGTAGGAACTTGATGGCTGCATAATGTATACATAATAATGGTTTGTGAGAGGTGAGCGTACCTTCCCTTCTGCCAGTCCGAAGACGATGAACGTTCTCTCAGAGGCCAGAGGAGGCAGGTGACCGCGCTCTGCAGCGTGAGAACGGGGAGAGAAGGAGTACAGATTGATGATAAGAGCAGAAAGAATACATCATTATATACAGATGTTTTATCATCATCTAAAATATAATACTATTATATATACGTTATAGTATATATATATGAATATATATATTATATACTATATATGTAGCTATGGGTCGATATTAAGCCTTTGTACGAGTACTTGTAGGCGTGCAAATGCTCCAATACCTGAAACTGATACCTTTGCAAAGCGAATTTGAGCACATCCAAATTTAATGCTCAAACTCGCAGAACCACAAAGGTTTTGGTAATCGGTGTTGGCAAGTACGTTTGAGGCATTGTATCCCGCTGTGCCAAAAAGAGGCACTTCAGGTGCAACCCTAACATTACAATTTTATATATATATGCAACCCTAATACACACACACATTATACAGTATATATATATATAATACATATATAGAATATATACTATAATAAATATTACACATACACACACATTATACTGTATATGTACCACACACACACACACATATATATATATATACACACACAAACACACAGTGAGGAACAGAAGTATTTGAACACGATTTTGCAAGTTCTCCCCCACTTAGAAATCATGGAGGGGTCTGACATTCACATTGTAGGTGCATTCCCACTCTGAGAGACAGAATTAAAAAAAACAATTCAGGAAATCCCATTGTAATGATTTGTAAAGAAAATGTATTTGTCTCGCACGGGCGTCTGAACAGAAGTATTTGAACACCTGAGAAGATCAGTGTTAATATTTGGTACAGAAGCCTTTGTTTGCAATTCCAGAGGGTCAGACGTTTCTGTAGTTTCCTGACCAGGTGTGCACTGCAACAGGGATTTTGGCCCACTCCTCCACACAGATCTCTAGATCTGTCAGGTTTTGGGGGCTGTCGCTGAGCAACACGGGAGTTTTTCAACTCCCTCCAAAGATGTTTCTATTGGATTTAGGTCTGGAGACTGGCTAGGCACTCTAGGACCTTGAAATGCTTCTTACGGAGTCCCACTTTCTTCGTTGCCCGGGGCGGTATGTTTGGGATCATTGTCATGTTGGAAGACCCAGCCACGTTTCATCTTCAATGCCCTTCTGAGGGAAGGAGGTTTTGCACTCAAAATCTCACGATACATAGGCCCCATTCATTCTGTCCTGTACATGGATCAGTCGTCCTGGTCCCTTTGTGGAGAAACAGCCCCAAAGCATGGATGTTGCCACCCCCATGCTGCACAGTAGGTATGGTGTTCTTTGGATGCAACTCAACATTCTCTCTCTTCCAAACACGAGTTGTGTTTCTACCAAACAGTTCTATTTTGGTTTCATCTGACCATATGACATTCTCCCAATCCTCTTCTGGATCATCCCAAATGCTCTCTAGCAAACTTCAGATGGGCCCGGACATGTACTGGCTTAAGCAGGGGGACACGTCTGGCACTGCAGGATCTGAGTCCCTGGCGGCGTAGTGTGTTACTGATGGTAGCCTTTGTTACGTTGGTCCCAGCTCTCTGCAGGTCATTCACTAGGTCCCCCGTGTGGTCCTGGGATTTTTGCTCACCGTTCTTGTGATCATTTTGACCCCACTGGGTGAGATCTTGCGTGGAGCCCCAGATCGAGGGAGATTATCAGTGGTCTTGTATGTCTTCCATTTTCTAATTATTGCTCCCACAGTTGATTTGTTCACACCAAGCTGCTTGCCTATTGCAGATTCAGTCTACCCAGCATGGTGCAGGTCTACAATTTTGTTTCTGGTGTCCTTCGACAGCTCTTTGATCTTCACCATAGTGGAGTTTGGAGTGTGACTGTTTGAGGTTGTGGACAGGTGTCTTTTATACTGATAACAAGTTCAAACAGGTGCCATTGATACAGGTAATGAGTGCAGGACAGAGGAGCCTCTTAAAGAAGAAGGTACAGGTCTGTGAGAGCCAGAAATCTTGCTTGTTTGTAGGTGACCAAATACTTATTTTCCACCATAATTTGTAAATAAATTCTTTCCAAATCAGCCATGTGATTGTCTGGATTTGTTTTTCCTCGTTTTGTCTCTCATAGTTGAGGTCTACCTATGATGCCAATTACAGGCCTCTCTCATATTTTTAAGTGGGAGAACTTGCACAATTGGCGGCTGACTAAATACTTTTTTGCCCCACTGTAGAGCCAAAAATGTTAGAATTGTGTTGATGTCCCAATATTTATGGACCTGACTGTATGTGTGTGTATAATATATATATATATATATATATATATATATATATATATTTTTTTTTATTACACACACATATTATATATATATATATTATATATACTGTGTGTGTGTATATATATATATATATTATATATATATATATATATATATATATATACACACACACTCACACACACACACACACCACACACACACACACACATAATATATATACCACACACACACACACACACAGTATACACAAAAATTAGATATTATAATATACTATATTTCTATATAAAATATAATATAGATTTAGAATTAAAAGGAGAGATGTGAGAGGAAAGGGTGAGTACATAAACTGGTGAGCAGAGTGCCAATACATGTGGTATATGCAGTAATACAGACCCACCTGACTATTATTATTATATAGGATTTATATAGCGCCAAGAGTTAATGCAGCGCTTTACAATACAGCATTCATTATAAATATTATACTGTTCAGTAAGTGCACCACATGCCAAGAAGGGTCTTAAAATAAAATCGTATTCAAAATTTTCTTGTAAAAGCATTCTTGGTATGTGGCGTGCTTCCTCTATATATTATCTAATGATTGTACCAGCAGGGTGGTACCCTGTGTAGGTGTTGCCCCCTAATAATCTGTTATTGCTGGCTGTACAATAGAGAAGATCATAGCGGTCTGCAGACCTTTGTTGCTAATCTGACTACAGCCCCCAAAAGGTAAAGGGGGATCTGCATGTGACATACTAAGAATAGACAGACTACTTTTCTTTACTCCAGAGAGGCCGATTGTGACCTAGATATAAACACACGTCTCCAACTGGTGAATGAAACGGTCACAGTGATGTGAAGAACAGACGGTCACTATAAAATATGGAGGAGACGGTCACAGTGATGTGAAGAAAACAGACTGTCACTATAAAATACGGAGGAGACGGTCACAGTGATGTGAAGAACAGACGGTCACTATAAAATATGGGAGGAGACGGTCACAGTGATGTGAAGAACAGACTGTCACTATAAAATACGGAGGAGACGGTCACAGTGATGTGAAGAACAGACTGTCACTATAAAATACGGGAGGAGACGGTCACAGTGATGTGAAGAACAGACGGTCGCTATAAATAAAATACGGAGGAGACGGTCACAGTGATGTGAAGAACAGGGGACTGTCACTATAAAATATGGAGGAGACGGTCACAGTGATGTGAAGAACAGACTGTCGCTATAAAATACGGAGGAGACGGTCACAGTGATGTGAAGAACAGACTGTCGCTATAAAATATGGAGGAGACGGTCACAGTGATGTGAAGAACAGACGGTCGCTATAAAATATGGAGGAGACGGTCACAGTGATGTGAAGAACAGACGGTCACTATAAAATATGGAGGAGACGGTCACAGTGATGTGAAGAACAGACTGTCGCTATAAAATATGGAGGAGACGGTCACAGTGATGTGAAGAACAGACGGTCACTATAAAATACGGAGGAGACGGTCACAGTGATGTGAAGAACAGACTGTCCCTATAAAATATGGAGGAGACGGTCACAGTGATGTGAAGAACAGACTGTCGCTATAAAAAATACGGAGGAGATGGTCACAGTGATGTGAAGAACAGACTGTCACTATAAAATATGGAGGAGACGGTCACAGTGATGTGAAGAACAGACTGTCGCTATAAAATATGGAGGAGACGGTCACAGTGATGTGAAGAACAGACGGTCACTATAAAATATGGAGGAGACGGTCACAGTGATGTGAAGAACAGACGGTCACTATAAAATATGGAGGAGACGGTCCACAGTGATGTGAAAGAACAGACGGTCACTATAAAATATGGAGGAGACGGTCACAGTGATGTGAAGAACAGACGGTCACTATAAAATATGGAGGAGACGGTCACAGTGATGTGAAGAACAGACGGTCACTATAAAATATGGAGGAGACGGTCACAGTGATGTGAAGAACAGACTGTCGCTATAAAAATATGGAGGAGACGGTCACAGTGATGTGAAGAACAGACTGTCGCTATAAAATATGGAGGGAGACGGTCACAGTGATGTGAAGAACAGACTGTCGCTATAAAATATGGAGGAGACGGTCACAGTGATGTGAAGAACAGACTGTCGCTATAAAATATGGAGGAGACGGTCACAGTGATGTGAAGAACAGACTGTCACTATAAAATACGGAGGAGACGGTCCACAGTGATGTGAAGAACAGACTGTCGCTATAAAATATGGAGGAGACGGTCACAGTGATGTGAAGAACAGACTGTCGCTATAAAATACGGAGGAGACGGTCACAGTGATGTGAAGAACAGACGGTCACTATAAAATATGGAGGAGACGGTCAAAGCAGCTTTATAAAGGGGTAAAACTGTCCTACACATAGGATTGAGGAGACCTCCAGGTCATTTATTTACAGGAGCTGAACAATATTATAGAAAAACACCAGGTAAAAGAACAAAAATTGTCACCCAATATTTTATTTTTTTTTTTTTTTCTAGAATCTTTGCGTATAGCTTAGTGTCTATGTTCAGAGTGATATCGGTCTATAGCTAGAGCACTGAGAAACATCTTTCCCCTCCTTTTGTATCAACACCACATGGGCCTGTAAAGATTCCGTCTCATCTCCATCTCTCCTCCCAGGGCATTCATATATTTCTTCAATTTAGGTATTAACAAGTCACTGTATTTTTTATAGTACTTCACTGTATAACCATCTGGGCCTGGGCTTTTCCCCGTCATGGTACTTTTTAATGCTCTTATTATTTCCTCCTGCGTGATTTCCAAATCAAGTAAATTCAGTTGATCTTCACTCAAAACTTCGGTAGTCCTGCGTTTTTTAAATATTCCCATCTTTTCTCTCTTCTCTCATTCCCCCGCTTATATTTTACTGGATCTTGGGAGGCGATATTATACAGCTTACTATAGTATTCTCTAAACACCTTAATGATCTCTTTAGTAGAATAAACCATTTCCCCCTTGGGGTTTTTTTATTTCTCTATATAGTTCCTATTTTTCTTTTCCCTCAAGGCTCTCATTAAATATTTTCCTGGTTTGTCTCCCCACCTATATCTCTCACTTGCCACTTTGTTGAAAACTCTTCTCTTCTCCTCCTCCATCAGTAGCTCTAGTTCTTCTTTCTTTTTTTATTACCTTCTGTCTTATCTCTTCTGATCTTTTACTTTTATGTATCTGCTCCAAGTCAAATATTTATTTTAGCAACCCAGTAGGTTTTTCTCTTCTTTCCCTTTTCTTTTTTGCCCCGACCGCAATCAATATACCCCTTATATAGGCCTTATGGGACTCCCATACCGTAGCCACCGACACCTCCCCTGTCTCATTCTCTTGAAAAAATCTTTCAATCTCTTCTCTAATTTTCTGATCCACCTCCTGATCCAGGAGAAGAGCCTCATTCAACTTCCACAACCTATCCCACCTGTCGATCGTCTTCCCCACCTCACTTTCAGGGTAACAGGGGCATGATCTGAAAGGGACATATTGTCACCCAATATGATGTTGGACCGCCTTAGGCATCCAAGACAGCCTGAATTTTCCTGGGAATTGAAAAAATAGAAGTCTTGGATGATGGATAAATGGAATCCGATAGCACTCTTCATGCAAAAATCATTCCAGTTCTCGCGGAGATGCCAAAGGGATAAAAAAGAGCCTGAACATTGCTCTCCAACATTGACCATAGTGGCTCTATAATATTAAGGTCTGGCGAAGGGACAGCGGCACACCCCGGGGAAGGTGCAAGACTTTGCATGCTCACCAAACCACAGTTTGATGACCCTAGCTGTGTGAATCGGAGTATTATCATCTTGGTAAATGGCGCTGTCTTCGGGAAACAATGTCTGTACCATGGGGTGCACATTTAGTACATAGTTGAGGGCAGTGACTCTACCTTTCAAGGTGATGATGGGGCCTGCAGAATACCAAGATATGGCTGCCCAAACCATGATTGTGCTGACACCATGCTTTACCATTGGCACAAAACAGTCCTGGTGGTGAGCTCGGGACATTGTTGCAAAACACATAAACATGTTCTTTTTTTTTTAGGTGGTTGGGAACAGTGTGAAGCTCGATCACACCATATTATAGTCTTCCATTGATGGATCGATTTATGGGTGTTGCACCACTCATCTCTCTTCTGAGCATTATTATCGGTCACTAGTGGTTTGGAAATTTCAGCTTGCTGTGAATGTTTTGCTTATGGAGTTCCCTCCACACGGAACACGGGCTTTGGAAGACTGAGATTGAGCTCTGCAGTCACTTTTGCAGAAGTTGTTTTCCTATTCAGGATCACAATCATGCACAATGTCCTTTTGTCTCTTTCAGTCCACCGCACTTATGTTTATCAGACGACATTTTCCCAGAAGGTATATATGCCTCCATATCCTTTGAGACTCTACCTCGCAACACGGCAAAATAAACTGGCAACTTCAGTCCCAGAGGCGGCAGCTAAGCGGCACCAACCCCTCTTTGCAGCTCAGCAAGCTCTGACATGACGTATATTACCAGCAGCTCACAAGGTGAATGACAAAAGTGAGGCTTCCCAGCTGTTAGCTAGGGGTGTCTCATCACACAGCGGACACAAAAGAATATTACATCACTTCCGCTTTCACCGCCAAACAGGTCATCGCTTTCACACCTGCAAATCATGTAGTGTTTCCATATTTTTTGTATGTCCCCTCCTCACTGCTTCCAGAGACTGGAAAAGGACAACACATGAGAAGGCAACTCCCATGTGCTTTCACATTCCGTGTCCCTTACCTTGTTAATGGAAACCAATATGGTACCTTCATTTCAGATCTGGACACCTGACCTCTCCCCTTTCTTTCCAGCTCTTCAGCATTTACAAGCCAAGGGACCCTCACTAGCGTATCTGGGATCTGTGAACCCCCCTAAGGGTGATGGCCTAGCTTGAGGCCTTATCCTAAGCCCCCCCACCCATTTGCCTACATTTTCCCCTAAATTCTTCCAAAGCCTTCCACGCACCAACAGTTAAAAAAAACAAAGTATGGGATTATAAAACATGTATGGAAACTCTGAGAGGCTGTGGATGGGCCTGGGTGTCACTGCAGAGGATGAGGGTTCAGGAAAGGGAAAGGGGACTTTTTCAGCAGACTTGGTGGACCTGTAAGAGATGGGAGTTTATGGAGGGAGCCAGAGGGGCTGTGTCTCTGGAGGGGGTCTCTCTAGGAGACTGGAGACTGTGCAGGGGCTTTCAGTGCCAGGGCTCGAGCTCCCTCCACCTCTGGCACTGTGACAAACCACCCCACCCTTTCCTCTCCAGTATACGAAGGGGTGTCAATTTATGACAGAGTGTTAGGGACACAGGTACACTTACCGTCTGAATGAATTTTATTGCAGATGACTTTTTTATCTCCCCTACAAACAAGAGACAAGACAATGTATATGACTTGCATGCAGAAATGAATGTTGTGTAAACAAGCAGAGTGTCACGGTGACTGGAATATGTCCCACTGGACCCTTATTAATGAGCTTTAGTACCAACGATAAGGGGGTATAGGCAATACTCCCATACCGGGCCCCATCACGTCTCCAAGGGAGCCCTTCTATTCACTCTCCCACAAGTGCAACATGACCGCCTGTCATGTGAGCTGTCCTGTTTGAGGGATGGTGGGCGGTGGGCATGCAACTAGTGCAGTGGCTCCGATGGGTCTGGCCAAGTGTGCAGAGAAATCCACGGTATAGAGAGTAAGGAGGAGCAGCAGCACATGACCACCATATTGTGTGTGAGCTACTTGAAGCTGGCTACCATTTGCACAGTGATGGAGGTTGCTAGCGATGTCACCCATGAAGCAGTGGTACTGCCAGTACCCTACAATAAAGGGGTATAGGCAGTACACCTGTACTGGGCCCCAGGGGAAGCGCTGTCAGGCAGGCTGTTTGGAAGCCCAAAATGTTACTAACAGTAGCTTAACCAAGAGTGACACGTCAACTTCCACTGAGCCAGTGTCTGCTGATGGACCTTTCTGGCAGATGTATAGGTCTCTTATGGAATAAGGATATGTCCAGGTATTACCCAAATTTACCCCCAAACCTCCCTCACCCCCTGTAGCTCATGTACTACCGTATTTTTTCTTTTACCTTGGCCCTGTAAAAAGAAACAGATTTTAGACAACACCAGGTTGGTGAGAGGGTCAGAGTGGGATGAGGATAGGAGGGGAGAGAGAAAGAGAGGGGTGGGGAAGGAAAGGAGGGGAGAGGGACAAAGAGGGATGGGGATATGAGGGGGAGAGGACGGGGATAGGACAGAGAGGGATGGAGATAGGGACAGAGAGGGCGGGGATAGGGACAGAGAGGGATGGGGATAGGGACAGAGAGGGGGCGGGGATAGGGACAGAGAGGGGCGGGGGATAGGGACAGAGAGGGGCGGGGATAGGGACAGAGAGGGGCGGGGATAGGGAGCAGAGAAGGATGGGGATAGGAGGGAAGAGGGCACGGGGATAGGGACAGAGAAGGATGGGGATAGGAGGGGAGAGGCATGGGGATAGGGACAGAGAAGGATGGGGATAGGAGGGGGAGAGGCATGGGGGATAGGGACAGAGAAGGATGGGGGGATAGGAGGGGAGAGGCATGGGGATAGGGACAGAGAAGGATGGGGATAGGAGGGGAGAGGCATGGGGATAGGGACAGAGAAAGATGGGATAGGAGGGGAGAGGCATTGGGGATAGGGACAGAGAGGGATGGGGATAGGAGGGAGAGGCATGTGGATAGGGACAGAGAGGGATGGGGGATAGGAGGGAGAGGGACAGAGAAGGATGGGGATAGGAGGGGAGAGGGACAGAAAGGGATGGGGATAGGAGGGCAAGAGGGGACAGAGAGGGATGGGGATAGGGAGGGCAAGAGCGACAGAGAGGGATGGGGATAGGAGGGCAAGAGGGACAGAGCGAGATGGGGGATAAGAGAAGGAGAGATTCAGAACAGGAGATAGGAGTGAGGGACAGAGACGAAGTGGGGATAGGAGGGGAGAGGTTCAGAGAGGGATGGGGATAGGGGGAAGAGGGGATGGGGATAGGATTTGGAGGGGAGAGGAGATGGGGATTAGTGAAGGAGAGAGGGACAGAGAAGGATGGGGATAGGAGGGGAGAGGGACAGAAAGGAGATGGGGATAGGAGGGAGAGGGACAGAAAAGGGATGGGGATAGGAGGGGAGAGGGACAAAAAGGGATGGGGATAGGAGGGCAGAGGTACAAGCGAGATAGGGATAGGAGGCAGAGGTACAGAGCGAGATGGGATAGGAGGGCAGAGGGGACAGAGCGAGATGGGGGATAGGAGGGCAGAGGGACAGAGCGAGATGGGGATAGGAGGGCAGAGGGACAGAGCGAGATGGGGATAGGAGGGCAGAGGGACAGAGCGAGATGGGGATAGGAGGCAGAGGGACAGAGCGAGATGGGGATAGGAGGGCAGAGGGACAGAGCGAGATGGGGATAGGAGGGCAGAGGGACAGAGCGAGATGGGGATAGGAGGGCAGAGGGACAGAGCGAGATGGGGATAGGAGGCAGAGGGACAGAGCGAGATGGGGATAGGAGGGCAGAGGGACAGAGCGAGATGGGGATAGGAGGGCAGAGGGACAGAGCGAGATGGGGATAGGAGGGCAGAGGACAGAGCGAGATGGGGATAGGAGGGCAGAGTGGACAGAGCGTGAGATGGGGATAGGAGGGCAGAGGGACAGAGCGAGATGGGATAGGAGGGCAAGGGACAGAGGGGAGCGAGATGGGGATAGGAGAAGAGAGATTCAGAACAGGATAGGGATAGGGATGGGAGGGGTGAGGGACATAGAGAAGTGAGGATAGGACTGGAGAGTTTCAGAGAGGGATGAGGGACAGAGAGGAGTGGAGGTAGGAAAAAGAAGGGCAGTTATAAGTGGGAGAGGGACAGACAAGGGCAGGGACTAGAAGGGAGAGGATAGCGAGAGGTGAGGATATCAATAGAGAGGGACAGGGAGGGGTGGGGATAGGAGATGGACAGAGAGAGGGCAGAGATAGGGATAGTAGAGCAGAAATAGGAGAGGAGAAGGACAAAGAAGTGAGGGAATGAGAGAGGAGATGGATAGAGAGGGCCGCCGATATAGTGACAGAGAGGTGACAAGAAAGGTAGAGTAGAGGGTCAGAGATGGGCAGGGATAGGAAGGGAGAGGGGTGAGGAAGAGAGTGCGGGAGAGTAGGAGGGGACAGACACAGAGAGGAGTGGGGATAGGAGGGAGAGAAAAAAGAAAGTGGGAGAGAGGGGGCAAGAGATGAGGATACAAGGGGGAAAGGGACAGAGACGGGCAGGGATGGGAAAGGAGAGGTACAGAGAAGGGTGACTATACACAGGGAGAAGGACAGGGAAGGGCAGGGATAGGAGGGGAGATGGACAGAGTGGGGTAGAGATAGGAGAGTGACAGAGAGGGGTGGAAATTGGGACAGAGGAATGGGGGATAGGAGAGAAGATGGACAGAGAGGGAGGAGATAGGGTCAGAGGGGGTGGGGAGAGGGGCATTAAGAGGGGTGGAGAGATGTGGATATAGAAGGGGGGAGGCATGGAGAGGGGCAGAGATAGTGACAGGATTGGTGTAGTTCTGTAGTCCAGCAGGCGGGGCTGACAACACCGCTTGTGATGTCAGTACAGCAGAGGGGAAGGTACTGTTAGCTCATTACAGGAAGTTGGGAGCTCCCTGGATTTCAGGCGGGAATGTTCTTTACTTGCAGTGATTTCAGATGCCGTTAGGTGAGGATGTACCTCTAGTCTTGGCACTCTTAGTGTGATAAACCTACAGACGTCTGGGGATGCCATATTCCATGCCAAGGATGCCTATAGATTCACTCAATCTCTTTACATAGGTCTGGGAGAGGCAGTGAATGTTTAATAGCGGCCCCCTCTGCAGATGCTTATACTCACCCTGAGACATGTGACATGCCTGAATAGCCAATCACCAAGAAGCAGCATTCTCACATTGGGGGGGAAGGGAGTAAGTCACATGCTCCTCATACCCTGAAGTACTGATGGGTCCCATTTTCCCCAGTAGTAGAGGAGGAAAAAGAAGGTGATGGGGACTGAATGACATGGAGACGGTCACTCACCAGTCCTCACCAATCTTGTACACATAGACGATGTTGTCTGTCTGTCCAATGGCAATCTTGGTGGAGTCGGGGGAAAACGCCATGCCTTTCACCATATAGCTCTTCTTCCCGTACTGGACCAATCGGAAGAGAGATGGAAATGAGCTCAGAGGAGGAACGCCTATACAATGAACATTACAAGAGACTGTTCTGGTAGAGGACCCCCCCAGAACAGCCAATCTGATGTCCGCTGCCTGTATAGCTGAGGTCACATGATGAGGTGCTCACCTTGGCGTCGCGGGTTTTGTGCTGAACTTGTCTCTTCTCTCTCCCTGCTCATCATACAGGAGAACCACCCTGTCCACCGTACAGACCCCGCAAACCGCGCATTGTTCTTGGGACCACACCATACACGTCACCTTCGCCGCTCCTTCCTGAAAGAGATCACATGATCACACACCAGGATACACCCCACATACCCTACCTGATATACCTCACATACCTTTCCTGATACACCCCAAATCCGACACATACCCTGCCTGATATACCCCCCACATACCTTTCCTGATACATCCCAAATCCGACATACCCCTGCCTGACACACCTCACGTACCTTTCCTGATACACCCCAAATCCGAAACATACCCTACCTGACACACCTCACGTACCTTTCCTGATACACCCCAAAACATACCCTATACCTGATATACTCGCATACCTTTCCTGATACCTTTCCCCAAATCCGACACATACCCTACCTGATATGACAACACTCGCCACATACCTTTCCTGATACACCCCAAATCCCACACCACCCCACGTACCTTCCTGATACACCCCAAATCCGACCTGACACAACATACCCCTGCCTGACACACACCTCACATATCTTTCCTGATACACCCCAAATCTCACACATACCCTGCCTGACCACCCCACATACCTTTCCTGATACACCCCAAATCCGACATACCCTGCCTGACACACCCCACATACCTTTTCCTGATACACCCCAAATCCGACATACCTTGCCTGACACACCCCACAGTACGACTTTTCCTGATACACCCCAAATCCAACATATACCCTGCCTGACACACCCCACATACCTTTCCTGATACACCCCCAAATCCGACATACCCTGCCTGACACACCTCGCGTACCTTTCCTGATACACCCCAAATCTCACACATACCCTGCCTGACACACCTCCACATACCTTTCCTGATACACCCCAAATCTCACATATATACCCTGCCTGACACACCCACATACCTTTCCTGATACCACCCCCAAATCCATTACCTTTCCATACCCCCTGACATATACCCTGCCTGACACACCTCACGTACCTTTCCTGATACACCCCAAATCCGACACATACCCTACCGTACCTTTCCTGATATACCTCGCATACCTTTCCTGATACATCTCAAATCCGACACATACCCTGCCTGACACACCCCACATACCTTTCCTGATACACTCCAAATCCCACACATACCCTGCCTGACACACCCCACATACCTTTCCTGATACACCCAAATCCGACACATACCCTGCCTGACACACCTCACGTACCTTTCCTGATACACCCCAAATACCCCACACCCCACGTACCTCTCCTGATACACCCCAAATCCGACATACCCTGCCTGACACACCTCACGTATCTTTCCTGATACACCCCAAATCTCCACACATACCCTGCCTGACGCACCCCACATACCTTTCCTGATACACCCCAAATCCGACATACCCTGCCTGACACACCCCACATACCTTTCCTGATACACCCCAAAATCCGACATACCTTGCCTGACACACCCCACGTACTTTTCCTGATACACCCCAAATCCAACATATACCCTGCCTGACACACCCCACATACCTTTCCTGATACACCCCAAAATCCGACATACCCTGCCTGACACACCTCGCGTACCTTTCCTGATACACCCAAATCTCACACATACCCTGCCTGACACACCCACATACCTTTCCTGATACACCCCAAATCCGACATACCCTGCCTGAACACACACCCCACGTACCTTTCCTGATACAACCCCAAATCCGACACATACCCTGCCTGACACAACCCCACTTACCTTTCCTGATACACCCCAAATCCGACATACCCTGCCTGACACACCCCACGTACCTTTCCTGATACCTTTCCTGATACACCCCAAATCCGACATACCTGCCTGCCTGACACACCCCACGTACCTTTCCTGATACACCCCAAATCCGACATACCCTGCCTGACACACCCCACTTACCTTTCCTGATACACCCCAAATCCGACATACCCTGCCTGACACACCCCACGTACCTTTCCTGATACACCCCAAATCCAACATACCCTGCCTGACACACACCCCACGTACCTTTCCTGATACACCCCAAATCCGACATACCCTGCCTGACACACCCCACACCAAACACATACTCTTCCTGACACTCAACCCCACATCTACTCTTCTTGATACCCCAAATTTGACACCTACCTTGTTTGACACCCTATATACCTTTCCTGATACATTCCTACCCTGCCTGATACACCCAACCTGACGGTCCAAATCCGACACATATCCTGCCCGATACCCATATGTATCTTGACTGACACCCCCCCCCCACTGTACCCTACAAATGCCTGCCAGACACACCCCACACATACATTGCCTAATGCACCCCACACCAAACACATACTCTGCATGACACACCCCACAAAACTTGCCTGATAAACCCTACCTGACACCCCAATCTGACACATACTCTGCCTGACATCCCCACCTACCCTGCTTGATACAGCCCAAATCCGTCACATACCCCCCCATGCCTAACACCCATAGGTATCCTGATTGACACTCCCCACAAATACCCTGCCTGACATACCCCACATTAAACACATACCCTGCCTGACACCCCACACCAAACCCTGATGGACACCCCCCCACCTGACACCCCACACAAATCCTGCTCAGCATCCCCCACCAACCCTGCATGACACACACCACCTGACTCCACCAACCCTGCCTAACACACACCCTGCTTGACACCCCCCCCCACCCCAACCAAACTCTTCCTGACACCCCCAACATATCCAGCTCAACACCCCCCACCTGACACCCCACACATATTCCTCCTGACACACCCCACACCCTTCAAGTACCCTGCCTGACACACTCCAAGCAGACCTTGCATGACCCCCCCCCCCCCACGCCGCCACACATACCCTCCCTGACACACCCTCCAGCTAACAAACCACACATACCCTCCCTGACCCCCCCCCCCCTCAGCTGACACCCCACACCTACCCTCTCTGACACCGCTGTAGGCACCCGCTACCCCTCTCCTGTCTGTAATTCTAGGTGGCTGTGCTTCTTAACTGTCCCTGCTAGCTGGGTCAGAAACCCCAGATTGGAGGACCCTGATACTTTCCAGTAGGTAGACAGAGAGGATTGAGCTGTAAATGCTCTCCATGGAGTTGCTATGGTTGTATTGTCACCCGGAGCAGAAGAGACTATTTATACATTACTGGGGGGCTAAGATGGGTGACTGCGAGTCTCAGCAACACCCCTACACTTCCCGCCGCTGAGAAGCTCTGTTCCAGGCTGGTTGGACAACAGTTTTTTGAGGACTCCCCTCTGTGACCCCTCATATCCAGGTCTACGATTCAAAGACAGACCCCCAAATCATCCTCAGGGGGTACCCTGTGATGGCACTTCACTGTAACATTCATCTGGGGGTATCTCTACTACGCTGGAAGCCATACTTCTCATGACCACCCACCTAAAAGAGGGCTAAAACACACCCACACATCCCCCCATTTACACACCCCTCCCCGAGCGGTGGCCCGGTTCGGGTGACACCTGTGAGGAGAGGAGGGTCTTCATATGTTTTCAGCTGCATTGCGTCCTCCGTGTAGTCCGGGCGGTATTCGGGTGAGGTCGGGCTCTATCGGGAGTCTTCACAGCTTGTGGTTGCCGGGGTGGGGGGGACAGCGGGGAGGACGGACGCTGTACGGAGGAAACGTCACCACCCAAACTGTGTGTACGAGCCCGTACAGTGCGCGTCCACGCATCTTTTACCACACAGCGCCTGCGGAGTCAGCTACTGAAAGGGGGGCGGGAGTCCGGGGTGTCCATAGAGACCACAGTGTGTGATATCTGTATAGAACCGTGTATACTAACAGGAGGCAGTGTATACCTCCCCCTCCCCCTACACATACCTCCCCTTTCCCCAATACATACCCCCCTCCCCCACACATACCTACCCTCTACATACCTCCCCCCTACACATACCCCTCCCCCCTACACTTACCCCACCACCCTATACATACCTCACCCCCAACACAACCTACCCCCGATACATACCCACCCCCCCCCCCCCTACACATACCCATCCCCCCTATACATAGCCTCCCCCTCCCCCCCAACACATACCCACCCCCCAAAAATACATACCTCACCCCTACAATACCTCCCCCCCCCTCCCCTACACATACTACCTCCCCCTCTCCCTAACTTACACATACCCCCCCCTCCCCGTTACACATACCTACCCCCTATACATACCTCCCCTACACATACCTCCCCCTCCCCCTACACATACCTCCCCCTCCCCCTTTACACATCCTACCCCCTACACATACTCCCCCTCCCCTTTACCATACCTCCCCCCTACCACATACCTCGCCCCCTACACATACCTACTCCTCCTTCCCAATACATACCCCCCCCCCATACATACCTCCCCCCTCCCTCCTATACATACCTTCCCCCTCCCCCTACCCCTCCCCCCTTACACATACCCCCCCCTATCCATATACCCCCCCCCCCCCCACCCCTCCCTCCCTCACATACCCCCCCCCCCCTAATTACGTATATATACGGTGTATAGAGGGGTATATGCGGTGTATAGAGGGGTATATGCGGTGTATAGAGGGGTATATACGGGGTTATAGAGGGGTATATACGGTGTATAGAGGGGTATATACGGGGTATAGAGGGGTATATATGGTGTATAGAGGGGTATATACGGTGTATAGAGGGGTATATATATCATATAATGATGATCGGAGGGGTATATACGGTGTATAGAGGGGTATATATCCATATAATGATCGGAGGGGTATATACGGTGTATAGAGGGGTATACAACGGTGTATAGAGGGGTATATACGGGGTATAGAGGGGTATATACGGTGTAATAGAGGGGTATATACGGGGTATAGAGGGGTATATACGGGGTATAGAGGGGTATTATACGGTGTATAGAGGGGTATATACGGGGTATAGAGGGGGTATATACGGGGTTAGAGGGGTATATACGGGGTATTAGGGGGTATATACGGGGTATAGAGGGGTATATACGGTGTAATAGAGAAGGGGTATATACGGGGTATATAGGAATATTATAATGGGATGTATATACAGAATAGATATTTATTATTCATAGGCTCCGTGGGCTCAGCTCTGTGATATGCAGAGGAGGAGGGGGTCAGGTGGGTGTGTGTCCCGGCTCTCCCCGCCCCTATAGGGCGGATCCCGGTGTGCGGTGTAGGATGGACGCTCTGAAATCTGTCGGTAGAGCCATCCTGAGGAGCCCGTAGCATCGCCCCGACACACCCGGCGGGTCACCGGACACCAGAGTGAGTGACGTCATCCTCCGGTCTACCCCCCATCCATCTCCATCCTCCCCATGTCTCTCCATCCTCCTCCCCCACCCTCCTCCATCCTCCCAGACATCTCCATCCCCCGAGAGAGTGATGAGGATGGAGGAGATGATACATTGTATACAGGAGATACATTGTATACACCGCACTGATCACTGGAGATACATTGTATACAGAGCACTGATCACAGGAGATTACATTGTATACAGAGCACTGATCACAGGAGATACATTGTATACAGAGCACTGATCACAGGAGATTACATTGTATACACCGCACTGATCACAGGAGATACATTGTATACACCGCACTGATCACAGGAGATACATTGTATACACCGCACTGATCACAGGAGATACATTGTATACACCGCATGATCACAGGAGATACATTGTATACACCGCACTGATCACAGGAGATACATTGTATACACCGCACTGATCACAGGAGATACATTGTATACACCGCACTGATCACAGGAGATACATTGTATACACCGCACTGATCACAGGAGATACATTGTATACACCGCACTGATCACAGGAGATACATTGTATACAGAGCACTGATCACAGGAGATACATTGTATACACCGCACTGATCACAGGAGATACATTGTATACACCGCACTGATCACAGGAGATACATTGTATACAGAGCACTGATCACAGGAGATACATTGTATACAGAGCATGATCACAGGAGATACATTGTATACACCGCACTGATCACAGGAGATACATTGTATACACCGCACTGATCACAGGGATACATTGTATACAGAGCACTGATCACAGGAGATACATTGTTATACAGAGCACTGATCACAGGAGATACATTGTATACACCGCACTGATCACAGGAGATACATTGTATACACCGCACTGATCACAGGAGATACATTGTATACAGAGCACTGATCACAGGAGATACATTGTATACACCGCACTGATCACAGGAGATACATTGTATACACCGCACTGATCACAGGAGATACATTGTATACACCGCACTGATCACAGGAGATACATTGTATACAGAGCACTGATCACAGGAGATACATTGTATACACCGCACTGATCACAGGAGATACATTGTATACACCGCACTGATCACAGGAGATACATTGTATACACCGCACTGATCACAGGAGATACATTGTATACACCGCACTGATCACAGGAGATACATTGTATACAGAGCACTGATCACAGGAGATACATTGTATACACCGCACTGATCACAGGAGATACATTGTATACAGAGCACTGATCACAGGAGATACATTGTATACACCGCACTGATCACAGGAGATACATTGTATACACCGCACTGATCACAGGAGATACATTGTATACACCGCACTGATCACAGGAGATACATTGTATACACCGCACTGATCACTGGAGATACATTGTATACAGAGCACTGATCACAGGAGATACATTGTATACAGAGCACTGATCACAGGAGATACATTGTATACAGAGCACTGATCACAGGAGATACATTGTATACAGAGCACTGATCACAGGAGATACATTGTATACACCGCACTGATCACAGGAGATACATTGTATACACCGCACTGATCACAGGAGATACATTGTATACACTGCACTGATCACAGGAGATACATTGTATACACCGCACTGATCACTGGAGATACATTGTATACAGAGCACTGATCACAGGAGATACATTGTATACAGAGCACTGATCACAGGAGATACATTGTATACACCGCACTGATCACAGGAGATACATTGTATACACCGCACTGATCACAGGAGATACATTGTATACACTGCACTGATGTACATTATTATTATTATTATTATTATTCCTTCCCTGTGTATGTGTGTATATATATATAAAAATTAGAATAATATATATAGTTATTAATAATGATAATACAAAAAAACATTATTCCCTCCCATATATATATATTTTTTTTTTTTTTCAAAAGTATCATTTCCTAATACCCCTATATAATGTTCATTATCTTCCCCTCCCATATATTCCTATGAATAAAGTAGAATCTATGTTACATGGTTACATTCATTACATAGTTACATAGTTAGTCTGGCTGAAAAAAGAGAAAAGTCCATTCAGTTCGACAATAATAATAATAAAAAAAAAAAAGTTATAATCCTATACCCACAGTTGATCCAGAGGAAGGGAAAAAAAACCCAGCAAAGAATGATGCAATTTGCTTTTTGCAGGGGAAAAATTCCTTCCTGATCCCCTGAGAGGCAATCGGATATTCCCTGGATCAACTTTACCTATAAATGTTATATCCAGTTATATTCTGTGTATCCAAGAAACAATCCAGGACTTTCCTACAGCAATCCACTGAGCTGGCCACAACCAACTCTTTGAGGGAGTTATTCCGTCTATTCCACATTTTCACAGCTCTTACTGTGAAGAATCCTTTCCATGTTTGGAGATTAAATCTCTCTTTTCCTTCAGACATAAAGAGTGCCCCCTTGTCCTCTGTGATGACCTCAGGGGGGAATAACTCTACACCGAGTTCACTATATGAACCACTGATGTTATTTATACATGGAGATCATATCCCCCCTTATGTATTATACATGGAGATCATATCCCCCTTATGTATTATACATGGTGATCATATCCCCCCCTTATGTATTATACATGGAGATCATATCCCCCTTATGTATTATACATGGAGATCATATCCCCCCTTATGTATTATACATGGAGATCATATCCCCCCTTATGTATCATACATGGAGATCATATCCCCCCTTATGTATTATACATGGAGATCATACCCCCCTTATGTATTATACATGGAGATCATATCCCCCTTATGTATTATACATGGAGATCATATCCCCCTTATGTATCATACATGGAGATCATATCCCCCCTTATGTATCATACATGAGATCATATCCCCCCTTATGTATTATACATGGAGATCATATCCCCCCTTATGTATCATACATGGAGATCATATCCCCCCTTATGTATCATACATGGAGATCATATCCCCCCTTATGTATTATACATGGAGATCATATCCCCCCCTTATGTATATTACACATGGAGATCATATCCCCCCTTATGTATTATACATGGAGATCATATCCCCCCTTATGTATTATACATGGTGATCATATCCCCCCCTTATGTATTATACATGGAGATCATATCCCCCCCCCTTATGTATTATACATGGAGATCATATCCCCCTTATGTATTA